CAGGTCAGATATGAGGGTCAGGCTGCTGATTTGTCTCTGATTATCCTGGAGGGATCAGGTCCGTTTTTGTTGGGAAGGGACTGGCTGGCCAAGCTCCGACTAGACTGGCCAGCTATTTGTCGGCTGTCTACCGAAGCGTCGATTGAGGGTCTCGTGGCTGAGTTTGATGATGTTTTCAGCCCACAACTAGGACGCTACGCGGGCGATCCGGTGAGCATTGAGGTGGATGCCGGAGTTCAGCCGCGCTTTTTCAAGGCTCGCCCGGTGCCCCTGGCGTACCGGGAGCAGGTGGAGCACCAGTTGCAGGCCGAGATCGATCGGGGCTTGTGGGAGCCCGTGAAATCGAGTAAGTGGGCGGCACCGCTAGTGCTAGTGCCGAAATCTGACGGGTCAGTGAGGATTTGTGGGGACTACCGCCTGACCATTAATAAAGCGGCTCCGGTGGAGCAGTATCCTTTACCGCGTTTTGAAGAGCTCTCAGCAAAGCTCCAGGGGAGTACGGTGTACTCAAAGGTTGATCTCAAATCGGCCTATAATCAGCTCCCTCTAGACGAAAAATCGCGAGAATATCTTACCGTCAACACTCTAAAAGGCTTACTGAAGCCCACGAGACTCGGGTTTGGGTATTCATCCGCACCAGCACTTTTCCAAAGAACGATGGAGGTGCTCTTAGCGGGCATCCCAGGGACATGCGTCTTTCTGGATGATGTCGTAGTCTCGGGTAAGACGCTGCAGGAGCATAATGTCGCACTGCGAGCGGTGTTGACGCGTATCCGTGAGGCCGGACTGCGGCTTAACAAGGACAAGTGCGTTTTCGGAGCTCACAGGGTGGTGTACCTGGGTCATCAGATCAGTGGTGAGGGTGTCGAACCGACAGATGACAAAGTGGAGGCGATCACAGCGGCCCCGGAGCCGGAAAATGTGTCCCAGCTGCGCTGCTGGCTGGGACTGGTTAACTTCTACGGGAAGTTTCTGCGTGGTCTGGCCACTACGCTGTCACCACTGTACGCTCTTTTGCGAAAGGATGCTGTTTGGAAATGGGCGGACGCGGAAAAGGAGGCATTTCAGGATGCCAAGCGCCTGTTACGGAACCCTCCCGTTCTGGCACACTTTGATCCTCAGTTACCGATCACGCTGGCATGTGACGCCAGTCCGGTGGGGATCGGTTGTGTCCTCAGTCAAAAGACGCCGTCCGGCGAGCGCCCAGTAGCGTATTATTCGCGCACGCTCAATGAGACGGAGCGGCGTTACTCGCAAACTGACAGAGAGGGCTTAGCGGTGGTGGCAGGGGTCAAACATTTTCACTTTTATTTAGCTGGCAAGACGTTCGTTATCCAAACGGATCATAAGCCCCTGCTGGGTTTAATTGGCGAGATGAAACCCCTCCCGCTTATGGCTTCGCCGAGAGTGATCCGTTGGGCGATTATGTTAGGGTCATATGACTATCATCTGGAGTATATACCGGGCGCGAGACAGGTTCATTGTGACGCTCTGAGCCGTTTGCCGGTGCCGGGGGACGTGACGTCAGTGAGTCCCGTGCCGGCGGAGACCATTCATTTGCTGGAATTTCTGGATGATTCGCCGGTTTCTGTGGCTCAGATCCGCAGTTGGACAGAGCGAGACCCAGTGCTCTCGGCGGTTTTACACTTTGTTAGAGATGGGTGGCCACAGCAGTCGGCGCCGCTGGGCCCCGAGTTCCAGCCGTTCAAAAGTCGGGCGGCAGAGCTCAGTGTGCAGGATGGGTGCATCTTGTGGGGCTCCCGAGTCATCGTTCCGACTCAGGGGAGGAAACGGGTACTAGCCATGTTACATGAGGGGCATCACGGTGAGTCACGCACAAAAGCTTTTGCGCGCATGTACGTATGGTGGCCCAATTTGGATGAACATATTGTCGCGATGACGAACCAGTGTGACACATGTCAGATGTATCGTGCCAATGTGCCGGACACGCCTGTCCATCCCTGGGCGTGGCCGTCTCGTCCGTGGGAGCGCATACACTTGGATTACTGTGGACCGATGTCGGGCTGGATGTTTTTAGTCATTGTGGATGCGCACTCAAAGTGGGTTGACGTGTACCCGTCGCGCAGCACGAGCACATCCGCAACATTGGAGCACCTACGCCAGTCATTTGCTTGTTGGGGGATGCCACACACGATAGTGACGGACAACGCACAGTGTTTCCTGTCGGAGGAATTCAAAGCGTTCTGTAAGCGGAACGGCGTGGTACATTTAACGACGCCTGCGAGGTCGCCTAAATCGAATGGCTTAGCTGAAAAGTGTGTGGGAACTTTTAAACTCAGTTTCAAGAAGCAGCAGTCAGGATCTGTGCACACAAAAGTTTCGAGATTTTTGTTTCATTACCGAGCTACTCCCCATACCACGACTCGCGCTACACCGGCGGAGTTGTTTTTGGGGCGGCGTATGCGAACACCGCTGAACGCTCTAGTGCCTGATTTAGGTGCGACAGTGCGGCAGACTCAAGCGAAACAGAAATTGTATCGCGATCGGCACACGGTTGGTCGTCAGGTGGCCGTGGGCGATGCTGTGTTTGTGTCTGCAGTGGACCAGCTCAGCGGTGGCGGGGGGAGGACGTGGCTGCCCGGTGTCCTGGTGGGGAGAGAGGGTGTGAAACTGTCAGTGCGACTCAGAGATGGGCGTGTGATCCATAGACACCTCGACCGTGTGCGGACGTCTGGCCAAAATGTTTGCAATGCTGCCCATCGCAATGTCAGCATTCCCAGTGTTGGATATCCTCCCTCATGTGGGCGTGAGCCGTCCTCACGGGCCGCTGAGACGTCGCCCTCGGCGACGGAGGCCGAGGGAGACGGCCCGGGGGACGGGGGACGTTACGCTTTGCGAGACCGTGCGCGGCTCCGTCCGCCTGAGAGACTGTCATATGTGTAAAGTGTTAGTGGCGACTGTTCAAAAGTGTCATGTTTTGTCCTGAGGTGGAGGGATGTAGTAGATTGCCCCACCCCTGGCTGCGCCAGTGGCTCATGTGCCGCTGTACCTGGCGCCGCCCCTGACTCGGCCCGCGGCGCACGGCCTGAGCCGAGGCCGCGGTTCAATAAACCAGTACAGAACGGACCGCCGTGGTGTAACACTGTGTGAAGTGCTGTAGGTGAATTGAACAAATATTTTTGGTAAAAAACTGCGGTTGCAACATGATTACAAATAGTTAGCTCACCGCCAAACCAGAATAGATATGGCTTTTTATGACGTGGCATTAGAAGCAGCAGGTTTCGGGGATCATTTTCATGTATAATGTTTGCAGTTTGTATGACATGAACGCACGCTAGCGGCACTTGAATTTCAAGAACCTGACAGTCATTTTACGACATCGAAAATGTCTCGACTTCTGACAATCCTACACGAGGCTGGTTTTGACAAAAACATAAATATCATACTTTTTCAGACACCTCAAACATTTGCCTGACTGACCATATTACGATTTATTCGATTAAATGAACTTGAATTTTGGGCCTTTTTCGTATTTATGGCCACTCGTGAGCCCCATTTGCATCACTGTGCCGTGCCCGAATACGAAAAAAAACATCGGTTGCACCCGCTAACAGAATGCATCCGTGGTTGCAGACGCACCGGCGAGCGGATTAAAAAACAAACAAAAGTTCTCTCTCTAGACAATTCGCTAATTCGCTCTCTAGTCTTTAGCCAATTAGTCCTATATTTGGAGATCTCTTTTTAATGGGCCGGTTAGTGAGTGGCGACAAAAAAAAAATGTTTTTTGTTCAGCCGTATTCTTTTTAAAAGCCTTATTTGATGCCAAGCTTCCCCCCCCCTTATGACCTGTTGTTGTCGTTCAGCAGGCCTCTTCACAGTGGGATTATGGCGAATCTGTGTTTCGATGTGATTTTCGCGTCACGCACACTGAGTGATTGGCGCCCACTAAGGCAGACCAACGAGCGCCGGGCTGGTGAGCCCAAGCGGCGCCGTTATCCGCCTGGGGCGGGGGACGGGGTCAAGGAAGAGCGATACGAGCATGACCTTTGGCCGGCCTCCGCCTGTTTTGACCCAGTTGCCAGCCGCTGGTGCCTGCGTCATATAGCAGTTTTCCTCCTACCGCTGGCGTAGAATCGTGTTACAACGTACTTTTTATGATACAGGCCATGACCTCACTGCTGGGGTCCTCAAACTGAATGGAATAGTTCGCTGAGCCGCCGCAACCCCTGACGCGATACTTTCAAGAGAGACTATACATCGTCGGCTGCAGTTGTAGTGCCGTGTCGTTTTTAGCTGACCATTGCCAATGCCGGTGTATTGGTCGGTGCGGGTTAATGACAGTACGTCACGCCCTGTACGAGTCTGGGCTATTCATAGCTCGGGCAGATTGGTCCCAGTGTGTGGACTGGATGGGTGAATTGGAGGGAGGGAGATACGGCAGGTGGCGTGGGACTTGTGTGCGGTGAAGGGAGGATGTGGCTGGGGAGGGACGTGAGAGGGAATATTAACATCTCTTTATGTCACCGCTACCGATTGTTAATATTTGTAATGTTTGCTTTGTATGTGGTTCGGAAGAGTGTTGGCGTGATGTTGCTGATTTTGATGTTTGTTTTCAATGCTGCAGTCGTCGGCCCCGGTAAGTCACAACTCGCAAACATGCGATACGCAATATGCATTACCAAAGACTACTGTATCACTACTGATAGACTAATGATATACAATACATAGAGTAGCTTATCGCATAACTCCCCCCCCCCCCCAAAAAAAAAAAAACATCGCAGTGTTGTTCAGGTTTACGTAGTACCTATCCACTCTGGCGTTTCAAGTAACTGCTCGTAATTAATAATAAGCGAGTAACATTCTTTTTTTCTCATTTTAACACGAACCTCATATAACAATTTTCATCGGCACACTAAATGTCTTCCGTGTAGAAAATGCACTCTAAGTGCACGTCCTTAACGTTTCAAACCCTGTTTAAAATCCCGGTTAGCTCAACCACCAATGGCCCTGTGCTGAGCGTTCCCATTTCGTCCTCACAGGCGTCCAAGAAGAAGAAGAAGGCCGAGTTCATCCCGTACCGCGACTCGGTGCTGACCTGGCTGCTGCGGGAGAACCTGGGCGGCAACAGCAAGACGGCCATGGTGGCCGCCCTCTCCCCGGCAGACATCAACTACGACGAGACGCTCTCCACGCTGCGGTGAGGCGGCACGGGGTCAGGGACGGGGTAGTTTGGGGTTGAAGTCTGGTTTGTTCTCAGACTTAGCCGTGTGTGCCGATTTGTTGGTGTGTTTTGCTGGCTTTATTGTGACAGAGTTACTACTCGAAAACAGCACTGTCGCGGATTTATTGCAGTTTGTCTTGATTTACCGTGACCCGACTAAGTTTTGTCGGAGGTGATGCTGGTAGGGGTTAGAACAGTGGCGAGTGAATACGTTAGGGAGCTCACCGCGGTCTGAGCTCGTCGTTTGCATACTTCTGCCGTATTTGCGCACAGGAGAGTTACCGAGATTCTCAAGAAAATGCTGTTTTCGAAGACAGTGACTACGACAGCTAGAGGGAATAGGTTTTAGAAATATGACGTAGTTCATATGACCTGCTCAGCTTATTATCATAACAAAATTGCTCTGTTCACTGTATTTTGCTGGGAGTTTTATGTAACTTTCTTATTTGATAACCATACTTCCTAGTGAGTAATTGATAACTACATGTTTTAATCGGACCTGTTGGCAGAGGCCGACATCACAGCGACACCCCTCAATCAATATTGGCGCCTCCTATCTGGACCTCACTCTCACTGTCCTCTCTGGCCGCTCCGTCAGGTACGCGGACAGGGCCAAACAGATCGTCTGCAAGGCTGTGGTGAATGAGGACGCCAACGCCAAGCTGATCAGAGAGCTGCGGGAGGAGATCAGCCGGCTGCACGACCTGCTCAAGGTCGAGGGCATCCAGGTGGACTCGGGTGAGTCCGCGGCGGAGTGCGGCCGAGACGGGTGGTATCTGTTCCGTGTGATTTACTGAAAACCAGGCGACGGAGGGCTTAGGATGTTTCTTGAACATGTGGGTCATCCAGTTTATGAAAGGCACTATACATTGCTAGTGAAATAATATCCAATACCTTTTTTGTGAATAATTGATACAAATATTTGATTTCTTAGGAAAGGTTCATTTTCGCATAAGTCACAGGCCACAGCCATCTGGCCGTCCTGATAGTTCTGTCTTTGTCTTGCTCGTGAATGTTTTTACCCTTTTGATCGTCCTAAGGTATGCAAGACCTGATCTGGGTTCTATTTTATTTATTTATTTTTCCAAATATTGAGTCACTACCTATTGTATTATTTTTGGATGGCCTGCCAGAGAGGCTTCGAAAAAGGATCCAATAGCGGCCAATGTTGATTTGTTTTATGTGTCTTTGTTAGTTTTCCTCTCCCCATTATTGGCGTGATCGACCTGCGATAACAGATCTGACTAAATTATCGTCGTCCTCCCCACGATGATGCGTCGTTACAACTTATAAAACGTGTGCATCGGACGAAAAGTGGGCTCTTTTCTAGATTGATCAGCTCATTTAAGCAATTGTCATACATTATTCATATCTTGAAATATGGATATGATAATGGTTTGACTTCGCTAATGGTTGTATCTCGTTGGTGTGTGTTGCCATGGCAACGGCCTTTTTTATTCCGACGGATCTGACAGGGCTCTCGCCTGGTTTCAGACGGGACCGTTAATTATTCCAATAATAAGCCCAAGTCGAGTAAGTAGCTGGCCTGCCACTAACACGCAGCCTTTGCCTGCCGGCGTGCACTGTCCGGGGCTTTTCTAGCTGCTGGGCTTCGGCTCCCTTACTGCCGCTGAGTCGGAGCTCTATCCCCGGCTCCGGGGCTCCGGTGGCGGTCTGCCGCTGATCACAGCCCCCCGATTTTGTCTAACAATCTAGTCCGACCCCGCTGTAGCCCGGCTGGCCTCTACTAACTCAGCTGATTGAGTTTGATTTAGACGTGTCTGGTGCGGGTGCTGGCTCGTGGCTTCGGGAATTTTCACCGCTTGCTGGACTTTGCGTCCTCACTGCTTGCTTTGCGTGCTGCCCTTCGCACCACCCCCGATTCTGGGGCGCTTGGCCTGTGGTACGGTGCAGCGACCCCAGCCGCCGCCCTCCACCTCGCCCCGCCCCATGGCCAGTGATTTGTGTGACACATGGGATCGACTGGCTGGCACCCTCCCCTACCCAGCACTCACACGAGTCTGCGTGCTCGTGACTCACGCCATCGACTCGCCAGTGATGCACACGCACATGTCAGTCCTGTATGGAACTGACTCACTGTAAATACGAGATCCTGCTCGCCTCCTCGTCACCGTCCAATATGTCCGTGGTCGACGTGTTTTATGTGGGTATGTTCATCTTCTATGGACTTCGTTATTGCATTAAATCAGCAGAAAGAAGCGAATTAAAATAGCTCCACACTAAAGCAATGATTAGCTCAGTTTCAAAGTTTCACGTGCCGTCTGAATTCGTGATCCCGTACCCGCGGTCGGCGCGGTGAGACGGTGTAGATTGCTCCGCGACTCGGCACTGCCGGGTGCGGCGTTTCATCTGTCTAGACGTCCCCGTGGATTGGATGTGAGACCGCCTGCCGGTCGTAACTGCTAACCAGTCTCCGGCAGCGGCGCCCGGTGACAGCTGAGGGGTGGGGGTTTGCCTTCCGGGTACAGCTCGAGCGCGGTGGGGCGTGGAGGCTGCGGTCTTTTCTCCAGTGTCGGGCGGTCGGGTCGGTGGTGGTAGGTTATGTAAGTACCGGGGCAATCGATTGAGCAGAGGTATGACTGGAATAGGGTCACACGTGCTTGTCGCGTGATCACGGGCCCTGGTACTCGTTGGTGGTAAAGTTGGATAATAGGGGCACGACATACTCCTACTTTACTGCTCCTCAGGCGACTGAAGAGGTTGATAATCTCGTCCTGGTGGAATTATATTGAATAGTTGCCCGGACCGTTCCCTGGATAAGGTCCAAGAATCTGATGCAGCTGTGACGCACGCCGGAACAGACGTTTATTGTGATGTCCTTGTTACTCAAGTATTTTTCTCGGTGACCTTCGTCCATGCCATGTTTCATCAGGTCCATGGAAATCGGACAACGTTTGGATGCTCAAAGGCATAACTGCGAACTACGCAGTATCTCGCTGGCTGGTCGCAGTATCTCGCTGCCCTGGCGTTTTTGTTTCCAGACGCATCGGCCTGCTATTTGACGTCAGCATCCGTCTGATCATTAGACAAAGCCCACCCTTTACGCCCGGCCGGACACGATGAGCCGGATTTGCGGCTGGTTACTCGAGACACGCTGCCTGTCGTGCCGCCCACCCCTGTCTGTCTCCCGTCTCATGGATTTTACCCCGGACTTACTGCCTGTCATGCCGCCCACGCCAGTCTCCCGTCTCACGGATCTGTCCATTACCTGTCGGATCGCGGTGGTACAATCCGTAGTCTAGCCTGGCGGAACGTTTCCCTGCGTCTGTCTGTTCAGCTACCATGTCTGTTAGTTCGCACAGCCGGATTGTCCGTGCAGCTGGCCTGTCTGATGGGTTGTCTATCGGACTTTGTCCGTCCGTCCAGCCAGCCTATCCGTCCGTCCAGCCGCATTATCTGTCTTTCCGTCCAGCTGTCTGTTGTCTGTTGGTCCGCCCAGCCGTGTCTATCCGGCTATCCGTCCGCCCAGCCCGCGTGTCTTTGGGTTCGTCCAGCCGCCGTATCTTTCCGTCCAGCCGCGTTGTCCGTCCGTCCGCCCAGTCCGTCTGTCTGTCTGCCTGTCCATCTATCTAACTTTGTCCGCAGTGCCGACCGCCGATCGATCTGAGGCGGTCACGGACGGCTCTCCAGACGCCACGTGCTGGGCTCACACCGACAGAGGCCCTGGTAGAGTGGGCGGGGGCGTCTCCTCTGTGTGGAGGGGCGCCGCTCACCCACCGTGAGCCAGTTATATCCGGCGGCAGGCCGGGCGATGGCTTCCCGGTCACCAGCGGTGCTGCTCCGTGGGCGTACCTTTGACGCTGTGAGACGGCGGTGCATTAATGTCTGAAAGGCTCTGTCCAATCGTCCATTTTCCAGTTAGCGTCGTGAAGGCCGGCGGCACATAATTTGATTATTTTTCAGTCGGATTTACTGTTAAATTATTCGGTGCAGGAAAGCTGGGGAAAACTGAGATGAAACTAGCCTTAATGTGCTTTGAGATTGCGGCGGTGTTTCCCGAAATAACACATTTTTAATTGCCGTTAATTGTGTATTTTTCGAAAACAAGGGAAGTGCGCTTTATAATAAGATAGCAGATCAAAATTGTAGGAGTCTTGGTCTGTTTAGTTGGATATTCAGTGTAGTGGCATATTCATACTCCACTGCAACTGTTCTATGTGAAATCATCATTCCAATGCTATCGAGATGAGCCGTTGTCAGCCGCTTGTATTTTCACTGGCTGAACAAGTTTGGGCCGATTTTGACACGGGTGTCCACAACTCCTTAGGCGACATCTCGAGCCTTCTCCGCCCTGTGAACGACCGCCCCCCCCCCCCCCCCGCTCCCCGCTACTGTCCGGGGCCGAATGGTCATGCTGACGGAGCTTTTCCGTCGGCGGCCGAAACTGCTAACCGCCTACTGGTTAACCGAGCCATTTTCAACGCTGAACTCACTGCTGATCCTTGCCACCTCTGGCTGTTGATCGCTGCTGGTGCATCTGGCTGCTAAATTCTGACCACTGCTAATGCAACTGCAAATGACTACTGATAAACTACTGAAATACCGACTGATGCTCCTACTGGCCCATCATCCGTGTCCGTCTGCTGCTGCCTGCCCCGAAATCACTCCACTTGCGTCGACACCGACAGCAGCTGGTGTGTCTGTCTGAGATGCCGTCAGCTTGTCTGTATATCTGCCTGTGTCTGTGTGTCTGTCCGTCCGTCTGCCTGTGTCTGTAAGTCTGTCTGTCTCCCTGCGGCATCACTCAGACGGCCGGCGTGTTTGGCTGGATTTCTGAAGCCGTGTTCGACAGTTTGTCCGTCTGTCTTAAATTCCGCTGGTGCCGTCTATGACAGTACGTCTGTCCGTCTCTCTCAGATTCGGCCGCGGACGAGGGCTCGGCCGTATGCCGTCTTTGACTGTATGTCTGTCCGTCTCTCTCAGATTCCGCTGCCGACGAGGGCTCGGCAGAGGCCAGCGGCACCAGCAATGTCACCAAGGACGCCGTCCACCAGCTGCAGGTCAACGAGAAAATCATGGCAGGTGGGCTAATGTAGAAATGGGACCTGACCGGGCGGACCGGCTTGGGAGGAGCTGATTGATGTCGGAAGATGTGCACTATCCCTGACGTTTTTTTTTCTTGTAAAGGGACTGTTCTTGAAGGTAGTGAGACAGTTCTGAGGTTAACTGCCGAAGGTACCCGGGGTCCAAGTGCTATTTTCCGTTACTTTATCTAGCGTGAACTTGCAAATCTGAGATAAACATGGAGAAATCTGGAGTTTCCTTGCACATCTTTGACCCGACCTGACCTGACCGTTCCTGGACTCTCATACCTCAGTGAGACCTAGACGATCACAGGATTTTGACCTGATCTGCCCTGACCCCTCAGAGCTCAGTGAGACCTGGGAGGAAAAGCTGACTTCACCCTCCCTGACCCCTCAGAGCTCAGTGAGACCTTTGATGACGCGTCTTGACCTTACCCCTCAGAGCTCAGTGAGACCTGGGAGGAGAAGCTGAAGCGCGCCGATGACGTGCGTCAGTACCGGGAGACGGTGTTCGCTGAGATGGGTATCGCGCTCAAGGAGGACGGCAAGACGGTCGGCATCTTCTCGCCGAAACAGGTGAGCTATTCGTCTCCGCTTACCGGAGTGAGACAAAGGGTATGTTCTCACCAAAACAGATAAGATCATTTTCTCTGGCCGGGGTTAGACATCCATCCTCTCATCAAAACAGATAAGGTCGACCCCCTTTACTGGAGTGCGACAAAGGCATCTCCTCACCGAAACGGGCGAGTTGCTCACCGTTTAGTAGGGCGAGACAGAGTGCACGTTGTTTCCTCCTAACCGGAGCGATGCGCGGTTCACCCACTCTTTAGTATCATCACCGCCGGGCACGGCCGAAGTGTGTTGTCGAGAAATCGCTCGCCTGGTGCGTGTTTTTCCGGTCACTGGCGGGTCCCGAGTGGAAAGAATCCCCTGTGGACAGCTTTACTGCTGTCCGGACCGGCGCCAGCGCTCCAAACCCACTGTCAACAAGGCTGTTTACCCGGCTGGAGAGTGTCGGGCTTGTGCTATTACGTTACTTGGTAGAAAGAATGTCGCTAGCTGTCTAAGAGCGCAGCTTATGGCGTGTCGCACAATAAATGGGAAATTGTAGAAAACTATCATCTCTCGCTGTCTTTCTCACTCTGTCCTTTCTACTCTCTCTCTCTCTCTCTCTCTCTCTCTCTCTCTCTCTCTCTCTCTCTCTCTCTCTCTCTCTCTCTCTCTCTCTCTCTCTCTCTCTCTCTCTCTCTCTCTCTCTCTCTCTCTCTCTCTCTCTCTCTCTCTCTCTCTCTCTCTCTCTCTGTCTCTGTCTCTGTCTCTGTCTCTGTCTCTGTCTCTGTCTCTGTCTCTGTCTCTGTCTCTGTCTCTGTCTCTGTCTCTGTCTCTGTCTCTGTCTCTGTCTCTGTCTCTGTCTCTGTCTCTGTCTCTGTCTCTGTCTCTGTCTCTGTCTCTGTCTCTGTCTCTGTCTCTGTCTCTGTCTCTGTCTCTGTCTCTGTCTCTGTCTCTGTCTCTGTCTCTGTCTCTGTCTCTGTCTCTGTCTCTGTCTCTGTCTCTGTCTCTGTCTCTGTCTCTGTCTCTGTCTCTGTCTCTGTCTCTGTCTCTGTCTCTGTCTCTGTCTCTGTCTCTGTCTCTGTCTCTGTCTCTGTCTCTGTCTCTGTCTCTGTCTCTGTCTCTGTCTCTGTCTCTGTCTCTGTCTCTGTCTCTCTCTCTGTCTCTCTCTCTGTCTCTCTCTCTGTCTCTCTCTGTCTCTCTCTCTCTCTCTCTGTCTCTCTCTCTCTGTCTCTCTCTCTGTCTCTGTCTCTGTCTCTGTCTCTGTCTCTCTCTCTCTCTCTCTCTCTCTCTCTCTCTCTCTCTCTCTCTCTCTCTCTCTCTCTCTCTCTCTCTCTCTCTCTCTCTCTCTCTCTCTCTCTCTCTCTCTCTCTCTCTCTCTCTCTCTCCCCTCCCTCCCTCCCTCCCTCCTACTGACACCAGATTACCATATCATTTTACCAGGGAGGAGCACTGTTCCTCCTGACCCCCAGACCGTCCTCTCTGCGCCCGCTCGGACCGCTCTAACCGTTCCACCGCCTCCCCCAGACGCCTCACCTGGTGAACCTGAACGAGGACCCGTCCATGTCCGAGTGTCTCATCTACTACATCAAGGAGGGCATTACGCGCGTGGGCTCGGCAGAGGCTAACATCCCGCAGGACATTCAGCTGATCGGCATACACATCTACAACGAGCACTGCATCTTCGAGAACAGGTCGGTGACGGCACTGGGCCAGCTAATTACAGGCGAGATGTTAACTGGATTGGTTTGAGTATCCACTAACCAGAGGTGATAACGAGTGTGAACAGTTTCACCTCTTTTGCAGCCGCTTTTTGCTTTCTTTTCAGTGTGTCACGCAATATCTGCGCCAAACTTAAATGAGCGGAAATTGTCCGTTGGAAAAACCGGTTTTGCATCGTTGCGCCATTTGACTCCCGGTATCTGACGCCCCGGGCCCATTTGACCGCCACAGGGAGGGCGTGGTGATGCTGATCCCCAATGACGGCGCGCTCTGCTACGTGAATGGGCGGACCATCACCCAGCCAGTGGTGCTGAGGACCGGCAGTCGCGTCATCCTCGGCAAGAACCACGTGTTCCGCTTCAACCATCCCGAACAGGGTGAGTGGCGGCTGTTAAAAACGTCCCGAGCCTCGAAACTGCAAACTGTTGGCACAGCTGTGCACAGCGAGCGGCCGGAAACCGGAGACGGCTGGGCAGTGACTGCCGAGAGGGACTGCCGGGCTGATGGCACGGGCTCTGGGGTTTTGAGCGCACGAGGAATATGTTGTGCTCTTTGTTTTAGAATGTTTAAATGAAAAATCACATTGTGATCATGTTTGTACAATGGTAGTAGTTGTTTGTGCAATGTTTCCCTCGCTCTTATAAGTAATCCGTGCTGTCGTCTCTTCGCCGCCTGTTTAAGTTCGTCTTTGACGTGTCTCAAATATTCGCCAGCCCGGGAGCGGAGGGAGAAGTCTCCCAGCCGAGAGACCACCCCCAGCAGCGAGTCGGTTGACTGGCAGTTCGCCCAGGTGGAGCTGCTCGAGAAACAGGGTGCGTAACGGAGTGCATGGGGAGGAATGTGGTGGGTGGAGCTGAACAACCAATGCGGCCGCTGACAGGGATCAGAGGCCCTGTGGGGGAGAAGTCTCAAGTCCTCAGTCGCCCTTTTTTTGTAAAATTGCCAAGCACATCACTACGTCAATTATCAGCTGTGAAAATGTGATGGACGTTTCGCCTCATTTGGAGGCCATTTATCTTCGCTATTAACTCATTGTGGATAACGCTGATACATTCGCACTGTCTTTGTTTTCGTCAGGTATCGACTTGAAGAAGGAGATGGAGAAGCGTCTGGAAGCGATGGAGGAGCAGTTTAAAAAGGAGAAAGAGGAGAGCAAGCTGCAGTTTGAGAAGGAGCGGAAGGTGAGAGTGGGGAACAGCTACGGCAACGGAAGTGTGATCTTTGTAATGCTCCATAAGGGAGCCATCTACGCTAGATTGTGCTAGCTCTCATAACGCCTTTGGCGCTCATAACGAGTTGGCCGTCTTGACCCAGCCGTCCGCTAACCCCGGTGTGTATCTGTGGACAGAACTACGAGGCCAAGATTGACGCGCTGCAGAAGCAGGTGGAGGAGCAGACGATGACCATGTCCATGTACTCGTCCTACACGGCCACCGACGACTTCGCGCCGGAGGAGGACGTTTACGGTGAGAGGAGAGAAGGCTAACTCGTCCTGGGGAGAGTTAGATTATGTGTTAATATCGAAGTCAATACCCAGCACAGGGTCGCATTGGTGACGGTATTATGATCGACAAAAAAGTTTTAACAATTAATTATTCGACTGCCCCGTAAAAAGACCTTCAAATGTTGAAATTTACAGGATTTTTTTATTTTTCTGTTGTGTGCATATTTCTGAACGGTTTTTATCATACGGTATTTTCATTTCGATGTTGCATTGGTAGTCCTGCTCCTTTGTTCTAGCCCGACCCCTTCCCCATGACTTTTTAAACTAAGCCGCGTCGCTCCTGCCCTCAGTGAACCCTCTATTTGAGGGCGAGGTGAGCAGCTGGACGCCTGATTAACTGAGCCGCTCCCCGCCCCCGCCCTCAGTGAACCCCCTGTTTGACTGTACCCCTGTTCTCAGTGAACCCTCTGTTTGAGAACGAGGTGAGCTGGACAGACCGCGACTTCCAGCTGGCGGCCACGTGTTTCCAGAAGTGGCGCTACCACCAGTTCACCTCGCTGCGAGACGACCTCTGGGGCAACGCCATCTTCCTCAAGGAGGCCAACGCCATCAGCGTCGAGCTCAAGAAGAAGGTGGGAAGGGCGGCTGCCTGAGATTCCGGTGACTGGCTGAGGGCCCAACCGATATAGATGTCTACTTCATGGTGCCAGGCCAATAGCTGTTCGCCATGCTCTGGTTCTATTTTGTTTCAAAAGCCGTGTGTGATGTAATTTTTGGACATTGCCAAGCCTTGTCTGGCCGTCAGCAAAATCTTACGTCGGGCTCTCGGGCTCCACGGTGAACGGTCTGACTTTTGCCCCTTGGTCTGCGACAGGTCCAGTTCCAGTTCACGCTGATGACGGACACCATGTACAGCCCGCTGCCGGCCGAACTGACGCCCTCAGCAGAGGACGAGCTGGAGGCGGCCGCCGAGGGACGCCCCTACCCGCGCACCATCGTCGCAGTCGAGGTCAAGGACCAGAAGAACGGAGCCACTCACTTCTGGAGCATCGAGAAACTGCGGTAGGTTTGGGGACCGGCACGGAGAGGGCTGGGGGAGTAGTGGAGTGGCACAGCCTTTGTTGGCGGATACTATAATCTGCCTACATATCAGCTGCATATATATGATACCTGCCCTCATTGAGGTTTCTAGCAATTGCTTTTTAACGATCTCATTCAAGATATGTTCTGATGCATCATCGTTTGTCAAGAATTGTCGCAATTGAACATCGCAAGCATTTTGGGGGCTATTTTCATTGCCAGAATTAATTCAGACGTTTCGATAGTCTTTGAATTTCACGAAAGTGGGAATGTCCTAAACGGGCAGCGTTAGTCGTCAACCGCAACACATTGGCATATCGCTTTAAAAGCTCGGGCTTATCTTTTGGGATTTTGAACATCTGACTGCGGACTGACTGCTGACTTTAGGGACTGGGAACTGACTACAGAATGGTCGTTTCCTCTCGCCATGCTTTTGGGCTAGCTCTTTCTCTCATGCGAAATGTTGGCTCATGAGAATAATGCTTTAAGGTGACGTTTCAGAGACTGTCGGGGACAAACGACGAATTCAGTCCCTGTCTGCACTGCATGAGAGCATCTGTAGACGCAGATTCACTCGCGCGCTTCTTCTGCTTGACCCAATTTCAGCGCTTTTGCTACATCTGCCACTAGTTTTTCTTTACACTCCGCTGCTGCATTGCCGATTGATCTGGGCTCGCTCTACTGCTTGTTCTGTATATGCGCTCGCTCTCTCTGCACTTGGTCTTTCGGCGTGTTCTTCTCTGTTCTTGGTCTCGAAGCTCTCCCTCGCCAAGCTATCTGGCATGCGAGATGCCACTGTGTTGCTGGTTCACGGCGTATTATAGCTCCGTGAACCTTGGAATGCTGCCATATGTAGACTCTTCCGTAAACCTGTATACCAAGGTCTATGGCTCTTTTCATCAAGTGTGTTTCCGAATTTGTAGGTTCTTAGAAGCCCTTGCTAATTGCTATATTTGATCTCGATAGTCGATAATGCGCAGCATAAAAAGAAGAAAGTTCACCTACTCCCGCTCGACTTTTCAACGGTCCAATTATACAAGAGCTTTATGTCATTTTACATGTCAGCGAGGAGTAGATGACGTGAAATATTGTGGGTGTCAATGGATATTGATCGCTGAAAATTTCTTAACCCGCGCCCTGCTGGGGGGGGGGTGTTTGAACACCCCCCTTGTGGTTTTTCGCGAATATCTCAAAAACGGCGGCGCTCCGCGCCGCCGTTTTTAGTACACCTTATCGCACATCAATTATACACATGTTGTGAAAATTTCAGACCAAGGTCATTCAAGGTCAAGTCACCAGGTCACTTAAAGTGACCTCACCTCATAAAAAGTTTCAATGTCTGTCATAGCTACACCGAGTGACCGATCGCTTTGAAACTTTCAGCGATTGCTAAGAGCAATAGCATGTACAAAATGTATATCTCAGAATTTTGATATCGATGACCTAAGGTCAGGTCAATTTTGCGACCTCCCCATTATGAGTCAATGGGAGAAAATTGAAATGCGCCTCTTTTGGACAAAAGACATTATAAACACTCCCAAACACCGAATTACAAGTGGTTTAGACACACTGAACATGAAAATGGTGTCCGTGACCCTTGTTTATGCCCTGAGGTCATCTTAGGTCACGAATGGTATCTAACAGTTTTTCGCAAATAACTTTTGATAGAGGCATGCTAGAGCGATGAAAACGCCTTAGATGTGTTCACCTCGACGATACGGATCGACTGATATGCAACATGACCCTTTCCGGTCAGGTCATGACCTTGACCTGAGGTCAATTCTTCAAGTTGACCTTTCAAGGTCAACTTATAGTTCATTCGATGCGTCTTGACGAGAGGAATACAATGCCGGTAAAAGTAAGCTCGTACAAGGCTTGGGTCAAAAGTAATTGCAGAAAAACTGTTTCCGAAAAAATCGGCTATTTTTGCAAATTTTGCCCCCTGCAGGCAAAACCGTTGACGTTAGGTCAAATCTGAGAAATTTACTCAGAAAGGGCTTTAATAGGGCTATCGAATGCGCTTTTCCGCGGCGCTGTAGCTCTATTGGTTCTCGAGTTATGCGTTGGCTTCTTGGAAATTTTCGACATTCGACCTGGAAATCGGCGAAATTTTGCCTTCAATGACCTCTGGTGACCTGACCTTTGACCTGACCAAAAAATTGACCGAAGTGATTTCGTCATTATTTTTGACGCTCTTTCGAACGCCGCCGTCCGCGTATCGCTACGTGGCCCAGGAGCCGAGTTACAAGGGGGGGGGGTGTTCAAACACCCCCCCCCCAGCAGGGCGTGGAAATCCAAGACCCCCAGCCGGGCGCGGGTTAAGCCGTGATAAATAAAACATTACATCTTTTTTGCAATGCTAGTTACTTTCGGCTGCCATGCATTATTGCATAGTATACCATAGGTACATGTCAATTTTTCCATTTCTGGTTGGCCCGCTCATAAATTCAAATTGGTGAATTTGTATTTGAAATGTTCGTATTCACCATACATGAAGATGGTTTTGAGTACCTTGCGATTCATGCCGATATACAAAATTGATGGACGCAATGTAAAGTGGTGCTAAAAGCCATCGGTACGGTTCTCCAGGGTATTAGTCGTTGGTCGCTTGGCGAGCGGGAGGGCAACCAGTTCCGCCCCTGTATCGCGTGACCCCTTGCTCCGCCCAGTTACGCACGAGCGTACTCCACGCCGCGTAGTAGCGTGGGGAGGGGAGGGTTAGAATGGTGGCATGTGTAGAGGCTAGAACCGGTTTCCACCGCCATGCCACCGCCCAGCGACATGGAGCGGGGTCGGTGACCAGGGCGCAGGGAAAGGTCAGAGGTCAGCTATAACGTAGAACTTTGTGTCTCTCTCCCCTCCGCGTGTAACGACCGCACGACAGCGGCCGGCCGCCGATCAGGCTAGACATGTCAAGGTCACCCGCAGTCAACGGGCTCAGAGGGTTGGTCGAGTGCGCGTCCGTGGCTGACGACAGTCTCGACCATGTGCTATGGTGCCGATAGACTAGCGTGGGTAATAAGTTTTTGTTCAGGCTGCTGGGGTGTGTCATCTTGATATGATGCTTTGTAACATGTGTGATACGCAACCTCGCTGGCAGTGGCCGAGAGGAGGGGGGGGGGGGAGGCGGGTGCCGCCTCCACATGTATATTTTTGTTGATAGCTGCGAGAGCTGAAATTTGGCAAGCCTGACCTTTGGTTCAAGCTGAATTTTTATGACAGCAGCTGTATTTTCACCCTCGCCCATATTGGTGTTTTGCCAGCGTCTATCGTAAAGAGGGTGAGGTGGGTCCGTTGGACCCCTTTGCCGTTCAGCCCCTAATCGAGCTAGAGCTTCGCGGAAAAAGAGCGTGTTGCCCGTGACGAGAGGAGGCCGATGATACCCAATTTTAACCCTCGCCGGCACAGGGGGGTTGATGCAACCCCCTTTAAGGTTTTTCGCAAATAACTCGCGTAAAAAGCGGCCGATTGCGACGAAACTTTCAGTACCCTCGCATTGATCAATTTTACACCTACCCTGAAAATTTGTTGACCCTGACCCAAATGACCTTTGACCTGTGACCTCTTTTCCGAGACCATGTTTGGCCGGAATCGCGATTCGGCGTATGTCGACTCGCATTAGCCGCGCGTTTGCAAGCTTTTCGTGGTTTCAAACGTTCAAACATGTGATTTGATGTTGCTCCCATACATTAGGGTGGGTTTCAAGGTCAGCTGAAGGTCAGGTCAGGTCATTGACCTTTGGTGACCTCGGGTGACCTCGGTTCACTTTTTCGAGTTTTACATGCTTCTAGGCTAGTTTTTGGAGCTGAATTCGAATTTAGCAACCATTTGAACATTTACGAAGTGGTTTTGGTGTCTTCGTAACATGTTACGAAGCTGTCAGAGGCGGTTGACACGTATTACGAATACCCGTCACAACCCCTACCGGTTGACCTGACCTGACCTGACCCGACCTGGTCTAAATGCTTAAACACATCATCTCTGATCAAAACTAATACGATATTCGTGATCAGCACCCCGGAAAACCACATAGCAGCCACACTTTACGACTTTCTAACAGGTCCCGATTTTCCCGGTTTTTGGGTCATTGACCTGACCTGGTTTGTCACGGCACTCATCCACTCCCTCGGCCGAAATATTAGTTCCTTTTTGTATGAGTTCTGGCATAATCCCGCACATTATGCTGCATGTTGTTTGCCATGAAAAAAAAACATGTTCAGCTACGTTCTACGCAGTACGCACTAACCTAACCACCATCCCATCATCCACCACTAGACACCATCCCGTTCTGTGATCCGTTCCACCCCACACGAATCAGCCGAGATACTAGTCAGTCGGGCTAGCGCTATCCTCCCCTCCCTTCCTGACTGCACAGCGCTAAAACCCAGAGCCGAGACTTCCCGAGCGTGACCTCTGACCCCACGCGGTCCGAAGGGTCGGCCGATGCCTAAGGGCGCGCCGCGCGCCGGCCACCCGGATAGCCTCTGCCGAGTCTCCCTTCCATACACCGTTTACTACGCGCTCGATTCATTCATGATTCTGTGTTTCCGCGTCCCTCTCGCTAGGTGGCACCATGGATGTCATAGGCGATCCCAGGAAGATTGCGGCCAGAATACCCCAAACGGCAGAAAATGAGGTTTTTGGTGGATATCTCGGAAAGTATTTGGCATACAACGATGAAATTTCACAGCCTCGTGGTAAATGTGCATACACATAATCCGGGTTGATACTTAGGCATTTAAACATTATATAGGACCAGATATGTCCGAAAAAGCAAAACCAACAAGACTTTTACTGGAGAGCCGTACAGACGATGGGGCACACTTGTGTGCTTCCCCACGCGGCCTCACACTCTGGCTTCCGTTCCCGTTGACGGGCGCACGCGCTTCCTCTGACCCTCGCGCGCGCGCGCCTCCAGCCGGCGCCTGGAGCTGGCACGTCAGTGGAGTCTGGCTCTGTCGGACGTCTGCCTGCCGAGCCCCGAGGGCGCCGCGCCGGCCACGTTCGCTGCCACGGCCGCCGCCGCCACCGCCTCGCCAGCGTACGGGTGGGCTCGGCCCGCGCAGCGGCCGGGGCTGTGGGGGCCGCAGCCGCGCCGCGGGGCCGCCTGGCTTGGCTGGAGTGTCGTGGGACTGGTAGCGGCCGCAGGGGTGGAACTTTGCCGAGCGCTGCACACGGGATTTGACCGGGATGTCTGGTCAACAATGTTAAGTCCTGGCAAGGATCTATAGCGATAGGGCGCCTGTTATTTTGGATGAAATTTCGATTAATCGTGCAGCCTCGAGCATAAAGTGCCACTCCTTGAAGGAATATTTGCTGATCGCTTGGTTTGGGGACATTCATTTCCTATTTCGTATGTTTTCTTCGCTTTCGTGTTGACATTCTTGCGTTGTTTTTACCATTGCGACCTGTAGCACTTTTGCGGAAAGGCTGATGGTCACCAAGGCTTGCAGCTTGTTCCATTTACGCTTTGGGAGAATGTTTTGCTGTACTTTTAAGGTCTGTATCGCGTTTCGTGTAGGCACCTGCAGTCCTTCAACGATTTCGAATTATTCATAGTTAGCCGTAAACAAATAATGTATATTGTTTTCATATCGTTTAACGCTCGCTTACAGAGCGTTTTTGTATATTGGGATTCTAGCGTGATAAACCTAAGAATATAGATATGCTGTAGTGTGTCCTGGGGTCCCACACTAACTGTGGCTTGTTCGTGTTTGGACATCCTAACTACTCGTATGTTTGCACTTCGAGCACGTAGTTCGGAGATTCAACGGAAAGCTCGTCGAATGAAAATCATGAATGTCAGTTTCAGTTGTTCATGTCAAAATTGAGACAATTGGAGGACGACTTTCAGGCTAATTTCCATTGTTACCTAGCCTCCAAGCATTACCATATTCCGTGTGGCAGACTTTTTGAACTTATAAGCATGGCGGCTTATGTACAAATTTCAGTCACCAGTTCCGTCGTTTCTATCCTCAGGATGCTGAAATCCTTCTCCTCCACGCCGCAACTCCCGCTCCGGGCTGGACAGGAAACCTTATCTCATGCGGGCTGCTCCCTTGGAGCAGTGCCGCTGCTCCCAAGGGAGCACACCCGTGGCCGGGCGCAGAGAGTGTTTGGGGGCTGGTCGGCCTGTCCATTCGGACGGGCTCAGCCCCGGCGACTCTCTAGGGTGTCTGCCCAGACCAATGTCTCCCCCTAAATCCTATCATCCTTCCGGCTCTGAAATGGTCCTGTCAGATCGAAAGGGCCTAACCCAGCAAAACAAACAAACACATTTTAGTGCTTCTTTCAGCTCATCATTTGAAACCGCCACATGTTGAAGAGCGTCAAAATACTTTTCGATCAAAAATATATTTTCAGTGATGCCAATCTCGACCAAAAGCAAGAAGTGAAGCAGTGGTGTATTTTTCGTGAATTCGTGAAAGCAGTGGTGTATTTATTATATGGTTTAATGCTGCTTTTGAGCATGCGTGAATCGAGTTTGCCTGTTCCGGGTGTTCTTATGCCTGCTGGGCTGTGTGTCTTTGGCACGTGTCTTTCTGCCCCAGCATTGCATGCTGTTACAAGTGGAGATGTTCCCGACTGACGATGACCTTAGCATACAACTGTCTCTGCAACAAGGGCTTGACTGTCAGGCTATTGACATATGGCTTTGGGTGACGTTTGACATAGTATTGAAATGAACGTTGGTCAATTTTCAAGCACATATCGCATACCTACTAAATTTACTAACTTCCCATCTGAGTTCGTTTCGAACCTAATAATGTGTGTCCACGTCCGTTCACACGATGTCCGCTCGCACTCCGCTGTTCTCCCCGTCCCCCAGCTCCTCAGATCATTATATCGTAATCATCGAGCTGGATGGCCTCTGATGGCCGGGATAGAAGTAGATAATCTTAATCGTAGTTTAATTCGCGGGACGAGGGCTGGCGCGACTCGGTGGTCGGCGCTTGGTTTCTCGCCCTCGCAAAGGTTGAGCCGAGGCGGGCCATTAAACGACGGCTGCTTGACCGTGCATGTTCGGAAGAGTCTGACCTACCCCGACCAAGCCAAATGACGCCGTCGTCTGGCCCGGCAGACAACGTCTGGAACTGATGCGCGAGATGTACCACAACGAGGCGGATCTGAGCCCCAGCTCTCCGGACCACAGCGTCGACAACGTCACCGGCGGCGACCCGTTCTACGACCGCTTCCCCTGGTTCAGGGTCATCGGCAGGTGCGACAAGGGGCGGGGGAAGGGTCTGGGAGACCAGGTGGGAAAATGGACTGCGGGAGACTAGGTAGGATGTTTTACTCCGCTGACGATTTGTTTTGAGGATGGGTAATGACTCCTGAACTATTTGCAGATGATCGCCAGTCGCCACACATGTCTTTAAAGTTATAACTCTGCTCGCCATTGCACCGCTGGAGTATCATTTGTAAAACACCATTTTTACTAGCCGGCTCATCGAATAATTTAGTTGGAAAACGTGACTGAATATTGCGATATGTGAACAAACTTCCTAATTCGAATATGCACTTTACTTTACAAATCGTTCTGTATAACCTTTTCTGCTTTGTCTCCAGGGGTTTTGTGTACCTGAGTAACCTGCTGTACCCGGTGGCGCTCATACACAAGGTGCCGGTGGTTAACGGTAACGGAGACGTCAAGGGCTACCTGCGCGTGGCCGTCCAGGCCGTACTGGGTGAGTGAGGAGGGTGCGGGCCTGGGATCTGCTAGGTGATGGTTTTATCCGGAATCCGGTTTAATGTGTAAACATTTTCTCAAACATCTTTTCGGCTAACTTTCCATGCTCGTCTTGTTGGTGTAACGTTTCCCAAACCTTCATACTGATTTTTTTTTTCACACCCAATCAGATCTCTCTTGCAATGAACACGTTTTAAATAAATCAGCATAACGTTACGGGCGCAAAATTGATCCCAGTAGTCGGCACGCCTTGATCCAATCAACAGACAAGCAAAGAGCCCAATCATATAGGGTTGTGCTCGGGTCGAGACGTCTGATAAAGTCATCGAACTGAGATGGCCAGTCATTGAGCTTTAAATGTTGCAATTGTGTATAGTTTGGTGCGTTGTCATTGTGACACTCGATTTTAAACGTATATGATGGGTGATCGCAGTGTCATGATGATGATTATCTCCTTTCGCTATTGTTTTTTTATTGAGTTTTTGATTAAAGCGGCCCATACTTCGTACACAGTCTGTGAGTCACACTGACCCTGTGTGATAAAATCCACGCCTTACCACGTTCCTCTATAGACCCTTCTCTCTTCAAACGAGGACGGCCTGGAGTGCTCGTCCGGTGTGCTGTACAACAGCCCGCACGTCACCTCGTCTCCCTCTATAACTCTGCCCTCCTCTCCCCCGCTGCAGACGAGGACAGCCTGGGGTGCTCCTCTGGTGTCCGATGCTACCCACACGTCACCTTGTCTCCCTCTGTATAACTTTCCCTTCCCCACCAGACGATGACGGCCTGGAGTGCTCGTCCGGTGTGCTGTACAACAACCCGCACGTCACCTCGTCTCCCTCTGTACAACTCTCCCCTCCCCCCACCCCTCCTCCAGACGAGGACAGCCTGGAGTGCTTCTCTGTTGTTTGATACTACCCACACGTCACCTCGTCTCCCTCTGTACAACTCTCCCCTCCCTCCCCTCTCTCAGACGAGGACGGGCTGGAATGCTCCTCTGGCGTGCGCCAGTCGGCTCGGATCACCTTCAGCGACGACCAGCTGGCGGCACGGCCGGCCGGCGCGCGCGGACCGCCGCCACTAGGAGAGGACGCGTCCGTAGAGGCCGGCGCGCTCACACGTGAGTCGAAGAACGGCACCCTCACTTTCTGTCCTTTCCGTCCGTGTTGGCCTCACTAAGCCTGCTAAGTCTGAAGCTGGTTTTATCTCTTTCGAAAAGCAGGGTTTCCGCTGCTAATACTTGGTCAATGAGGCGTAACTTTTATTTTCGAAGTGTTTTGATAGTGATACATGACACCTTACCCTCTTCTCGAAGTGTCTTTATTCCTCTGAATAAAGTGTCTTTTCCCTCCTGAAACTAAGCTGTTGTTTGCCAAAAATTGAACCAATGTACTGACGCCGACACGTTAGACGCGGTATCCACTCTACCTAATTGTTCTCCCCCCCCTTCTTTCCGCTCCTCTAGGAGACGGTGAGACGGACGCGGACAGCGGTCGCGGCGACTCGGAGAAAGAGGCCGAGGAGCAGCTGCCGGCCCACCTGACGCCCGGCGCCGAGTTCACCTTCCGCGTCACCGTCCTGCAGGGCATGGGCATGCAGAGCGACTACTCGGACGTCTTCTGCCAGTTCAAGTGGGTAGCGCGCGGCGGAGAGGGTGTGGGGAGTAGAGAGGGGGAGTATGTGTAGAAACGGTAGAGATAGCCAATTGTAAATACTTTGTGAGGATTGCCGACACCACCTATAATCTACATGCCATCCATAGAGCATCTAGCTACTATCTACCATTGATAGCGAAGAGGCTGCTGCTTCAGTGATAAATAGAGGCTTTTTATTGTGTTATCTATGCAGCTTCATTCTCCATATGTAAAGGACGTTTAATGAAGTCGTGATGCCGCTTTTGACCGGTGTTTAACCCGCATCCCCTTCCATCCCGTCCGCAGGTTCCGACATCGCGATGACGAGGCGTTCTCGACAGAGCCCATCAAAAACTCCGGGGCGGCGCCCATCGGCTTCTACCACGTCCAGAACGTACGTACGAAATCTGGCCCTGTGGCTGGGAGGGACGTGTCTGAGGAGAGGTATGTGTTTGACAGTGTTCGGGAGGGGCTTTCGACCTGTTGATCGAACAGAGTATTCCATTATGGTAATGACCCGAGGGATGTATCTGGCTGTGGCCAGAAGTTTATGTGTTTGGCTGGTCGACGGAATAATGCTGTGACGGTGAGCAGTTGAAGTGTGTCTGACGTTCCGCGTCACGCTGTTACAGATCACTGTGACGGTGAGCCGGTCGTTTGTCGAGTATCTAAAGACGGAGCCGCTGGTGTTCGAGGTGTTCGGCCACTACCAGCAGCACCCGCTGCACAATGACTCGCGCATGGACTCCTGCCTGTGAGTAAAGGGGAGGACTCCTGTCGTTTTTCCGGGGGACGGAGAAAATGGAATCCGGGCTGTGATTCCGGGGAAGCTTGTGCTGAGGAAGGGCTCTTGCTGAATCTGACTGGTCGGGATAGGAGGACGTTGCACCACAACGACTCACTGGCGTACTCCCACCCGAGTTGAACCGCCGTGTGATTCTGCGTGGATGGTGGCTGCTGAGATTTATCAGAATGACTGTTCGTTTTCGTGAGCACTTTGTGCCCCCCCCCCCTTTCAGCCGTCCGCCGCCGCGTCGTCTGCAGCCGCTGGCCATCCCCATCAGCCAGCCGGTGCGCTCGTCCAAGTTCGGTCCGCTGCAGCAGCCGTGCTCCGCCCACGTGCACGCCCGGCACGACATCCTCGTCTGGTTCGAGATCTGCGAGCTCGGTGAGCGCGACTGGGCGGGGCTGAGGGCGGGCAGAGCGACCGGGCGGGACTGAGGGCGGGAAGGGCGGCCGGGCGGGACTGAGGCGGGACTGAGGGCGGGGAGAGCGGCCGGGCGGAACTGAGGGCGGGGAGGGCGGCCGGGCGGGACTGGGGGCGGGGAGGGCGGCCGGGCGGGACTGGGGGTGGGACTGAGGGCCGGAAGGGGGGCCGGGAGGGGTCGATGGGTGCTGCCGGGCGGGAATGAGGGTGGTGAGGGTCGTTTGGTGGCGGCTCCCAATATAACTTTCTGCATTTTACTGTGCAGGCCCACAGGATTCACATTATGTGGCGTTCTTCCAGCGCTCTTTTGAACTTTGATACAATGGAATTTCGTGTTGGTGTGACGTGTCACAATAAGTTTTGCAGCACAATCTATTTTCGAAAGTCGCAATAAACTTTGCAGCACAATCTATTTCCGAAAACATACAGTATTCATGCGCCTTGTTGACTTTAATTAGCCACTCCGTCGTAATAAGGTCATAAATTTGGCAGGCTTACGGTCGTTAATTCAGCCGGATCGCCTCACGATCTGAACTTGGAACGTTGCACTGAGCTGACGTCAATGTTGCCATTGCCTCAGTGGTTCTATCGGATACTGGTGACGTTTGCTGCCCAGTTTAACCTCACGTCTTCATGTGCTTCAAATTTTGTATACAATATTTCGAGTTCAGACCTCGCACGGCACTGCAATGTCGCATACAAACCGCATTGTCAAAGTCGACTTCGATCATCTTCACCTCCTGTCATTGATATCCAGTGGTCGTGTAAGTTGATCTATTTAGGTCGCTGTATCGGCATCGGTGTCACTTCAGTATTCTGTGGCGGGCCTTTCCATGATCCGTGACCTCTCCGTCTCCCTCAGCACCTAGCGGGGAGTATGTGCCGGCGGTGGTGGAACACCAGAACGGGCTGACCTGTGGCCTCTGTATTCTGTGACCTGTGACCCCTCTATCTTTACAGCACCGAGCGGCAAGTACGTACCAGCGATGGTGGAGTACCAGGAAGAGCTGCCCTGTGACCTCTGTGACCCGTGACATCTGTGACCTGTGACCCCTCTGTGACCTCAGCGCCAAGCGGAGAGTACGTGCCGGCCGTGGTGGAACACCAGGACGAGCTGCCGACGGGCGGTCAGTTTCTGCTGCACCAGGGCATCCAGCGCCGGCTGAGAGTCACCGTGGTGCACGAGCGTAGCGCAGAGATCAACTGGAAGGACGTCAGGGAACTGGTAGTCGGTGAGTGGTACGGGGGAGAAGGGGATAGAGACAAAGACAGAGACAGACAGAGATCAACTGGAAGGGCGTCGGGGAACTGGTGGTCGGTGAGTGGTGGGGGAGAAGGGGATAGAGATAGAGACAGAGACAGAGGTCAACTGGAAGGACGTCAGGGAACTGGTGGTCGGTGAGTGGTGGGAAGAGGGGGATAGAGACAGAGACAGAGACAGAGAGAGATCAACTGGAAGGACGTCAGGGAACTGGTGGTCGGTGAGTGGTGGGGAGAAGGGGATAGAGACAGAGACAGAGACAGACACAGACAGAGATCAACTGGAAGGACGTCAGGGAACTGGTGGTCGGTGAGTGGTGGGGAGAAGGGGATAGAGAGGGACAGAGACAGAGACAAAGACAGAGACAGACAGAGATCAACTGGAAGGACGTCAGGGAACTGGTGGTCGGTGAGTAGTGGGGAGAAGGGGATAGAGACAGAGACAGAGACAGGCAGAGATCAACTGGAAGGACGTCAGGGAACTGGTGGTCGGTGAGTGGTGGGGAGAAGGGGATAGAGACAGAGACAGACAGAGATCAACTGGAAGGACGTCAGGGAACTGGTGGTCGGTGAGTGGTGGGAAGAGGGGGATAGAGACAGAGACAGAGACAGACAGAGATCAACTGGAAGGACGTCAGGGAACTGGTGGTCGGTGAGTGGTGGGGAGAAGGGGATAGAGACAGAGACAGAGACAGACACAGACAGAGATCAACTGGAAGGACGTCAGGGAACTGGTGGTCGGTGAGTGGTGGGGAGAAGGGGATAGAGAGGGACAGAGACAGAGACAAAGACAGAGACAGACAGAGATCAACTGGAAGGACGTCAGGGAACTGGTGGTCGGTGAGTAGTGGGGAGAAGGGGATAGAGACAGAGACAGAGACAGACAGAGATCAACTGGAAGGGCGTCGGGGAACTGGTGGTCGGTGAGTGGTGGGGAGAAGGGGATAGAGAGGGACAGAGACAGAGACAAAGACAGAGACAGACAGAGATCAACTGGAAGGACGTCAGGGAACTGGTGGTCGGTGAGTAGTGGGGAGAAGGGGATAGAGACAGACTAGACAGAGACAGACAGAGATCAACTGGAAGGACGTCAGGGAACTGGTGGTCGGTGAGTGGTGGGGAGAAGGGGATAGAGACAGAGACAGACAGAGATCAACTGGAAGGACGTCAGGGAACTGGTGGTCGGTGAGTGGTGGGGAGAAGGGGATAGAGACAGAGACAGAGAGAGATCAACTGGAAGGACGTCAGGGAACTGGTGGTCGGTGATTGGTGGGGAGAAGGGGATAGAGACAGAGACAGACAGAGATCAACTGGAAGGACGTCAGGGAACTGGTGGTCGGTGAGTGGTGGGGAGAAGGGGATAGAGACAGAGACAGAGACAGATCAACTGGAAGGACGTCAGGGAACTGGTGGTCGGTGATTGGTGGGGAGAAGGGGATAGAGACAGAGACAGACAGAGATCAACTGGAAGGACGTCAGGGAACTGGTGGTCGGTGAGTGGTGGGGAGAAGGGGATAGAGATAGAGACAGAGACAGACAGAGATCAACTGGAAGGACGTCAGGGAACTGGTGGTCGGTGAGTGGTGGGGAGGGAGGGGATAGAGACAGAGACAGACAGAGGCAGGCAGAGGTAGAGAGTGCCATACAGACAGAGATAAACTGGAAAGACGTCAGAGAGCTGGTAGCTGCTGGTGGTAGTGGGGAGGGAGAGGCTCAGTGAGTAGGACTAGGAGACGGCTGGAACACCTAGAGTGGAGCCAGGCTGGCTAGCAGGGAGTTATGCGGGATAGAGCGAAGGATATTATGGCATTAGGGAAAAGGTTGTGTGTGATGAGTTGAAGTGCTCACTATAGACCTAGCATCTCTCGGGTTTCTCTCACCCCGTCCTATGGCCACCAATATACCCTCCCCTGACCCCCTCCCCGTGTGTGTGTGTGGTCCAGGCCGTATCCGCAACACGGTGGAGTTTGAAGAAGAGGACGAGAACGACACGAGCGTGCTGTCGCTGGGCCTGTTCCCCGGCGAGTACATCGAGTACGCAGGTCAGTCTGGTACAATGTGCACTGGGCGGTAGCGGGTAAAGGTCAGTTGTAAGGGTATATCGAGTACGCAGGCCAGTCTTGACTCCCGGGTACATCGAGTATAACGCAGGTCAATAGCTGGCATATACATACATGGAGTGCGTGTGACAACTGTGATGGCCCTGCCCGATAGGCTTACCACGACGATTTATTGTGTTGCTGTGGTGGCTTGTCGGAGAGACGACTGTTGCTCTAGTATCACATCAGGGTGTTTCGTCTTACTTGGGCTTCGTCCCCCGGTGGTTTGGAGCGTTACTCTGATGCTGCCGTTTTGTGTTATTTTCAACAAAAATATGAATAGTTTTCCTAGCTGCAGGGATCGATGTTTGGAGTGGTCAATGTCTATGAATTCGCGGGCATCTCAAAGTGTCAAGTCATTGGTTAATAATTACTATGTTGCTAACCAGTGTCGCAAAATTTATTGATTTGGGTGGGACAAGACATCCAAATGAAAATCTTACACTCTCACCTCCAGTTTTTAAGAGCAATTTTCCACTCGCAGTTTTACCGACAAAAGCATTTGCGTGCCTGACCGTTTTACATCCTACACTTTCCACTTTTGTATAGAAACCAGTGTTATTGATCTTTTTCCACTGTGTTTGGGCCTTATCTGTCCGGCGATTTTCCACTCTCAGCCTCCTTTTTGGAGAGATATTTTCCCTCCGACACCCAAGCTAACTTACAAGTTGGGGACACTGTTACTAACCGTTCATCTATAGGCAGAGAGCTATATTAGTCTTCGACGCAATATGTAAACCACTCCCTGAAGGTCGGTGACGTGTTGATGCACAGCTCCGTCGTGCAAATACACACATTGGATTGAATTTAACAACGTAAAAGTCCAGGACAGCGGCCCTTCCGTATGTGTATGTGTACTAGACCGCGCGTGGCTAACCGGGTGACCCCACCCGTCTGACCCGACCCCGCTGTCTGGCAGGCGACTCGCGGACCATCTTCCGGTTCGAGGCGGCCTGGGACTCGTCTCTGCACAACTCTGTGCTGCTGAACCGCGTGACGCCGTATGGAGAGGTGGTCTACATGACCATATCAGCCTACCTGGAGGTGAGGGCAGCCACGGCCGCAGGCAGGGAGCCGCAGGTGCAACTGGTACCCTAGGACAGCTTATATGTGGAGATATGGTTTTATTGCTGGGGATTTGTATTGTTCTGCATTTTATTATTGTTTTATAATGGCTGAGCGTGATTGATTTATGATAGATGCCTAGAAATTGAGCTTTTTGCAAAACATATATTTGGAGTTAGACTAGAGATCAGATGGCCAATGACCTCACTGCCGCCTTGCCGGTCTTTTGCGATTCCACATTGTAAATGTTGGTACATGCACGAAGTCGTCACTCCTAACTCCTGACTGTCCCCTCTCTATCAGGTGGCCAACTGCGCTCAGCCGGCCATCATCACCAAGAACCTGTGTATGACCATCTACGGTCGTGAGGCGCGCACGGCGCCGCGCACCTTCCGCCGGCTGTTCCTGGGCGGCCTGCGGACCAGCGACGCCAACCGGCTGACGGGCGTCTACGAGCTCAGCCTGCGCCGCGCCGCCGACGGCGCCGGTGAGCGGACTGGAGGGGAGCGGTGGGGTTTGAAGACAGGGAGGGAAGGGGAGAAACCGCATGAGACGGAGTGCGAAATGTCCGCAAGGGTCGAGAGAGGAAAGATCTTCGTAGGGCCAGGCCAGGTTTTCGGGGATGGAGGGTCTTGCTGCCTGAAACTTCTTTTATTGCTGAGATGTCCCGAAGGCCAAACTAATGCGAGGTCGTGTTTTCCAGGTTAGAAGGTATGCTGCTTCTGATTAGTGTTCCTATCTGGGAACCAACTACCACTATGCATAAGGACATGAGACTGTCAGACAGGAGGTCATGAAAAGACAATCTTCGTAAGACATAAACTTCTTTATTATCTTCACGGCAGTTATCGCTATTTGTTAACGGGAAATGTGTGCTGTAAATGCGTGCCAGCCGCCATCAGCGGTGACCTTTGCTGACGCACCCCCTCTTCATCCACAGGCGCCAGCCGTCGTCAGCGGCGCGTGCTCGACACGAGCGTGCAGTACGTGCGCGGCGAGGAGAACCTGGAGGGCTGGCGGCCGCGCGGCGACAGCCTGCTCTTCGAGCACCAGTGGGAGCTGGAGAAGCTGACACGGCTGCAGGAGGTCGGCAGGATCAGACACCTGCTGCTGCTGAGGGAGAAGCTCGGCCTCGACCGGCTGCCCTGTCTCGGACACGAGTTCAGCAAGTCCGAGAAGGTGGGTAGGCAGCGGACCAGACTGGCCGGGACTGCAGCTGTTGAGTTGTGTAGTTAGGTCAATAGAAGGAGCTTTGTTTTCAGTTAGCGAGTATTTTTATTTGAGATGTATTTGATATTGGAAGTTAGTGCAGGGTCGTAGACGCCCTATGACCGACAGTCCCGCTCCCTCTCCCCGTGTCAGGATCTGTATCAGACGACTGACTGCCACCCTCTCTCTGTCAGGACGTGTGTAACCAGGTGGCCAAGGCGAGCAGCGAAGGCCGGCTGACGTCTGTGACCGCCCCTCCGGCCCGCACCCCTCCCGAGGACGTGTACGAGCCCTGGCAGATGACGGAGCGGGAGCGGTACATCGCCTCCAAATACGTCGGACTCATACTGGGCCACAGCGTGCAGGTAGGCTGGGAAAGGGGCTGGTGGGGTGTCCCGCGCCACACTTCAGCGAGGAGACGGGATGGGGGCGGTCTACGTCTAACCGGCAGACGGACGGATGAGAACAATGAGGTGTTGATTGCTTAGACACAAGTTTTTGTTAGGGGCGTGTCGTTGACCGACCCGAGTCCAGAGTATATTATTGATAGTCCAGTGCGAAATATATAATGTTACGAACAATGAATAGTTACATATGCATATTGCCGGCCATATGATGGACTGCAGGATCTCGAGCTGCAGGCCGGCGGTATGTTGTAACTGTCAGGGCCAGCCGGGCGGTATGTGCCCTGTTTGTTGACGCTCTCTGGCTACGTGTCGGACTGGCCGCCGTCGCTAAGTGTCCCCGCTCCATGTTACAGACGCTGCCCAGCCACCCGCCGGTGACCTCGGTGGAGCCGCCGACCTCGCCGGTCGCCGGCGAGCTCCTCTCTCCAGACAAGCCGTGAGTGCTGCAGGCTGCTCAGGGGTCACGGGGTACGGACATAGCCACCGGTCGGGGCGATGTCTGGGGCGGTAATATCCAGTATGCACTGGTATTGGCACTGGCAGAGCCGGGTTAACTGGAGGCAAAACAACATAACTCGTTGAGAATTGATACATTTTTGCCGTCTCGCGTTTAAAGAGGAATTGATTGCGTGCACCGTGGCGGGATGCACACCCTGCGCAAACCCTCGGGCTTGTTGCAATTTTTATCGGTCGGCGCGAAGAATGATACTGGTCCGGTCTTAACTTCCCTTGGGTAATTACTTTGAAGTATTGGGTGCCTTTTTCCGTTTCGCTCGAGCTCAAGTTGTTCACTAGTAATGACCCTCTTTGCTTATTGCTAGCAAATGTCCAAAAATGTGTCGCGTGGATAATTATTTTTCAGCTTTCTGATATGGAAATTGTTAGTAGTATTCTCGCCGCAGTAATGTTGCATATTTTCTGACGACTTGTTAGAGATATTATTGATAGCGTATCGTCGGACATCTTTCCTGCTTGCCGACACCCCTACCTCCGTGTCTCCCTGCCAGGCTGTGGAGCGGGGAGCGGCCCAACACACTGGCCACCGACGGCCCGCTGCGCCGGCCCGCCGGCTCGCCGCTGCCCTCGCCCGGATCGCCGATGGTGCTGGCCGGTGCCGAGCGGCCGGCGGCGCCCCAGTTCTGCGCAGAGCTCGAGGAGATCCGCGTCTCGCCGGCCGTCAGCCGGCGCGGCCTGCTGCAGGTCTACGAGGAGCAGACGCAGACCTGGCTCAAACGCTGGCTGGTGAGGCGGCGCGGGGTGTGAGGAGGGTACAGGCCAGCACACAGCGACCGCTGGTCGGCCGGTTTCTGGATAGCATAACCTTAGTTCATTGCTTTAAAAACAACCACGGGGAACCCAAAAATGTTTTCAGAAATGCCCAGTGCACCTTGCAGTCTTCGTTAGTGATAAAAGAATTATGCATTGCAGCAATCGCAGCTCCCATTCACTTTTCAGGTTCTTCTGTGCAGCCCCTGCTACTTTGGCGTTCTGTGATGCTGTGGACGTACTAACCGACCCCTTTTCCCATGCGTCAGGTGGTGCGGCGGCCGTATGTGTTCCTGTTCCGTGACGCCAAGGACCCGGTGGAGCGCGGGGTCATCAACCTGGCCACGGCGCAGATCCAGTTCAGCGAGGACCAGCAGGACGACGTGCCCAACTCGTTCAGGTACGCAGCTGTCTTGCCGTCTCGTTCCTACTACGACGAAATACCATAGTGCTCTTTGTAGTGTTTGAAACGCCGTCTTGCAACATGCCTGAAGCGCGCAAGAGACGTGAGATGTGATTTGAGTACTCAAAACATCTTTTAAACAGTAATATGATTAGAGGATTCAAGAGTTCATGGTTGGCAGAAACTTAAAATATAATTGCAGAAGTTGGAGCTGTTGCTCAGTAATTCTTTTCAGCATAGTTTAAGATTCATGCCGGTGAAGTAGTTCCCACGTTCCGTGTACCGTCAGGGTGTCGACGCAGCATCGGCAGTACCTGCTGCAGGCGGTCGGCAAGGACCCTGTCCGGGAGCTGTACGAGTGGCTGTACGCCATGAACCCACTGCTGGCCGGGCAGATCAGGTCAGGGTGCTGGACAACTCTGATAGACATTAGGCTGGGACATCTGCATGAAGTGACTAAGTATTACCCGAGTGAAAGGCTGCACAACTTCTTCACTGACCATGCCGTGTTCCCGAGGTTGTGTTGCTTCCTGTGTGCTAGTAAGCCAGTAAATATAGATGCTTCTAATGTGCATGTCCGGTGAGCCAGTGAGCTTATTCACACTGTGGTTTTTTTCGCAGGTCCAAGCAGGGCCGCCGACGCCGGATCTCCGGCAGTCGTAACTCCATCCTGGACTCCCAATGAGACGAGCTCAGCGCCGGCGCCCTGCCCGAGTGCGCGGTCGCCTAGTGCGGCCCGCCGCCGGCCGTCTGGCGCGGCCCGCCGCCAGCCGCCGCTCCGTCTCACTCGCTTCGTCCGATCTCCCCCAGAGCTTTATTTGCCGGCTGACGCGGTGCGTGTCGGTCTCAGAAACTGGCGCCCAACGTGGGGCCGTCGTTTGGTTGTGTTTCGCTGTGTTTTGCGGTGTGGACGGCGGTCCAGGTGCTAATACGTGGCGCGGCGCTGAGCTCTGATATCTCCCTAGAGTATGGTAGTGCTGGCAGTGATGAAGATAGACAATACAATGAGGCTGGAACAGGGCCCTCGCTTAGGTCCTGTGCTATTGCCAACTATTCGAAGGCACGATCGACCCGACTCGTGTGATGCGAGACGCGGTTTGACCGCGGCGACTCTCGAGACTCTGAATGAATGTAGACTTCTAGACGCCTCTCTGCTAATGTGATCTGCTTAGTGAAACTTGGAAACTGCACTAGGTTAAATTAGCCTTGGTGAGATAGATGCGAGAGATGTGAACTATTCACTATGGTATCATGTGTACTTTTGAACAATATTTAACTGACTTATGTTAGTCAATGCCGAAGTATTTGAATATCTATATTGAAGTGGTAAAATGGACGAAACTAGTGTTATTTATAGCTTTAACTGTTGTTACGTTTTACGACCTTATGCGTTCAGGTTTTTGTCTATTTTATCATGTGAGCGTTTCGTTTTGATGCTTTTGTCCTACTACTTATGCGTTATGATGGCTTATCCATAAGGTAGTGCTGGTCAATAGCTTATTCAAACAGGCGTATTATCGCTGTCTTTCAGTTGCACCCTGGTCTTGAAGCAATCGTTTTACACGAGCATGCAGTGCGGAGGTCTCTGGGGTGACTACCAGAGCTGGGCCTGTTCAGGCCGGAATAGGGTCCGGATGAGGGCGGTGTCCGCCCACCCGGAGCGCGCGGGACCGCGGGGCTTACGCTCTGTCCTCGGTGTATGTCATTGTTGCCGATCCGGCGGCGGCAATCCCTGCTGGAATACACGGCTTCTCGACGTGACCTGTGAGCTCAGAATGGGGCAGAGAGGGAGAGGTTGCGGCGGTAGGTCGGGGTAGGTCGGAGCGGGTGACTGCTGCGCAGCGGAATTACCAAGGTGCGGGTCGTGGCGGAACGCACTCTCGTGAGCGATCTCGACTTCTCCATCTGGACGGGGCGAACCTTGTTTTGATGCAGACAAGCCATCATTATTCACGGATTTGATTATTCCTTTAATATTGCTAAAATTCAGAAGTTGTGAGCCATAGGTTACAACGTTTTCAGTTCAATTGAGATGACTTTTTTACCAAATGATTATCGCCGATTACGCCACACCTTCACCAATGACTGACCATATATGCCGCCACGGTTTTAATTGGATTTTCGTCACTCGTGCATGGCGCAAGTGATGCGTGTTTATGCATGCATTGACCCATGGCATGCGTTTAGTAATGCGGTATAAATGGCTAAAACACCGTTTCTGGCGATTGGCGACTGTCATGCAACGAAACTGGACATAAATTCAACGATGCATATATTATTCTCATTGTATAGGGTTGTACTAAAGATATGTTCTTTATGCACTATACAGTATAAAGGCATATACAATATCAAATATACAGGTGCACGGAATAAGGGCGCACTACTGATAAGTATGTAGTTGCGTATGTACATGGCACATACGGATCGTTCCATCAGTACATCTCGTAAGTCCTTCGGCCAGGTCATCAGCTTCTAGTCGACACACGATTCCCCACAGTCATGGCACAGTGTACACACGCCAAGCGCACGTCAAGGTAAATGGTACACACTGGTGAATACAGTTACACTTATCAACATACATTCAGCTGTCATAAAACAGGGTCAAGCCTCGCCTCGGTCGCCATCTCTGGTTTCCCTTCAAAACGTGAATAACCATCGACTGGTGTGGTTCAAATGCACACCGCTTTATCTCGTCCTCCGGTCTCGGTCGTCACCTACAGCTCAGAGTGGCTCAGCCTGCAGTCGCCGCCGTCCCGTCCCTGCCCGTGCCCGGCCGCCGGGCCACCCGGCCCCTCCCAGGGCCGCGCGAACCGTGTGGGCTCGCGCAGCGCGGCGCCGGCGGCGTTCACCACAAACACGGCGGCGGCGAGCGCGCGGTGCACGCGCCGCCACAGCTCGGCCTGGTGCGGCTGGAGGCGCGCCGCCGCCAGCGTCTCGGCCACGTCCGGGAACAGCAGGCCGTTGTACTCGTGGTCGGGATCGGTGCCGAACACGGCGTTACTGCGCGGACGGCGGGGCGTCAGACACCGGGAGCAGGGCCGGCTCAGAGACAGCGTGAGTAAATTGGGGAGCAGGGGCCACAGTGGGAGGGAAGAGGTCCCGAGAACTATGTTTATGGGTGTTTTGAACTATTGAGCAAATGGTTACATAATACACATGCATCATATAAAACACGTAATCGTATTTCATAGCTGCGAACGGAACTTACATTCCATTTAATTAGCTGTGCATGTGTTGTGTGAAAGAGATGGTATGGCGCAATGTAGAACGTAGAATGGTGAGGTTTGTGAGAGTCTGTGGTTAGGCTGTGGTGTATTTGTCTCCCTATGATAAGGGCATGAAGGTAAAATTGTTTCAGATATTGCGTATAAGTGCAGTTTGCTTTCGTCTGAGGTTTTTATGTCGAATGCGTTAATTCAGGTCAATGCACAGGGCCTCGCCTCATCAATCACACAAGTGGTGCATTTCATGCAAAGGATGTGAGGAAACAAAACTTATCAAAGCTGACGATGGCGCCGAAGGAATGTCGAAAAAATTCAGGATTTGTGTCAGCCACAGAGCTTCAATTACCATACACTCCGATAACAAAATCTTTTTTCCTTTTCTTCAACGTTCCATTTATTGACAGCCGCTAAAACTACTTACTATAAAATTAGTCACTCCTTGCATAGGTCATTTCCGCTCAATATCCTGTTCTACAGCAGGACCCCCCCCCCCCCCCCCAACAGAGTGATGTGACTTACCGATTCTGGTCGTCCACCAACAGCCCGTTGGGATCCACAAACGATCGCTCCACCAGTACCATCTGGTCATTCAGCTGTCGCATGTGGAGGTCGCTGAAAGACGAGACGCTTCTGTTAGCTCTTATCATCTATGCACGGCTTCCACTCTGGGTTAGATAGGTAAATTGGGTAAATGTGTGTTGCGCAAACAGGATGTAAAATTTATCGTCCCCTGTATGTCTCGCATAACAGCATTCCTTGGCTCGCGGAGAACTGCGATGGCTCTCGGTCACCTATTGACATTGAGGAGCGTGTATAACAATGTGTCAACTACTCAACATAATGCACATGAGGAAGGACTTTGATGGCGAAGAACGTTCTGGTCACTGACCTCAGAGGTTCTCCCGAGTGTGCGACGTTGTGGAATTGTTCGGCAGCCTCCTCGTACGCCGCTACCGCCCGCTCCAGACCGGCTGAGAGTAACGCGAGACTGTTAGTTGGCATGCTCAGGTGCTGTATTCGATGGGCACAAGCACGTAGACGCCAGCTGCACACACGGACCACACAAACGTACACACAGGAATGTCACACAAAACTGAATGGCTATCACTTAGCTTTGGTGTCCCTGGCTGAAATACCAGTAGGAGCCACACAAATGCTTAGTAAACTTCTACCCGTAACAATCCCAAGAAATATTATCTAGAACAGCTAACCACGATGATTTAGTTACCCGAATATCCATAACCAGTGTCCAGCCGGCAGCCAGTGCCCTCAGCTGCTGCTCCTACTCACCCAGTGAGACATTGTATGCCTTCATGAAGTCGCCGTGTGCTGCAGTGAGCTGGTCCAGTCCAAGCCGCAGCGGTTTCCTCACATCCCTCACGTCCAGCGGCAGGAGCGGCCGGTCGGCGAGGAGCAGCCCGACCACCGCCCACAGCCGACCCAGCGCCAGGTGGTAGGCGAACGTCGGGTCCAGGTGCTGCATCGCCTCGTACGTCTCGAACGGCGTGTGGTACAGCGGAAAGTCCACCCAGTTCCACCGGTCCTGGAGAAAGAAAAAAACTGCATGGTACAGCGGAAAGTCCACCCAGTTCCACCGGTCCTGGGGACAGAGACCGTGTGGTACAGCGGAAAGTACACCCAGTTCCACCGGTCCTGGGGACAGAGACCGTGTGGTACAGCGGAAAGTACACCCAGTTCCACCGGTCCTGGGGATAGAGACCGTGTGGTACAGCGGAAAGTCCACCCAGTTCCACCGGTCCTGGGGACAGAGACCGTGTGGTACAGCGGAAAGTACACCCAGTTCCACCGGTCCTGGGGACAGAGACCGTGTGGTACAGCGGAAAGTACACCCAGTTCCACCGGTCCTGGGGACAGAGACCGTGTGGTACAGCGGAAAGTACACCCAGTTCCACCGGTCCTGGGGACAGAGACCGTGTGGTACAGCGGAAAGTCCACCCAGTTCCAGCGGTCCTGGGGAGAGAGACCGTGTGGTACAGCGGAAAGTACACCTAGTTCCAGCGGTCCTGGGGAGAGAGACCGTGTGGTACAGCGGAAAGTCCACCCAGTTCCACCGGTCCTGGGGACAGATACCGTGTGGTACAGCGGAAAGTACACCTAGTTCCACCGGTCCTGGGGACAGAGACCGTGTGGTACAGCGGAAAGTACACCCAGTTCCACCGGTCCTGGGGATAGAGACCGTGTGGTACAGCGGAAAGTACACCCAGTTCCACCGGTCCTGGGGATAGAGACCATGTGGTACAGCGGAAAGTACACCCAGTTCCACCGGTCCTGGGGATAGAGACCGTGTGGTACAGCGGAAAGTACACCCAGTTCCACCGGTCCTGGGGATAGAGACCGTGTGGTACAGCGGAAAGTCCACCCAGTTCCACCGGTCCTGGGGATAGAGACCGTGTGGTACAGCGGAAAGTCCACCCAGTTCCACCGGTCCTGGGGATAGAGACCGTGTGGTACAGCGGAAAGTACACCCAGTTCCACCGGTCCTGGGGATAGAGACCGTGTGGTACAGCGGAAAGTACACCCAGTTCCACCGGTCCTGGGGATAGAGACCATGTGGTACAGCGGAAAGTACACCCAGTTCCACCGGTCCTGGGGATAGAGACCGTGTGGTACAGCGGAAAGTCCACCCAGTTCCACCGGTCCTGGAGACAGATACCGTGTGGTACAGCGGAAAGTCCACCCAGGTCCATCGGTCCTGGGGACAGAGACCGTGTGGTACAGCGGAAAGTCGACCCGGTTCCATCGGTCCTGGGAAGAGAGGTGTGCGTTCAATGAACTGACGTTTGCGTCTTGGGACAGCTCTCGCGCTCCTTAGAAGAGGGAGTAGGTATATTTGGGCAAAGTTCGGGAAGCTCGGAGATTGCGTAGAGGCTAGGCCATGGATGGATTTAGGAATGTTCTGAAGATCTCTAATTCGCTTTGTCCATAATCTACTCGGACGGAGGCGAAGCTAGATGGAGCAGGTACTCACGTAATCGATTTCCCACATCATGTAGACGATAGGAGTGCCGAGCAGCTGGTAGAAGGACCAGTGTTCGCTCGGCGATCCCAGGTTATAGCTGAACAGGTCGCCCTTCTCGCGGCTGCGCCAGTGGTCGTACAGCGAGGAGAAACCGAGAGACGGATCCGGCGCCGCCACCTGATACAGAGGACAGACGGACGGACAGTGAATACACGCATGGCAATAACACGACAACGACCACTCCTGAACTGTATGTGGCGGGATATTTGGAGCTCGACTCGTCAGCCGCTAGACATGCAACTTGAAAGCTTCATCAGTGAAAGAATAGGGTAAATAGGCTGTGCTTGAGCCACCAGTTGACTGATAGAGTATGATAGGCTGTGTTGCTTAGTCTTGGGTCAAGAAAAGGCCTCGAGTATTAAGGCAAGACCTGCGCCTGCCGCCTGTGAGGATCGATCTCACGACCCCTGGTTTACAAGACCAGTGCTCTGCCACTGAGTTAAGGCGGCTGCTGGCCACCCAAAATACAGGTATATGAGCGAAAATACATTGAGTCCTTAACAGCTCCACCACGCCGTCCCACTCACCAACCTATCTAAATACGTCTGCTGTATGGCCCCCATCACGACTGAGCGACCCCACAGCGTACCCCTGACAGACGGGAACTGAGACTGAGTCAAGACCGCCCGACTCCACCGAGGGAAGATCACTCCCGAGTCCCGTGTCTCGACTCGAGCCCTTCCTTTCTGCCCCCCCCCCCCCTCCCCTGGAGCTGTGACACAACTGGCGGCGGCCGCGCGGTGGTCACCTGTTTGGCGGCCTCGGCGGTGACGTTCTGCAGCAGCGGCGTGGCCACCACGAACAGGTTGTACGTGTAGATGATGGCCAGGTCGACGTTCAGGTAGGCCACCGTGCGTCCGCCGATCAGCGTGATGAACTCCTCGACCAGCTCGGTGGCGCCATAGTAGCCGAACTCGCCGCTGCCCCAGCTGGCAAACACCAGCGTCCGGCGCGGACGCCAACCTGCGGCGTAAGAGGGCGGCGTCAGACGGCCGAGAGAGACATCGTTGAACGGTACAGGGGCCTGGAATGCTCGAAAAAACGCGCATTAGTGAAATACTTCAGCAGTATTCAAAATATTGTTATAACCACAAGGCAGGAGGCATTGTAATTCAAGCAGCCTCCCCCCCTCCCAACGATCGAAATTGCCCGATGACGCTGCAGCTTAGTTCTCTCTCAGAGCTCACGTACACTCGAGGGCAGATTGATGTTCCACCACTCCCTACCTATCGGGCTCCCTTGGCTCAGCACTGGCTGCTGCCAGTCTTGCCTGCTCTCAGCACTGGTCAGCACTGCCTGCCAGTGCCAGTGCTGCCAGTGCTGCCATTGGCAGCAGCCAGTGTTGAGCCATGGGAGCCCGATGGGTAGGGAGTGGTGGAACATCAATCTGCCCCCGAGTGTACCTACACCAAACCATTTACGTTCGTCGTCATTACGGGTTGCTAGCCGCTCTCACCCACCAGCCAGCCCGTGACACTCACCGTTCTGTTTGAGCAGGCTGAAGGCGCGCACCATTTCCATCATGGTGGCCGTGCCCGAGCACGGGTCCAGAGAGCCGTACGACCAGGCGTCCCGATGATTACCTGGCAACGGGCAACGACGTTATTCAGCTAAACAGAATAATACTCGGCACTCATAATGCAATCAAACCGAACAGCCTAGAGACAAAAGAATCAGTGGAGCACAGCGTTTTTTTTTTAGCACAGTATAGTCTCAGCTGAGAAGAAAATGAGGAATGGCGCTCAGTGAGTAGCTTAAAGTAGCTTCGACCATTACGATAATTAAACGGAAAGTTTATCGGTTTATCGGAAAGTTTATCGGAATCTCACCGAGGACGACGTATCGGTCTGGCTCGACGCTGCCGCGGATGAAGCCCAGCGTGTTGTAGGTGGGCATCACCCGCTCCATGTTGTTGACGAACAGACGGACTGACCTGAAACACTGACGTAGTCAGACTCGGTGGCGGGCGTAAATCTTCATCCGTTAGGTTAGATTACGTTGAGGTACCAAATGAACTAAATAGATGTCAATAGTGATGCGAAACGGACTTGCAACGACGCAACAAAGCGAGATACCGCAGACATATTGCACGACGCACAATGTGACGATAGACCATAGCTTACTTATATCAAAACATAAATAACTCAACACTGACACTGACTGACACTGACTGATCAAAACATAAATAACCCAACACTGACTGATCCTATCAGACACATCGACCCAGCAATGTGATCCAGGCGCAATGACAGAATCAAAGGCATGTGCCCGTTCGATGAAACATGCAAAAGATAGAAAGTAAGCTTTTCTTCACAATCCCCACAGTTGGCTGTGTGACAGTCCCAGCCTCCCCTCACCAGTCTGGTCTGGCAACTTACGGTCCTTGTACTCTCCCCTCACCAGTTGGACTAGTAACGGTCCCATTACGTCAGTCGGACCGGGCTCTAGCTGCGGCCCCAGCCTCCCCTCACCAGTCAGGTCGAGCTAGTTGCGGTCCCAGCCGGTAGGTGGTGCGCAGAGCGCCGCGCCAGGCCGCCGGCGCCTCGGGGCCTCCCAGGTTACTGAGCAGCTTGTGCGCGTCCCTGGCGCTCAGAGTGTGACACGGTCCCAGAGGCAGGTTGGCCGGAGGTCGCGACCGGTCACGGTAGGCGTCCTCTGCGGCGAAAGGGTGCGGTCAGCGTCGGGAGCGGCGGTAAGGTCAGCATCGCTGGCCGGGAGTGGTCTGATACGGTTAAAAACATGAGGGTCTCGCCTTTAAAGGTATACAGTGGAGCTGCCAGTGATAGGTACCGGTTCATCGAGCTAACGTCAACACCAATAATCGTGGACCTTTCATCATATGGTCTAGCTCAATTACTCTATAATTTTTGCCAAATACGTCCATTATCATTCCTAGGTATTAGCCTATCATCATGTTTGACAAACGGTAGAACTGTAATTTTCACATTTGGCCAGGTATTTGTCGGTGAGTATTTACCTGTGGCCGGGTATCAGTAGGAGAGCGGACTAGGCGGAGTTTACGTTTACGTCCTGTGGCCGGGTATCCGTAGGTATTTACTATTTACCTGTGGCCGGGTATCCGCAGGTATTTACTATTTACCTGTGGCCAGGTATCCGTAGGTGAGCTGGTGATTTACCTGTGACCGGGTATCCGTAGGTGAGCTGGTGATTTACCTGTGGCCGGGTATCCGTAGGTGAGCGGGTCGCCGTCGCGCCAGGTGACGGTGCCCCGCTGAATTCCCGAGTCGGGCAGCCAGAACGAGCCCGGGTACGCGTCACTGACGTTGGCCGGGTTACCGTAGTCGGCAGGGTCACTGGTGGTACGAGAACACAGTTATAGGGCACTGAACAGATCCCAAAACACAAACACCAGAGCGGTAGCAGCGCGCTGTTCGAACGGAACTGGACTGGTGGACAGTGGACACTACTTATTACAGATAGACTAGGCGGTTTTATGTAGGTTTGAACATAATAAAAACAAAAACACTCACATTAAGTTCATCCGACCACATTATGCCACAACAGCGCCTATAGAAACCTAGCATTCAATTCAATCCATCTTCAGCACTTCTTCACACAACGATGCGAGCCACACCCAGCCGTTAGGTACGCATGCCGCACACGGCTACTCACGAGTAGAGTATGGCGCCGATGGCCCCCTCCTCCTGGGCGTTTTTGACCTTGTTGCCCCTGAACATGGCCCCGTAGCGCATGATGACCAGCCGGCCGCGGACCGAGACGCCCAGATGACGCAGCAGCTGGAAGTCCTCGCGCCGACCGTAGTTGGCATACACCAGCTCACTCTGGAGGCCGAGGGCACGGGGGACGATAGAAAAATATCCGAAAATAATACAGAGATGGCGAACACCGGCGGAAAATGTCATTTATAGACAAGCGAAGTTGTATTTGAGTAATTAAGAAACAAAACCAGCTGAGTGGAATCACATTCAAGCGAGTTACGTCGACGGCTGAAAAATAGTATTTATAAAACAAGAGGCAGCGGATCTCAGCTGGAAGAGTTCCGCTGGTCAGCCCAGCTCGCACGGTGGTCTACAAATCACCTAGTTTCTACGTCACTCTCGACTCTGCGACACGTACCGAGCGTATGTCTCCGGAGGGACAGAAGGCCAGGTAGGCGGGCAGCTCATCTCCCTCCTGCCACTCTGTCCCCTCCTCCGAGAGAGCCGAGGTGAACTTCACGTTACCGCCTCCGTCCAGCAGATACACCTGAGAGCACACACGGACAGGTGAACGTGACAAATCATCGGAATGTCGAACAGGAACCAAAGGTGAGTGTGTAGCCACTGGGACATGGGGTCAAGAATGGAAACTGATTGAATCGATTGCGCAAAGTCAGTGAAGTTACGTGCGTCACCAACAGAGGGTCACACAAGTCAGCTCCTTCTCGTCCTGAGCACAAGCTCGCTGGCGTAACGTCAGATTCAATTTACCTTCCTCAATTCCAGCTCCCAGCCCAACCCTCTCAAACAATTTACTGACCCTGCTCGGCTCGGTGGTGTTGGGATGCGACAGCAGCACCTCGTAGCGATTCAGGATGACGTCGTCCAGCTGCTGGTCTCGCCAGGTGTCCCGGATCTGCTCGGCCTGGCTCAGGTCGGCCGGCGTGCCGCCCACGTGCGTCGAGGCGGTGCACTCCCTGTGGTGGGGACAGACGGTGGGGACAGGCTGACACGAAGGGCACACTCGGTGGCTCAAAGGGCGACACAGGCACAGACGGCGGGGACAGACTATTACCGGGGTGACACATATAGTGGAGACAGAGTGCCGAGGCGGGCACACACGGTGGATACTGAAGACATGCTCCCAGGAGCGGGTCTGAGGTGCACAGGACGAACACCGGACCCGGAGTTCAAGGTATGGGTCGGGGAACATTGGACCCACACTACTGGTGACCCAGATATGTCGTCAGAGAAAACTGAGTCTGGACCCAGAACACCGGTCAGGTCTGGGCCAGGGATCACTTGGCCCGAGGTAGTTTGGTAGTCCAGGCGAGTTTGTGTCAGGTAACACAGGACCCAGAACACTCTGAGCGGGTTTGCGTCAGGGAACACTGGGCCCTGAGGGCTCTGGGTGACTTTGGGTCAGGTAGCACCGGGCCCGAAACGCTCTGGGGCTCTGGGCACTGTTCAGGTCAGGGCATTGTTTGTCCGGTTCGGGTCACGCTCCGAGGACGGTTCGGAAGTTTATGGTTATGCCAATGCCAGTATTGGCTGCATACTTCTTGCGAGAGCCTATTGCCCATAGTTTTCACCACCTTCACGCACAAATCGTATCGGTGGTTACTCCTAGCAGTGACCAGTAAGCGGATGAAATTCCGTCGTTTACATATTACATATGGGGCACACTAATGGGAAGGGACGATGTTTTTGCTTTAGGTGGTTCTCAAATAGAGCCTAGAATATGCATCATTCGACGAAGTAGCACCTAAGTCGAGCATAAATCCGCGTACAATAAGACAAAATGCAGAGAAGCTATAAGCAACTCACACACTTCACACTGCACCTTGTATTTGCGCGCGCAAACACGAGCATATTTTTAATTATTTCTGGTTAGTTCGTTTGGTTTTCATGTGTTTATTTGTTTCTGATTGTAATAAGGATCGTGCCAAAGTTAGATAATTGTCCGTTTGAGCATGTGTGCTTGTGAGAAAGGAAGTATTGCACGTTGGGTAGATTATCGTTCTGTTCAAAATTGATTTGGATCGTGCCAGGTCCCATGCCACAGCACAGCGAAAGTCGTCCCAAATGCATGTTGCGGCATGGTTATATCCTCACCGGGATATGGTACCGATTTTCCCAATTTACTGTATTCATATGCAATGTTGCGAGAGTCAGTCCCACAAATGTGACCTGATTTCCAGCATGGTGGTACTGGAAGAACGCCTCATCATGAGACGTTCTTCATAAGGGCCTCATTCCATGAGGCCCTCATGGAATAAAGTGGGAAGTTCAGTGTAATCGAAGCAGTGTACGACTTCCCTGTGTGCGGCACACGCGGCACGCGGCTCACGACAAGCACAACACTACAACTTGTGTAGGCAATGCTAAGCAGGTGATCCATAATGGGTGGTTGATTTCCTCATTGATGTTTAGGCGGCATAGTTAGTTGTGGTACCAAAAAGACCCCAATCTGGCCGTAGTCGTGCGATTCACACCCAGAATCTATCGGTGGTGCAATGCTTCGAGGAGAAAAAAACTCGAATGTTATGTGTCGGTCGCTGATCGAACGAAGATCAGTCATAACTGATTCGAATCTCGGAACTTGTTCAGTGAGCAGTGGCTTCAGTTGCTCGGAATGGAACGAAAAGCAGTGATATGTTATTGTAGTTCTGTTTTATTGGTGATAAGTGATAACATGAAATTATCAACAGCTAGATTAATATGCATGGTCGAAACACACAACAACACTCCAACTTTTGCAGCAGGGTTAGGCAATGCGTAGTAGGTGATATATTAATGGGTGTTGATTTCCTCATTGATGTTTAGGCGGCATAGTTAGTTGTGGTACCAAAAAGACCTCAATCTGGCCGTAGTCGTGCGATTCACACCCAGAATCTATCGGTGGTGCAATGCTTAAAGGAGAAAAAAACTCGAATGTTGTGTGTCGGTCGCTGATCGAACGAAGATCAGTCATAACTAATTAGAATCTCGGAGCTTGTTCAGCGGGTAGTAGATTCAGTTGCTCGGAATGGAACGAGAAGCAGTGATATGTTATTGCAGTTCTGTTTTATTGGTGATAAGTGATAACATTAAACATCATTAAATCATAAAAAATGTCTAGAAACTATGCATAATCAAAAACATAAACGTATAATCCCCACATAACTACGACCCCACAAATCACGGAGCTACCACCACTCAGTGGAATTTGGTACAAGAGTATCCCCAGCCTACCGAGCGGGCTGCGCCAGTTACGAACAGTCAGCTCAGCCACCGCTAACAGTACCTGAGGTTCTTGCCGATCCGGCCCGCCTCCATGAGGTCATGTAGTTGTTTGGTTGTTTGTTCAATGGTGTCATGGCCATAGTTCGAGGACTGACGGTCACTTGAGGTAGGCTCTCCACCGTTGAATAAAGCGTCCGCTAACGGCAGAACCTGCGAACAGACGAGGGAATGGGCGGGTGAGGTAGGGTGTGCGACCCACTGACAACAGTACAGACGCGCAATGCTCCATTTTACATTCGTTTATCTGGGCAGATTACCGGCCTACCAAACGACTGAAGTCACAAGTAACAGCAATCAGTTCACGGCTGTATCTCGGCTGTATCGCATTAACTGGATATACACATATTGAAACACCTGGACCTAATAAGCTGAATTATCATAAGACTTAGCCTCCCGAGTCAATAACGCATGATCGTCGAGGGACACGCTCCCGCCTCCCCGGTACCCATATGTGGTAAACCTGTGATGGTCAGTCCGCCAACTCACACTGGTCACTGCGTGAGGTCCATACCCGCCTATCAGTCTCGTACCCACCTGGAACAGTCCTGAGGCCCGCTAAGCCACCCTGTCTCACCACACCTGCCTAGAAAGTCCAAGAATATCAGTCCGACACCTACCTGAAGCAGTCCTCCGATGATCAGTCCGCCCAGCCACACTGCTCGAGGTCTGGCCATGTGGAGACGGTAACGGGGATACAGCAGCAAAGGCACAGTGGCAGCAGCAGCAGTAGCAGCGGCGACAGCGGCAGCAGCGACAGCAGCAACGGCAGCAGCAGCAGCAGCACCACGCCAGAAGCAGCAGCAGCGGCGGCGGCAGCGACGGCGGGGAGCGTGTCGGGTGCGCTCCTCCGGCAGCGCCGTGCCTCCGACTGCGGCGCCGCTCCGGCCGGCGACGCCTAAATATCGCCGCTGACAGACCGGAGACACGTGACCTGACGACATGGATGTCGCCGGCGGCCGCAGACCTGCAGCAGACGGACAGGAGCGTGAGGTAAGACAACAGACAGGGAGGGTGCAGACAGCAGACATACAGGGGTCAGACAGGGGGACAACGGACAACATACACACAGGGAACAAACAACAGACAGGCGTGAACCAGACACCCGACAGGTGCTGAACACAATAACTCGTAAATATTCTTTTCACGCTATCGCCCTACCCGATGAACAATGAGATATAAACGGATACTTGGAGCACAAAATTATTATCAACTCGACACATGCAATAATATAGGTAGATAAGGGCCCTTCTAACAAGAGACACCAATCGAGCACAGCCGGTATCACGACAGAAATATTCACTGAGCACATGGTACAGAATCACTAACCTGCTGGATATCCAGAACTTCACAGTCATCCTGAATCCTGACTGAATTGTCCTGGGGACCTCCCCTTCGGCGCGGATACAGCAGTCTTACAGGATAGTACCCAGACTGAACAGCAGCTGTCCTTCCCAGTTAGTAATTCCCCATGACCAGCAACGACACCCGCAACAGGAATTCATTACCATTTATTGGTGGCAACAAATTACAAAACCGTGAAAGTGAAGGCAACAGGCAGTTCTTATTGAATAAAGGGAAACCAAGGCAGAAGTGAGTGACTAAAGACAATATACAAAAGGAAGCAAAATTACAAAATTGTACATCATACGAATAACAACGATTTATGATGCGGTTTCCGAAGTAAGCCCAAAATACAGCGCCATGTTTGCCAACAATCATTACATGCAGAGCGGAAGACAAATCCAATTTGACATCCATAAGTGGATCCTAGCGCTCTGCCGTTCAGGTACTCCGACTGGCAGATAAAGGCGCCGAAACTGCCACTTTGCATGCAACTTTTCGCCAGATTGAAGGGGACACTCACGACGAATCAAGATTGACGAAAATGGCAACAGCGAACTTCTATACATTCCTAGGAAAATATATAAAAGGAATACAAGTAACCAAATGTTTGGCTATGATCAAACAATTGGCCGATTTACTTAAGTTGCCACTTTGGCACTTATAAACCGATTTTTAAGCCGATGGTGAACAAAGAACCATTCGTACAAACGCCACTCATACGGTTCTTACAAAGATTTAAGATAGTATAAAAAACAGGCATATCAGCGCCTCCATACAACAACATGTAACACTGCCTATCAAAGTCACACCGGTTACACAACCGTACGGTTATCACAGCCGTATCACCTACATATCGGCCACCACACGCCATCCTACCATCGGCCCCGGATACCGGACACGATCCACGGACTGGCACGCGCGCCGCTATCTCCACTGGGGCAGTTCCCCGACTGAGACTGAGGCTGCTCGGACTGGCGCTCAGTCGCTGTCGCTGCTCTCGGAGAGCCCCCCGGCGCGGGGCGCGGCCGGAGCTCGGCGGACCGGCGCCTGCCGCCGGCCCCCCGCTCGCTGTCCGCGGCGCCGGCCGCCGGCCCGCAGCAGCTCGGCAGCCTGCCGCCGCGCCTCCGCCTGGCGGCGCTCGGATAGGAGCCGCTGCGGGGCCGGCTCGGCGGCGGCCGGCGCGGGCAGCACGGGCAGCGGCCGGTCCGGCGCCGCCGCCGCCTGCCGCAGACGGTCGGCGGCCGACTCACGCCGACCCGACGCCTGTGATGCTGGAGGACGGCGTCCGGCGGCTGCCGGAGCGCTGGCTGCCCCCGAGGTACTGCGGGGTGGACGGGCGGCGCTGCCCGGCGTACGAACGGACTTTAATTCAGATGCCGATGTCCCTGCAGCTCCACCAGCGTTAGATAGCGCGGCGGCTGGCTGCTGGGCTCCAGTGTCCGCCGACGCGGCTGCCGGTGGCACTGCCGCCGTTTCTGTTAGCGGCTGAGCCGAGACATCACCGGCCCCCGTTCCCTGTGCCGCGCTCCCCTCCGCCGTTTTCTTCCCCGACTCCTGTCCAGTCTGACCTCCCTCACTGTCTCCAGCCGTCGCCGCTCCGTCCGGCTTCCGGTCCGGCGCCGCCAGTACCTCAGAGAAGCTCTCCTCCCTGCGCGCGGCCGGATCGCGGCAGGACCGACCCCGCCCGGCCGACAGCGGCGGCAGGCCGAGCCGGCGCCGGAGCTGCGCCTCCCGCTCCAGTCTCAGTCGCGGGTTGTGTTTCAGCAGTCCTTCCATCATCTGTGCGCGCACTTGGCGTGTGGAGGGTTTCTGGGCGGCCGGCCGCGCCGCCGGCGGGTTCTCGTGCTGGATCTGGGAGCGGATGAGGTTGGCGCGGTCCCGCAGACGCCGGACTAGCAGCACACGCTCCCGGGCCACCGGGTCCAGAGAGGAGAGTTCGCCGGACACCGGTGCAGAGCGGGACGCCGCAGGGCTCGACCGAGAGGTGGCCGGGGCGGACGGCGCGGCGGCGGAGGACGGGCCCGGCTCATCAGCTGAGAACGAAACCGGTTTCCTGGGGCGAGCACGACCTCTGCCGCGGCCGCCGGTGGCGCCCCGACCTCGGGCGCCCCTGCTGGCCGACCCACGAGGCACAGCGCGCGGCCTGGGCACAACGTCCGGCAGCTGGGCCGACTCTACCGTGGACTCTACTCCACTTGGCTCTTCAAATGCCTCTCCATCGCCGAGGCCATCCGCACCATTCATACCATCCCATTCATCCATCGGCTCCGTAAACGCGTCACCCGCGCCGTCATCATCACCAGCATCATCCAGCGGCTCCTCGACCGCTGCCAGCAGCTCATCCAGACCGTCATCCAGGAGAGCGTCTGGATCCGCCGCCGCTCCCGGCTCCGGGCCGCTCGGCTCCGCTCCACGTGAAGGCGGGGACGGCGGGTCGTCACCGCGGACTCTGCGGACCGCCTCCTGCAGCCGTTTGGAGCCCTCGGTGGGCGCGTCCCGGCGATAGGCGGCCGTGAAGAACGCGTCCAGGCGCCGCTGGCCCTGCGGCAGACGGAGAACAGGCGGTGAACTGACGGTAATGGTGAAGAGCTATGTGTGAAAACACGTTTGTGGGGACTGGAAGCGACGGGTAGACGGCTCAGAGACTGCTACTGTGAAAGCTACGATGCGATGCAGATGTGATTTAGGGGTTCGACGGCTAGTTGGATATGGGTAAAAGGTTCGGTACAGAATGCGAGAACTATGCTAATGAGTTATATCACACTATCGCTGCCCGCCTAAAGATGCAAGAGTACTGCTTGTCGATGGATGCAGTCACCTCCTATCCGGTCAGTACAGTACGGCACGTGGGGCAATAAGAGCGCGCCACCATACGACCGGCGTGCTGGAGATCACCGGCGGTACGGAGTACGGAGTACGATACCGGCGGCATGGCACCGGGGGTGACTAAGGCAGGTGTCACGGCGGGTCGTTAGTGATAACTCTATCACAGCGGAGGCAGGTAATGTGCTGATGGCGAGCGGTCGGCAGAGCTGTGACGGACGCCGGAAATAGTAACAGATAGGCCAGGCGGACGGCGGCATGCACATAATAAATGGCGTGCCACGAGCACGAGCCACTGATATATCATATCTACGATTTTTTTTTTAGTGCGAGACTTCTTGTCAAAACACTCAATAATCCAGGTCGCATAATTTAGGTAGTGGAAAGCAATAACCGATTGCGTTAGGGTGCTATGCACAACTCTACGGGCGAAGACTCGGATGATTTCGGCGAGGGTGTACCAAGCCACTGGGATGGTGCACACAGTTGTGCGTGATTCTGTCGGGCACGCAAGGAATGAGCTAAGCAACTGAGACTCCAGCTCGTAGCAATTCAGCGAGAGTAGCTGTCCATCAAATCCGACCTCGATCGGATCGCGGCCACCACATCCGATAAGAGCTCTGCTGGGATTGCCGCATTGAGAGCTGATATTTCACAGACTAACCAGAAGCTTGAGGTGTGTCAAATGAAGCTGCAGGCTAGAATCAACGCCATTGAAGCCAATTCCAGCGTCACTCGAGTTGACAAGATTGCTGCCATCCAAGCAAAGCTCGGAAAAAGATTGCAGCAAGTGGAGGAAAGCTGTGGATCGGAATCAGAGAGGTGTGCCTCAATACCAACACAGGTATCTGTATGAAATATTTCCCCAGGATCCCGGGGAGTCAGTCTCCACCTGTCTCTGAGCCACTTCAGCCCCCCCCCCCTTCCACCCTTTCCGGCCCCCACCTGTTCCTCGTAGAACCGCCGTTCTCACCTGCTTCTGTCTGAGCCGCTCCAGGGCCCCACTCCCGTCCTCACCTGTTTCTGTTTGTACCTGTCCAAGACCCCACTCCCGTCCTCACCTGTTTCTGTTTATATCTGTCCAGGACCCCACTCCCGCCCTCACCTGTTTCTGTTTGTATCTGTCCAGGACCCCACTCCAGTCCTCACCTGTTTCTGTTTGTATCTGTCCAGGACGGGGTTGAGCACGGTGTCGGTCTGCGCGGCGCCCCAGCCGAATTTGGCGGCGGCCAGGTGTCTGAGGCCGTCCGGGTCGGGCGGCGCCCAGCTGAACGGCTCCCGACTGGTGTCCACCTCCGGCTCCAGGTAGGCCGTCATCACCGCCTCCGACGGAAACCCTGCCGTACCGCGGGAGGGGTACATAAGTCAGTACACAGTCCCGAGCAGAATCACAGTAATGATACACAAGATACAGGGAGGTCATCACCGCCTCCGACGGAAACCCTCCCACACCGCGTGATAACAGCTGTCAGTAGTTACAGAGAGCCCAACGGCCCAACGGAATCACAGCACTGATACACCAGATACAGAGTGGTCATCACCGCCTCAGACGGGAACCCTACCACGGGAGGGGAACAGCCGGAACAGGTCACTGTAAGTCTCCGAAACAGAATAACAGTGCTGATATACCAGATTACAGAGTGGCCATCACTGCCCCCGACAGGAACCTTGCCGTACCGCGAGAAGCAGAGCACAGTACAGAATAACAGGCACTGAGACAGACAGCACCAGACAGACGGCAGTCATCACCGCCTCCGACGGAAACCCTGCCGTACCGTGAGGGTGGGGAGCGGTTAGTGCAGAAATATAGTCAATAAGGATCGTAAAGTTACGTGCAAGAAGCATCGCTTTTAACAGTCAACCATTCTCGATATAAACATACATTTAAAGTACTTGCTTCGTAACAAAAATCACCTTTCCCCGCCATCCCCTTCACCACCAGCTCACCGTGAGTCAGTTTGAGCGCCGTCAGGCTGCGGCGGATGGGTGTGCGCGCCGCGGCGCCGGCGCCGGCGCGGGCCTGCTCCCACCAGCGGCGGAAGGCGCGCAGCCCGCTCAGACCCTCGCCGGGGAACTCGGCCAATATCTCCAGGGCACGCACACAGCCCACGGACTCGACACCCAGCGTGTAGTCGCTGCCCGTGAGGAGCGCCACGCAGACCAGCTGGCCGCGCGTCAGACCTGGCCGGCGGAGAGGGGGAACGTCAGGACGGAATGACCGCGGCATAGGGCAGGGAGCTTCAGTGAACGGGCTGGCCGCGCGTCAGACCTGGCCGGCGGAGAAAGGGACTTCAGTGAACGGGGTGGCCGCGGGTCAGACCTGGCCGGCGGAGACGGGGAACGTCAGGACAGAATGACCGCGGCATAGGGCAGGGAGCTTCAGTGAACGGGCTGGCCGCGCGTCAGACCTGGCCGGCGGAGAAAGGGACTTCAGTGAACGGGGTGGCCGCGGGTCAGACCTGGCCGGCGGAGAGGGGGAACGTCAGGACAGAATGACCGCGGCATAGGGCAGGGAGCTTCAGTGAACGGGCTGGCCGCGCGTCAGACCTGGGACGGAGAGAGGGAGGGAACCTCAGTGGACAGTCTGGTGGTAGCGACAGTCAGAGATGTAAAATGTACTTGTTCGTGGCGTTAACGGTCAAATCATCCTCCGCGAACTATGCGCGCTGCGTCGAGCCACTTTGGGAAGCAGAATGCTATAATAAAGTGAGATGACCCTTGGAAAAATAATCTAAGCCTAAGTTACGCCGTTCTGCACATGACGCAAATCTGCAACGAGGCGAGCGAAGACATGTAACACCTACCCAGGGATCCCTGGATGTCGCCCGCCTGGTAGCACTCGACGAACTTCTTTTGGTTGAAGAAGTTCTTGTAAACCCGCCGGCCGCCGAACAACCAGATGTCGCTGTCGTCCGTTATTGTGCCTAGAGAAAGCCGACGAGTCAGGGGCTCAGCACACGTAAAGCAATACGATTCATACACGACAAGTCGAATGGCATCTGAGCATGGATCTGTTTGACAGATTCCCATGTTTTACCAGAAATTGTGATCTGCAATCCAAGCCCAGCGAAACTTCGTCTCGCCATCGTCGTACCGTGTCGCCATCGTCCATCAGCTCCCACACACCATCTAACATGAGTCCATGTAAACCCTGATCAGCCGGTACCATCCGCCTCACGTACCCTCAGTGAGACCGGCCATCTCCAGGAAGGCGCACTGCGCCTCGGCCTCCTTGGGCGACACCACGTACGGAATGCCGAACTGCTCCAGCAGCGCCTGGCCGAGGGTGTGAAGGAGAATCACAAACACGTCACACACATCAGCATAGAGATATTGATAGACGATATACACAGCAAAGAGCTAAATCTACAGAGCAGCGAAGTTTTCTGTGAAACGCACTGACGCAAAGCTGCAACCGAGTGACGATTTATGAGGAGCTGCTATGACTCGCTCCAGCGAATCGCACTCATTATCCACGGCGATGCTAACAGGTATGCAGAACTCTCGTTCTTCGGCCAAAACCTCATAGCGTGAGGTGCTCCCGTCTGCCCCGTTCCACACCGGCTTCCTAGCTACCAGACCCTCCCTTGGGACCACTAATGACCACTGTTCGCACAGCCCAGAACGGCCACCCACCTGGACATCCCTGTACATGTCGCAACTAACTCACCTGGACGTCCCTGTACAGTATGTCGTAACTAACTCACCTGGACGTCCCTGTGCATGTCGTAACTGACTCACCTGGACGTCCCTGTACATGTCGTCGCTGACGCCGGCGGCGTCCCGTTGCTGGCGTCCACGCTCCTCCAGCAGCGACATCTGCTCTCTGGCCAGATCCTCGGCGAGGCCGCGCAGCTCAGAGTCGTCCAGACCGTCCCACACAGAGTCCTCTACTGCAGGAGAGGCGGGCTCAGCCGCGGCGGGGGCTGGAGGTCCCGTGTTAGACGCTGAAGGACCCGCGGTGGAGGTTGAAAGGGTGTCAATGGAGGACGAAGTACCCGCGCTGAATGTTGACGGAACCTCGGTAGAGGCTGAAGGACCAGCGGTGTCATTTGAAGGACCCGCTGCGGCGGCTGTTGGGGCTGCAGGGGCCTCGCTGGAGGTTGCAGAGATCCCGTTGGAGGCCGCAGGGGCCGCGGTGTGGGCGGCGGTAGGGACAGCAGCAGTGGCGTCGCCTCGTCGCGGTGACACCGGTAACACCAGCGGCGAGTCCCGACCCCTGGATGGGGAGAGTACCCCCGGGTCGTCAGCATCCTCGCCGTCAGAAGTCAACGAGGCACTGTCCACCGGAGGCGGGCGACGGTTCGAGGCCGTGTTGGTAGGGGAAGCAGCAGCAGGGGCAATGGACCGACTCCCGCCCACTGTCACAGGCTGCGGTGGTTCGGCGGATGACATACTGGAAACGCTCTCCTCACGGGAAGGCGATGCTTTTGAGGAGGGTAGCCTGGTCTCTTCTAGCTTACCAGGATGGCCAGCGGTGGCGGGAGTGGCGTCCTCCTTTCCTAACCGAGCCTCTGTAGGTCTATCAGCTGCTGCGCACGTCACCACCTCAGCAGTACCTCTGGCACAGTTCTCCAGCTGCTGGTCCTTTGGAGGTCCATTGCTGGACGGTACTATCCCGTCGTCCGACCGTTTGTCACTTCTCCCCGCGGTCTTCTCTGTAACATTGCCCGGAGCAGGACTGGTTGACTTCAACGTCACAGCAGTCGCCGCATCGGCACTGTCTCTGCCACCGTCAGTGTCTTCCCCGTCACTCTCCTCCGAGTCACTCATTACACCGACGTCATCTTCCACCGCCGAAGGCGCAGAGAACACGTCGCTGAATAAATCGTCCTCGGCTGGAGCGGACACGGGGTTAATGGAAACTGTCAGCATCCCGGTGTCAGACGAGGCGGCAGTAGGGGCAGCGCCGGACGAATCGGTGACAACTTTCGACCGAGACGTTTTTGAGGATTTTGTTGACTTCTTAGGCGCGACCGGGTACGGCTTTTTGAACTGTCCAGACCGAGAGGCCTTTTTCCGTTCGGCTGATATTTTCGCTAAGTCCCTGGTGACTTCCTCTAAGGTGGGGATGTGGACAGACTCCGGCTTCGAGGCCGGTTTCTTTGCCGGAGGTTCACTCTGCCTGGGTGGCGGGTCGGGGGCCTTCCGCTTCTGCGGCGAGTCCCGCTTGGTCTTGACGTCCGCCTTCTTCTCGTCTTCCAGCCACTGGGCGGAGAACTTGAGGTAGAGGTTCGAGTACTTTTTGCCCATCTCGGAGAACACCTGCGCAGTGTCGGCCTCTGTCTGTGAGGCGGAGCGCTGCCCGCCGCGGCCCGCTGCGCCGCCGGGTGCGCCGCGGCGCGCGCCGCTCAGCTCCTCCATCCGTCGGTCGACGCGCGCCGCCGAGCCGCCGCCGCCGCTGCCGCCGCCCCCGAACAGGTCTGTGCCGGCCAGGTACTCCATGGTGTCGGCAGCGTCTGCCAGCGCGCCCTCGTCCTCGTCCTCGTCCGGCTCCGACTTCACGGCAGTGGCAGAACCTGCAGCAGCAGCAGCAGCGCCAGCGCCGTCCGAGCCGTCACCAGTCTGTTTGTCGGCCGAGGGGTGGCTCAGAACGAGGAAAGTACCGGCGCGCGAGGCCATCGAGTGGGCCGTCACCGTGCCCGGCAGGTCGATACCCATGTGCAGCAGCTCGGTGTTCTGCAATCGACAGAAAGGCCGTGGCGTCAGATGGAGGGACAGCAGTTGTCAATCTGTCAGATCACTGCAGTGCAGTGGTGAATACAATAAAACGAAACCGTGAAAACAGTTGTCATACTTGTCGCAGGCACATAATTCAAATTGTGCAAACTTACCACAACATAGAAGATGGTAAGGTCACGTAAAATATGGAGCTGTTGACAAGTGAAAAAATGTTGATCGTACCCAAATATCATGCTCTTCACGCCAGTCAGATTTATAAGTACGTACCCTTTTAGTGATTTCGGCTTCAACGTCATCCATTGAATCCTGGAACTTCTTTCTCTTACGCAGCCGCTCCATTTGGAAATCAGAGAAAGTATCAGCATCCTAAAAAGAACAGATCAGAATGGTATCATGCGCGTTGCATTCGCATGTACGCACAACTATCTTCATGAAGAATCGAACGAACGTAAAAGCAAATCACCACTTGTAGTCCAAAAGCCTGACTTGACTCCTACTGAATTTCAAATCCGATCCTGTCGTAATTATTTAAAATCTAAATTATCTTCTCCCTCTCTCTTAACCAGCCCAGCCGCCCGCGCCGCACTGTACATACCTTAGGCATCTGGTCCAGTTTTCCCCAGGAGTTCTGTTTCCGGGTGTCTTTGAGGTCGGAGAGGATGTCGTGTTTGACATGCGGCGCCAGGTTTCGGAACTCGTCCGACTCGAAGTCGAAGCTGTGAAGGTCGTGCTGGAGCCGGTCCACGATGGCCTCCGACTCGCTGTCTGAGCTGCTGTCCCCGCTCTCCGAGTCGCCGGCATCCGCGCTGGGGTGGGACGGCCGGGCGTCAGACAGGGGAGCGCACTCGGGAGGAATTTAAATCACACGAGGGATACATCAAGATATAGCACATGAAGCGAGCAGAGGAAGCTCTCAAATACGCATCAATGGAAAAACTTTTGACGGGAAGTGAGCTTCTTTAAAACTAAACCCCTTTCCGGTTGCACTTTAAGTTTACATATTACATAATTCAATGTTTCAATTAAAAAAAAAATCCATTAGATATCTCATATAAGCCTTGAACTTCATCGGAATCAAATATCCTATTCCCTATTCCCTCTCCGTTCCCAAATCCCAACTCCCCTCCGCCCAGCGCCCTGACCTCTGAGCGGGCGGCGCCGGCGGCAGCGCGAACGGGTCCGGTCGGCTGGCGGCGGCCACCGCCAGGGGCAGCGGTGCCGCGGCGCCCAGTACGGCGCGCATCGCCTCCTGGCGCAGCAGGTTCTGTACCAGCTTCTGGGAGGTGCGGTCGGCAGCCTGGGAGGCGGCCGCCTTCCGCAGCCGCCGTGCCGACTGCGGGCACACGCATCGGCGCCGGTCAGGGGGTGAGACGGGCCCGGATCTGAGACTGGGGTCAGATAGTGGGACAGACCCGGCTCCAACACTGAGGTCAGAGAGTCGGCAGTTTCGGCAGGCGGCACATGGGACGACTCCAGCTCTACGGGGACTGGCGTCACATCAGATCGAGGCCGGTCAGGGTAGCTGTTTGGTCATAACAGGCTCAGCTTAGGGTGAAGCCGGGAGCCGGGATTGAGAGAACATTAAATAAAAGGGGGCGTTGGTAGGTAAATACACAGTCATTTTGGCAATTCAAACACAAGACGAGATCGTCTGAAGATACCTTGAGCCATGAAAAAGCCATAAACTTACCAGTGTCTGTTGTTTCAGGGCGGGCACTCCACCGTCGAACACGAACACGGGTTTGATCCTATAGGTAAGCAGCTTGCAGACCCGGTGGAAGACACCGAGCAGGTGGGCGTTGGCCATGGCGCCGTGCTGGCCATCTCGGTAGCCTTTGATCACCTGAAACACGCAAAGAACAGTATACATGACGCTGGGGAGGCGTTGTCGTCCAATCAGAGCTTAGAAATACCTATAATGACCCGTCGCAGAGCAACAGTGATGACAAACAACATATAAGAACGTGAGCGACCGAACCGTGGGGTAGGTGACATGCATTCGTAGGGAAATGAAGCTGCTTTTAAGGTGGCTAGGTCACGACAAGGGTCGATCATGACGTCAATTCTCATTTTTTCAAACCAAGCAACGCCTCACTGGTTATCAGAGAGCCCACTTGTCACCTGGTGGCCCCTGGTCAATTGAAAAAGCCCCTGGCCATCTGAGAGGCCCTTCACAGGTGGAGCACAGGTGGAGCTGAAGAGCTGGATCACCATGTGGAACAGGGACTCTGGACACCTGTCAGTAGTAGTAAATCGGCGGTCCCGCTCGTGAGGGCCGGGGAGTATTTTTAGATGGTGTCAATTGCCGCTATTACGAGTAGGAATACGCAGGAATATAACCACGCCCATAACTGAGTTCACCCTGCGGTCCAGTGGCATCAGGCTCAAAGTGGAATCATATTGCGTGTACTCTGTGAGGCGAAGTGGATGAGAGGCCCGCAGCTCATACGATGTGTACTCGGTGACTGCGGGTTCGAGGCCGAGGAGCAGCGCGTTATTTGAGCATGTAGCTATGTTCAACTACCGGGTAAATAAATGGAGAGCTTTGGCAACCAGGTTATTCAATCGCTTAAAAATGATTTGAATAGATAGAGCGTATCCGTGCTGTCTTTTCCTTTTCTTTTGTTGGGTTAGGCCCTTTCCGCTTTCGGTCTATTTAGACTATTACAGAGCCGGGAGGATGATAGGAATTAGGGTAGACATTGTATTGTACTTATTGTATTGTACTTATCGTGGCAAGCCGATCCATCCGAAAATGGCTATTATTGGCTGCCGAGTCAGGTGAAACGAATGAGGTGGGCACAACATTACACACAACACACACGCGTCACATCTGCACACATATTTACTTTTGCGCCACTGCGCCGCTACACACTGGCCGGGTCGCCGTGTTGCTCACGCGGTAGGAGCTTCCGATACTCTCTCCGAAAGAGCCTGTGACCGAGATTGCGCAGCGCCGGAGGCAGAGCGTTATACTGCGATACAGTGGCGTATAGGAACTGGCGGCGCCCGGATTCCGTTCTAATCACGGGTAAATCGAGCAGGTCGGACTGACGCGTATCACGCCCATGCACGCTACCTCGCGACACAATCGTGTTGGATAGGGCTTCGGGCTCTCCTGTCTCGAGAATTTTCTTTAATAGCGTGACAGACTGTAGACGCCACATATTCTCAGCCGAGAGCCACCGCAACTCTTTCAGCACTTCGGTTACATGGTCATACTTCCGCCTGCCCGACACAACACGAGCACCGAAATTGATCAGCCGCTGGAGCCGAGACATCTGGGTGACACCACATCCACCATAGACAACAATGGCGTACCGGATGGATGAGACTACAAGAGCCTGAACCAGAGTGGCCAGCGTACTTTTCGGCAGGTAGTGCCTACTGTGACTCAGGCCGCTCAGAATACCGGTGCATCGGCGGGCTACATCAGTCACATGATTTGAGAAGGTCATGCTCTCGTCAAAAGTGACGCCGAGGTTTTTAGCTGAAGACGTTCCCACAGTAGTGGTACCCATGCACCTGATTTCTATCGGGACTAGTTGACGAATTTGCTGCCTTGTGCCCAAAACAATGATCTGAGTTTTATTTGCGTTAATCTTTAGCCCATTTTTTTCGGAACCAGAGTGACAGAGCTGCAAGGTCCCGCTCCAACTGGGTTACCATAGTTCCGGCATCACCTGGACTCCCCAGTACGGCTAGCTGCGTGTCATCACAGTATTGTACAAGACAACGATCGTACAAGGCACATTGGTCTGGGCCGGCACCCCATACAGTCACCGAGACTGAGCCCGTCCGAATGGACAGGCCGACCAGCCCCCCCCCCCCCCCCCCTCCCCCAGTACCTACTCTCTGCACCCAGATATGGGTGTGCTCCCTTAGGAGCTGCGGTGCGCTCTAATGGGAGTCGCCCGCATGGTATGAAGTTGCCTGTCCAGCCCGGAGCAGGGGTTCCGGCATGGAGGAGAAGGATTTGAATGTCCTAAGGATGGAAACGACGGAACGGGTGTGCAATGTTGTCTCGTGTATTGCGGTTTTCATCTTAGAACCAGGCCGCCCCTCACGCTACGACACTGCGATCACCAGCTGAGCCGTTCTTTGGTCGGTGGCTCGACAGTTTCGGCACACTTGGATACAATGCGCCAGGACATGCGGACCGGGATGGACTGGCGTTATGGAAGCATAAGTGTTCGACGGAATGCGTTGTTATTAGCGGACGTTAATGTATGCCCGGCGATGCTTTTAACGGTTAGAGATGGATCGGCCCGGTAAGATCGAATGAATGCGTTGGCTGCCCGCGGCGCTGGTATCAACAATCAGAACCGTAACGTACCCAAGGTGGTAACGTTGTGGTTCGCTGGTAAAATAACTACTGGACGAAACGCTCTGAAGTTAGACTGGCTTCCTTGGACCGTAGATACTAGATATGGTGTCATGAACAGATAAAATATTCGCCAGAACTGTGTGGTAGTGCAGTAAAGCTATCGCAGTGCTTTGTCCCCTGAGCTTGTTGACACGCCTGTCGCTATGCCGTGTGATGTACGCTGCGAGATTCCGTGTAGTAGAACAAGCCCTCACAACCCAGAAGAGAACGGGCAGATCGATATGCAGAATGGCGTAATGTGGAAAGCAAAGTCACCCAACCTACTGCCAAAGCATCAGCATACTGACGTAAGGAGTGTGCTTTCAGACACTTCATTTTCTACCAAATCAGTCTTATGTAATACAACCAACCGTTTTAGTTTAACCGTTTTAGGGATCTTCTTCAAATACGCCTTTTTGCATTGTTTGAAGGTCCGTATCGGCAACTATTTTGGCATCGGTTCGAACAACCATTGTGCCTTGTCTCACTATGTCTTGCGGATCTCTGCTCCATACGTTCAATAATCTTATGATCCTCTCGGTTGAAGGGTTCCCAGTCCTCGTTTGCGTACTCGAGATGGGGACGAGCCATGGTCCGGTAAAGCGTTGGGGAGCGTGACCTTGTCGAAGACAGCCGTAGCTTAAGCGTCACACACTTTCTGGCAGTCATCCGTCGACCTTTCGAACTGAAGTCATCGACGAGGGTACGCTCCCAAAGTTCTTCTGGGCCATGGTTTGTTCCCACCTCGAACTTTTTCCCATCAATCATCGCATGCTGCTGTCAATCAGTCAAAAAGGACTTGATCCATTCGAGCAGCTGGCCATTAATCCCACAAGATTGGAGCTTCAACAGCAGATGCTGGTGGGACACAAAGTTCAATGTTTTATTTATGTCCAGGTTCAGGGCATCAACAGTGTCTCCTTCTACTGGGTCATTGGTCCACTCTGTAACTGTTTCAAGGAGCTGGGTGGAGCATGACCTCTTCTGCCTGCAGCCATGTTGCAGATTGCTAAGCTGTTCAGTCTCACTCAGGTAGTTAATCCTCTGGTCAAGGACTGATGATTTGAGCACTTTGTATGGGACAGTCATCTGAGTCACTGCTTTGCAGTTTGCAGGGCTGTCCCTCACATCCTTCTTGAAGATTGGGTTGATCTCACCTGCCCCAGTTGCTTGGCAAGGCAAGGTGGAGTTGTCTGGTGATGAGCAGAAAAAGAGTGCACATGGTTCTGCATGACCAATGCTGTTTCCTGCAAGATAGGAGAATCAGGCAGATGCAGCCCATCTGGCACCAGGGAGTTGTTGATCTTGAGATTCAGCAGCTTCTCCTTGTTGGTGCTGGTGTTGGTGTGAGGCATGTCTAGCCAGAGGCCAGTGTAGCCTGGTGGTGGTACTGGCAGCCAGCAGGATGAGGTCCTTGATCCTACATAGGTACACTGTGAAAGTAGTGGTTCAGCGGGTTGACTTTATTACTGTCCTCCTGAAGCACCATCCGATCCGCTTTCAGGTCCTTCAGTCTTGTCTTCATCCACAGCTGAGTGCTCACATAGGTACCTACCTAGCTCCAGAAGTCCTAAGTGTTTGTTCATAGAATCATTGCAAGATTCTGAGTAAGAATTCAGAGCTTGTTACAGTTACAACAGAAATGAGCATCTCTGGGTTATGTACTAACATACTGGAACTAGCGCCATTATGATTAGCCACGTAAGCAGTCCTCTTTGCCTCTTACATGATGTGGTAAAGAGTAACCAAAACTACTGTTGTTTGTGTTTCTTATAGGTGTCATGGTTGGTAGTGTTTCAAAGAAGCACATACCTGATTGAGCCAAATGGAAACATCTACTGCCAATATCTTGTCTTCCAGACTTTCCAGAGGTACAGGTTTTCCACATGGCTCAAGGAGCTTCCAAAGTCCGAGAACTCCCATGGTGAACAGCTAGTTCTCAACAAGTTCTGCAGTATAAAGAAAACTAGTTCGTACTTCTTGTCAGTTCAATATGGAAGATTTATGTATAAGTTACGTTTATTATTCATCTGCCACCACCATTTCACCACGAACATTATCAACAGCCACAACAGCCAACTTGCAGCAAACACATCCATGCGGCCCTCTCAGGCGACTTCCTTGCGTCAGAACCGTCTATCGTGCGTCTTTTATGAAATGTTCTATGACCATACTTAAGTTACTGCTATTCACTATTAGAAAAATGTTTGCTACCTCTACATTTGTATAATATTTTTGTCATTTTTGTGGCTAAGTTTTATATAATTATTTTGTAATTTACAAGCAGGAATGGCAACATAATGAATGCAACTTCGAAACGTAACAAAGATTTAAAATGTCAAGACATCAGATAGGAAGTTTTCGAGTATTCTTTGCATTGTTTTAGCGTAGGTTAAGAAATCCTTGTTGCTGGCTTTCATTTGGCGTGTGGATTTATGCGCGATTTGGATTTATGCGGATTTTTATGTGGGTCTAGGGAGGGTGTAGTACCGTGTCCGGACAAAATTTCGTCTGACATTTTTTCGTCGGACAGTTTTTCGTCCGCAGATATTCGTCCGACTTTTTTTCGTCTCGCATTTTTTCGTCTGTACATTTTTTCGTCTGTGCATTTTTTCGTCTGTGCATTTTTTCGTCTGTACATTTTTTCGTCCGGACATTTTTTCGTTCGTATATTTTTTCGTCTGTACATATTTTCGTCCGGACATTTTTTCGTTCAATAAATTTTACGTCTGTGCACCCAAGGTTGAGTGAAAACATACTACAATGCTATTCAACTGTGAGGCAAATGACGTCATAATAATACTCGGGGCGAAGCAGTGCAGTGCCGAAGGCAATGCCTTAGGAGAGATTACAGGCAATGGTAAGTCAAATATTTTTAGGTTAAGTGGTTGTGTATCTGGCTTCAGGCCGAAGGCCTGAAGCCTGATGCATAACCACTTAACCTAAAAATATTTGACTTACCATTGCTTGCAATCTATTCATGCAGGTAACTTTTTCCTTATCCCCCGGTAGGCAAACATCAGTAGGTAAGGTTAGGTTAGGTTAGGTTAGGTTAGGTTAGGTTAGGTTAGGTTAGGTTAGGTTAGGTTAGGTTAGGTTAGGTTGCGTCACGTTACGTTACGTTAAAATTGTAGACGAAAAAATGTCCGGACGAAAAAATGCACAGACGAAAAAATATACGAACGAAAAAATGTCCGGACGAAAAAATGTACGGACGAAAAAATGTACCGACGAAAAAATGCACGGACGAAAATTTGTACAGACGAAAATTTGTACAGACGAAAAAATGCGAGACGAAAAAAAGTCGGACGAAAATCTGCGGACGAAAAATTGTCCGACGAAAATCTGCTGGACGAAAAACCGTCATGGAATCGTGTAGTACCTATTGTTATTTTCGGTAACAGTATGGCCGTATAGTAAGATTGTACACTGGTGACAGGGTGTAAGGCATTTCTATTTTCTCTCATATCATGGCTCCGTGATATGGCTCCGGGGAGTGTTATTCATGGTCTTGCTAAAATACATTTTTCATGAGAAAATATTGCTTTTGTAATTTGTAGTCTTGTGTGTGTCATGCCTATTTCTCAGTGGACAGTCTGAGACTGATGTGCTTCAGTTTTGTTGTGCACTAACACTTGCTCTTTTTCCCAGAGTTTAATTTGTTTTTGCCTTGCGTTTCTTGTCCTTGTGGAGCTTAAACGCTGCCATTGTTACGCTTGATTAACGATGAACATGCAAAGTAATGCTCCAAATGGGGTTGCTTCTTCCATGAATGGTGCATCAGTAAGTATCTAAAATTGTGAGCAACATATTGTGTTGGCATGGCTCAAATATAATGTGTGGTGTGTGTAGTGGTAGCAAGCTTATAATAGTGTTGTCTTTTTGCATTTGTTGGTGGATTAGCCAATAAGTGAATTGGAGTGATCACTAATTAGGCAGCAAGGATGTGTGTAGGTAATAAGGATGTAACTTTAATGTTGACTTTTGTTGGCTACTGTTGTTTGCTAATAATTGTTGCCTTTTATTGTTGACTGTTGTTAGCATGAATTTGTCATTTTGCATCTGCCATACTTATTGCTTAGGTCCATATTTTTGTGTCACCTAATCCTACATGTCTCATCAATTGTTCCTAATTAGCTTATTCTTGATACATGATAAACACGCTATCACTTGACATAGGCGGCGGAACGGGGAGGGCACCGGGGCACCGTGCCCCCCTTTGATTTTGGCATTTTAACATTAGCCCTATGGGCGTTGCATGGAAAGAATGGGACCAAAAGTCGGCAGTGCCCCCCCCCTTAATTGAAGGTATTCCGCCGCTACTGTCACTTGATGCTACATTACTTGATGTCTACTGTTATCTATGCTTGATGCAATGTTCTGGGTAGATTTTGTGCAACTCTGATGCCTATGCATACTCACCAATCACCTGGGCCCCTGATTGAGGAGTTTCAAGTTTCTGGACACTTGTTGTCACTTTTGTTTCCACACAATAACCAGCCCTGTTGTGTGCTCTGCCCCCAGATGCCAACAATGCCAACCAAGACACCAGTGTCGCTGTTGCAGGAGCTATGTGCTAAACGTGGTATTACTCCCAAGTATGACCTGATACAGGTAGGAAGAAACTTGTGAGAATCAGCAATCAGTGCTGCCCATCACATTTATGCTTGTATCTTGTGACTGTGGCCTATAGGGCAACTCACTTGAGAGGATTTTATACATAGGTACACCAACCTCTGGTTCCATATCAACTATGTACTTTCCAGAGAAGGTAACAAATTGCTGGTGCATTCATGTTTAAGCACAGGGTAGTAGTATCCTGGATATTTAGGCAGTAGTGACCAGCTTTAACCTCCATTTTTACAGCCAATGCCTAGGCAATAGGTATGATGTTTCCATGACCTTGACTTGTCTCCACATCAGTATCATGTATTCAACAGTAGGGCGGGTCATCCGAGAACTTTTTTTCGAGGACACAAAATGAAGACCGAAATTCCTACGGAGCATGTCACAAGAAGACTGTGTGAATTTTTTCAATTTTTTTGGTTGAGGTTGCGGGTCGCCGCAGCCAATTAATCAACCGGGTTTTTCGCTACATTTTCACTGCACGCGAGTTTTGAGCACAAATATCATATGATTAATTATTTTCAAATATATACCTCGAAACTTCAGCTATTCCTCAACCTATTCTGCAAGTCTGTTGGCTGTATCTCTTTAACTGTGGCCATGGTGCCATGCTCTCTGTATCGGTTTTCCGCAACTCGATCGCAGCGCCATCTCTTGAGAGGACTGTTAACCTTGCGTCGGCCGAGACAATATGTATTCTGCTGATGCGATCTTAGGACGCTGATGAAAAAACGTAAGGCCCAAGAGCGTATATAGCGTGAAAGCTGTCAATTGCAATTAAAGTAGCCATGAAATGTACATATTGGGGGTTCACCTGACTTAAGCACAGCCATTATGCGCCAAGTGCGATAGTGTCCGCTGGACCTATTAGTCATTTGATTCTGCGCTGAGACTTCAGCAGCATTATTTTCAGTTTTGGCTTCGATTATTTCCTTGCATGTAAATTTAACCTTCCTTTTGAAATGCAAACCTAGTGTTAGAACTGAACAGTAGCAGCTCAATTGCAGAATAACTAAGTACTACGTTAGCCTCGTCAACTTAGCCCGGCTTCATCTGACAACAGACTGAGGATGAGTTGCGAGGTATCCTGCTGATCGGCGATCCGCGTATCATATCACTGCCCGAGTCGCGCGTTCTCATCGGACCATCAGATCCTATTTTGATGACCTATTGGGGCTGGGCCACCGCAACAAGCAGTGGAGCATCGAGCTTTGAGGGAAACTGACCTCATAATAACCGCGGTAGTAGCTGCTAAGTGGTCTCCGACGCAATTTGTGATCCCAATCATGTGACATTGTTGCAGTTAGTGGAAAGGAGCCTCCATGTCGAAACGGAACTAATGCCGCGTGGTGGTCCTCGGTGACACTTCACATTCTGTTCTCGGATAGGCAAGTGATTACAAAGGAAATGCCCTTCTGCATTTTACGTGCATAAGGATGCGTCGTTTATCATGATAAATAGGATAGCCGTGCTGGATCATCGGCTATGACGAGCCTGTTGGACGAGCATATTGCTTCAGTAAATGAGCCCGGTAGTCAATGCTTATTCCATTTGACACCAAAATCAGACAAGGGCCAAACTATTAAACAAGTTTACAAGACTTGTGGAAAAGCCACTAGACTAAAGCTGCGCCGATCAGTGGACCATTTACCAAGAGTGCCTGTGCATCGAGCAGGAACCGTTCGTGCCGTTTCGGGCAACGCCATGCAGTCCAGATCACAGAACACTTCTGAACAGCCCGGAAGCAGGCGTCACGCTCTTGACAAATCCTTGCTGTCAGTAAGGAAGCTTGAGCCCTTGAATTTGGTAAAATGGCTTACGTTGGCAGCTTGCAAGTTACGTATTCCGTCGCGATCGCCCATCATACAACATATATTGACCAGCTTCGAACTATCACCGAGTTCAATGTTGTTCACTATGTCCCAATGTGGTCCGAAATTACGGAGTAAACATTGCAGAGACGGATTACTCCAAAGCATCCAGCTATTGCGAGACCTCCCAGCTCACCGGTCTGTGTTATTCGCCCAGTGATCGACAAGAATAAGTACCGGGCTCACTATAGGAAGCTTTTTTTGGGCTGTACTGGCCGATACAGACAGCCAGCAAACAGTGCATACACTGCGATGCTTGCTGAACTAAGGAATGGTGATAAAAAGACTCGATACACTTATGGAAAAAAGTATAGGAAGCGAATGAGGCAGGAGACATAAAGATATGCGATTCTATCAGCATTTTGCAATAAACAAGTCATGCACTACATGCAGCTCATAGATCGGTCCAAAGAACGCGTTGCAGAGTCACCAATAGCAATCTCGCTGGAAGAGGGTGACCTTCGACCCGCTGCTTAACAAATTAATTTCGATCCGGTGCATTGCATACCCATACTCACTACTCAGGCAGTGGAGCGAGCCGTCCGGTCCCTAACTTAGGCAGCATACGTTGCTGTTATTAAGAGAGCACGTCTCGGTTACATCACGTGTGCCATCAGGACGTAATGCAACGCTCTCATGCCGGCGTTTGAATCAATTATCGAAGTGTGATTTTCTGTCCTAGGACGGTTAGGTGGCTGGCTACATTGCATTCAAAAATGAACATACGGTTTGGACTGATGTTATCTGTCTGCAAAACTTAATTTAACTGATAAACATATGGGTATCAAAGTTAAGCATCAGCATCTCGCTGTTTTCTTGGCGAAATCACTATAGGTATAGCTTCCGGAGCAGTTTATGATTCCTGAAATATTTCGGATCGAATGGGTACAACTCACCTAGTGTCAAATAAGGAACACCAGACACCTAGGAACACCAAGGAACACCATATACCCGACGTGGCAGCGGCTGCGTCAGCTTTTAACGGTCGGAAAGCCGTCAAAATCAATGTTATGCCAAAGTCGCTCAATAGATGGCGCTGGTTTCGTTGCGCTCAGAGCGCCGATGCTAAGCGCTATTCTGAGCACGATTCTGCCACTGGGGTTTCCAAACTTTGTGAAGAGGTGGGGGTAAGCATGTAGAATTAGGAAAGTGGTAAATATAGTACCTTTCTCGAATTTTTCCCACTACATTTTGCAAACAACGAGAAAAATTAGCAAAATTGGTCTCGAAAAACCGTTGACGGCGCGCCCGGTTCCTTTTCAAAAATTCGCAAAAAATATGTTTTAACCGTTTTATGGATCAGCCCGTAGGAAAATCGCTCTTCACTTGGAAACTTTTTCCATCGACCCGCCCTATTCAACAGCATCCTCAATGCATATAAGGCTTTTCATGAGTCACGTCAAAGGTAAAAGATAAAAGGTGAGTAAAAGACAAAAGAAACATTCATACAGTGACAAGATAAACACATGCGCAGTTACACATCACACGTTCATTTGTCACTGAGTGTGGACCTCAGTGCGCGCTTAAAACCGGCCATGGTCACAGCTCCCCTCACTTCGCGCGGTAAGTTGTTATATTTTCGGGCACCTACGTTCGAAATGCGCCTTTCGCCCGCTTGGGTTCTGGCACGAGTTGTCACTAATTGGTCTGCGTACCTAGTGCCATGTTCGTGGTCGGGACTTGTAAAAAGTGACCTCAACTCTCGTGGGCACCCGGTCACCAAAACACGGCGCACTAAACAAAGCTGGTGATACGCAACAAGCTGCTGTGCTGTCAAAAACCCAAGACGGTGTGTTTCATGACTAATGTGGTCGTACTTTTTCTTGCGACAAATGATTCTAGCACACCTCCCTTTATTACCTTGTTTCTCATTACTCAGTCATTGCACATATTTACTATGTTGAGTGGCTGTATAATTGCTTTGCCCAGTAATCCTGGATTTGTCCCTCCTAGTAACCCCTGCGCTGTTTCGCGGTGACCGATGACCATTAGTGTCGCCGCGATATCGTCTCGTGGTGTCCGGTGACCGTCTGTACCATGGTACAAACGGACACCAAACCGGGGTGCACCCCGGTTTGGTGTCCGGTGTCCGGTGACGACTGGCCGCCCTGTTGTCAGGTGGAGGGCGCCGTCCACCAGCCCACCTTCCTCTACAAGGCCACCGTGGGCGAGTTCATGGCCACCGGCCAGGGTCAGAGCAAGAAGAAGGCCAAACACGCCGTGGCCAAGGCGGTGCTGGACCTGGTGCTGGGTAACCAGGCGGCGCCGCCGGGCGCGCCCATGGCGCCCGTGCAGGCCGACTCACTGGGCCAGCTGGTGTCGCCCTACGACGACGGCATCGCCGGCAACCCGGTGGGCCAGCTGCAGGAGCTGTGCATGGCTTACCGGCTGCCGCCGCCCGTCTACGAGCCCGTCTCCGAGCAGGGCCTGCCGCACGAGCGTACCTTCACCATCGCCTGCCGTATCGGCACCGCCCTCTCCGAGACAGGTCGGTCGCCGCCGCCGGCTGGGGCGGCGTGACGGGTGTGTTCGGAGTCATTTTATATTGTGTAATGGGTACCTACTAGTGATGTGCCAATTACGGGATATCGGAATACCGATACCAAACCAAATGCCAACCAAAACCACGGGAAAATACCGAAACCAAACCAACTTGGGAAAATGAGGGAAATACCAACTTTTTACCGATTTCTTAGTCTCTTATACATCTCTAGTACCTACGCTATTTATGTGCATAAACGAAGAGGCATACAAAAGATACACAGTTAACGGCAATACTTGAATTAGGGCATTTCGTTTTGAGCTGGTTTTGGTCTTGCATGCTTTGTAATTAGTAACGCACTCGTTCGTTTATCTCAGTGTCTGCGCCATACACTAGGCACGACTCTGCCTCTTTTATAACGTGAAGCTACCATTAGCACTCCCGTTTTCCTTAACCCCTAGCGTGTTCCTGTAGTCCTCTCGTCCGCCGCGTTTTACCGACCACCGGCGCCTATCACAGTCTCCTGACTCTGCCCTCCGTCCGCGGCAGGGGTCGGCAAGTCCAAGAAGATCGCCAAGCGGCAGGCGTCCAACCTGCTGCTGACCAAGCTGCGTGAGCTGCCGCCGCCGCCGGCCGCTGAGTCTGCCGATCCCGCGGCCGCCGGCGGGGAGACGATGGACCAGGTGAGGGCAGGGGCGGGTGGGGTGGGCGCAGTCAGATACAGGGCTGTCCTCTGTCACTGTGTGTGACACGGTGGGAGGGCGGGGACGGCAGGGGCGGGGTGAGCAGTCAGATACAGGGCTGTCCTCTGTGAGTGACACGGTGTGGGGTCGGAGACGGGCAGGAGACAGGGTGCACACAGTCAGATACAGGGCTGTCCTCTGTGTGTGACATGGTGTGGGGTCGGAGACGGGCAGGGACGGGGTTTACAGTACACAGTCACAGTCATACACCTGACACGTCCGGGCACGGTGTGACCTGTGTAACACGGTGGTGGCCGCATGACTGTGCTCTACAGAACAATAACTGGACTTTCACCGCATGAGAATGTACTCAAATGTGGATAAATAGGTGTGGGATGAAGTTTGTGTTTGGCATAACATCATAAAAAGAGGAACCGGATGTTCTTTGTGCTGTTTTAGTACGATCCTCTAATTGCCGTCAGTGAAACCACAAACTTATTATCGTTTCGACTTAATTAGTTTGCTGCATGACGCATGTCTGTTATCCGAGTTATTACCGCGGTCTTTCAGCTATGCACGTTACTGCACGCAGTACGGGAAGCCGGCTCACCCGCCTGTCTTCTCTGACCTTTCGTTACCAGCGACGTAAGCTGGTGCGTCACGTAGCGTCTTGCCGTTCTGTGTGCTCACTCAGTATCTGCAGTGTATCTCCATCACCCTCGAATGTTTGCCGTGTGGTGTGTAGTAGCGCCCCGCCTGTTCTGTGTGGCTCGCCCCTGGTGCGGTAGTCCCGCACCTGTCTCGCCCCCCGGTACGGTAGTAACGTGCCGCTGTGCGCCGCGCGTCGCTCACGCGCCGCCGCCCGTCTCCCCGGCCGGCCGGCAGCGTGTCGCCTGTATGTGTTGGCTGACGTCCCAGCTGAGCCTGGACGGATGCTGCAGCGGCCCGCGCACCCCGCCGCCGACAGACGCATGCTCGCCCGGTGGGTCACCCGCCCCGCACCGCAGATCGAGCACACGGCTTTATTTTCAATCAATTTATTTGCTCTAAAAAAAAAGAGAAATATAATCATTCGTGAACCGTACTGTATTCCACTAAATTTGCGCAGCTTTATCAGTGCTTCTTTTCTAATAAGTGACGGAGTAAATAAAAGGAGATACTGAGCGCGGTATAGATAAAATTGGAGTCGCCGTTTTTACCTTCACCGGTGTACGTTGCGGAGTCGCCGGCCGGGGTGTGCTGGGCCGCCGCCGCCGCCGTCTACCCGTGTGTGTCTGACCGGCTCGTGCCGCCCCCGCAGACTGCCCAGCGGCTGGCGGAGCACTTTTCGGCCCTGCGCCTCAGTCAGATCCCCTCTCTGACGGCGTCAGACAGCGTGCAGGTGGGCCAGTTCCACCGTGGACTGAAGGCGGCCACTGGGGACGCGCTGACACAGCTCAGGGTGAGTGCAACCAACGGCCGAGGTGGATGGACGATTGTCAGTTAATGGATCTCGAACACGGAATGGTTAACCTACTCAAAGTAAGCAAGAATAAAATTGTTTAAAATTATGGGGTAAGGTTTAGAGGCTAAGTTACTAAATTACTTCACTTAGGACATGACGTCAGCTGACAGCTCGTTCTTACTGCGTGTTGCGGAGTTCTGTCTGAGGCTCTATCAGTTGTGATTTCCTTCTGCCTCGGCACTGAACTGTCCCCGCGGAGTTTCGCGAGACGGGCACTGACGGTGTGCTACCGCTCCACAGGACCCCAAGTCGAGCCCGGGGAGCTGGAACTGCCTCCAGTTCCTGCAGGATCTGGCGAAGGAGCAGAACTTCCAGTTGACATGGATTGACGTCGAGGAGAAGTCGTTTGATGGTGAGGGCCTGCCTGTCTGGTTTTTGTGGTTGTCCGTGCTTTTTTGTTGTCCCTTTACGCCCACCGTTTACAAACCTCTCGACGTTTTTTTTTTTTTGCTCTCAAAATATTTCAACGAAGGTGAAAATAATCATAATTATTGATCACCTCATTATCTCATAATTCAGGTGTCTGACTCGCCTGACTAACCCCCTCCCTCCTTCTCCCCCCCCCCCCTCCCCCGTCAGGTCGGTGTCAGTGTCTGGTGCAGCTCTCCACCCTACCCGTGGCCGTCTGTTATGGAGTCTGACCTCCCCCCCTCGGTGTCAGTATCTGACCCCACTGACCCCCTCTCCACTGTCAGGTCGGTGTCAGTGTCTGGTGCAGCTCTCCACCCTACCCGTGGCCGTCTGTTATGGAGTGGGCGAGGACGCAGACAAGGCCCGTAGCGACGCCGCTCACAACGCCCTCCAGTATCTCAAGATCATGATCAAGTGAGCGCCGCCGTCGCGGCCGGGAGCCGGGGTCGGCGCGGTGCGACCTCGGAGCTGGTCACGTCACGCAGGGAAGGAACAGGCTTACATGGCTGGCAGAGCTCTCGACCTGCCCGGAGCAGCTTCGTCAGAATCGGTATTATGGGGAGCGGTTTTTTTAGTGGAGTTTGTGACCATCTCCGGCCACATCGCACTTTGTTCTTCGTTTTCTATGGATTTTTCTGTAGCCATTTTATCATTCAAACCATAATGCATTTGCAACTAAATGCTTCTACTTGCAATTGCGGTATTCTATGTAAATTGTGAGCTTCTATAAACATTACGGTGCGCGGGCACTTCACTGACAATAACTTCTTTTAAGAGCTTATTGGGTAGCGACAAAGTCGGGGGAGCACTTTTCAAGGAATGCGAATCATGTCGCGGGCCTTTTAAGCTCTATTCTAGGCGTCCACACTGCATAGTTCGACACTTGCTCAGTTCAGTTTCACATCACAGCGCCAGCTGGTGGAATGGATTCATTCCCGTCGTACCACATGGTCCCGAATCAATTACTTCTTGTTTATAGATGTGGATATTTTACAACGGTTTATGATGATAGTAGCGAGCATCAGCCCTTGGGTTTGGCACTTCATTTTACGTATACATAGTTGTAAGCATTTGTTTGGTGGGTGCACTTTTTGGCTTATGCTGTTTGCTACGTGCTCTACGATTTATGTCAAGAGTTCAGGTCACCGTGGAGTTCAGTTCATGTAGCGGTTTTTAAAGCGCGAAAATCGCTTATTTCCGATTCATTTCTTGCCCAACTCTTGTGTTGTGCTATTTTTTGCGAGCTAATACTGGCACGCAGCAGACACCGCTTTTGTGCAGATCTTAGCACGTCTCGGCCGTGGCGTGAACAATTCTGCACAAATCTCCACCACTTGACAGCATCGTGTCTTGGACCAGCTGAGTTGTTGCTGAGGTTTTGGCCATGACCTCAAGATAGCGCCTAAATTACTTCAAGCGATTTGGAAATATGAGCGGCATGGATTTATTAACGTTCAAGCTTTAACAATTTCTTGACTTAGATAATAGCGTATTACTGTCACAAAAGCGTCTTCGCCGCCACAATGTTCGCGGCTGAGTTTGTCACTGTCATTCTTTGTCAATCTGACGACAGGCGTGACGCCTGAATTTCGTGTGCACTCTCAGGACCGGCGCCGGCTAGCCTCTGTGTCCGGTACTGGGTTCTGTCCGACGCCGTGTCCGGTACCGTGTTCTGTCCGGCGCCGGCTAGCCTCTGTGTCCGGTACCGTGTCCTGTCCGGCGCCGGCTAGCTCTGTGTCCGATACTGGGTTCTGTCCGGCGCCGACTAGCCTCTGTGTCCGGTACTGGGTTCTGTCCGGCGCCGGCTAGCTCTGTGTCCGGTACTGGGTCCTGTCCGGCGCCGACTGGCCTCTGTGTCCGGTACTGGGTCCTGTCCGGCGCCGACTAGCCTCTGTGTCCGGTACCGTGTCCTGTCCGGCGCCGACTGGTCTCTGTGTCCGGTACTGGGTTCTGTCCGGCGCCGGCTAGCTCTGTGTCCGGTACTGGGTTCTGTCCGGCGCCGGCTAGCTCTGTGTCCGGTACTGGGTTCTGTCCGGCGCCTACTGTCGGCCCGCTCTGCCCTGAAGGGGTGTGGTTCCCGACCCGCCGGGGCTGCGGGTGTCGGCGCCGCGCGGCGCTCTCGGCCCGCCGGGGCGAGCGTCCGACTGCGGCCGGCCGCGCGGCGCCCGCCCGCACCTCCGGCCGGCCTGTGTGACCCTGTGTGTGTGCGCGTGCTTTAGCTATCGGAGGCCGTTGCCGGCCCGCTCCGCCGTCCCCGCGCCGACCAGCGCCGGGCACCCCGCCGTCCCACCGGCCCGACGCTGGCCGGGCCGGGGCGCGGCGCCGCGTCCCCTCTGTGATCCAGCCGTGACCCGCGCTGACGGGCCCGGACCGCCCCCCCCCCGCCCCTGTCGGTCTGGGCGGCGCACAGCCCGGGTCGCGGCTGCAAAAATATCCCCTTCCCCCCCCCCCCCTGTACCGCCCGCGGCCGCCCCGCAGCGCCAACAGGCGGCGGCCGCGGCCGATTGGTGTGAATACATCTAGCGCTACAGCAGTCCAGCGTTTGCCACGCGTACCGTGATTTCTGAGGGTCAGAGAGGTGTCTGGGTCTTCAGCCCACCAAGTGCGTGACCAGAGGAAAGGATGACCTGAAAGTGAAGACCTAGATCAATGACAGACTGACTGGACTGAGGTTAGAGCATCAACCGAACAGTGTGGTTCGTTGGGTGGTTGAAAGCAAAGATTGCAATGTGTCTCTCTTATCCTGATGGTACCTACACTACAACACATTACAACACAGGAGTGGATCGCGTTTTTTTTTTTTTTGCAGGCATATTTTCAAAATTCCACAGGCAGGGAGAGGAAAGTGGGGCACGGAAAAGTATTGCATTTCACTACGGCACGATTTGGGGTGCAGGACTTTCTGTAAGCTATTTTTGGAGCAAACATACTTAAACAACGGCCACATTCACATAAAATGAGCGGAAATCCTTGAACACTGTCATAAATAATCAAAAGAAAGACTAAATACGAGGGTGCAAATAAATACATGGTATGAAAAGGCCACAGAGATACACAATCTCTGGGCACACAAAACATTCGCATTCGTCACTGATGGAGTAAAACGGCACTCAGTTTAACATCAAGGGCACACAAACACTATCAGAGCCAGGGCCAAAGCCAGTCTGCTGGGAACAGGTAGGTATGCTAACAGCTGGTTACCTTCGGTGGAAGCCCCACAAGTCACAGCTGCCCATCAACAGATCAGAGACTCCTAGCTCCCTGACTGGAGCCTCCTAACAGTAGGGGAGAGTGGGGCAAAGCGGCCACCCGGGGCAAAGCGGCCACCCATCGTTTTAGCCCTACATAGCTGGCGTCAGTTCCAATTTATGGTTTCCAATTATACTTCTCTTCATGGTCGTTCGAATGAGCCAGACCGGGGTTTCAGGCCCATCACCATTGTTCTGTGAAACACGGAAAAGCATTTCTAGCCAGGTTGCCAACTTTGTTTACAATTTTTAAATGTTATGCTATTCCATAACCGTTCGGAATTATTATAAGCGTTCTTGTCCATGCATTGCATGGTTATCGTACTTCTATTCTACCAATTTTAATGTTTTTTACCCCACTAATAGCTAAGCTGGAATATTTTTGTCTCGGGCGGTATGCGCGGGGCTAAGTGGCCGGGGCAAAGTGGCCACCCCCCCATTGGCCATAAGTTGCTTCCATCTGGATAAAAAACATTCATATTCAAATGTGTCGTCATGCATTCATCTTGGCCATTTTTCAGTTGCATGAGTTACCAAATAATGCAATTAAATGTTTATTTTCATGAAAATCCTTTCTTTGTTTACCTACAGGTGGAAGATGATAAAGTAAACATCCATCCTCGCTTAACCTTGTCACTATCAAATACCCTAGTCGTACACGAGGCAACTATTTTGTTTCTCATATCGGGACATGAGAAGACGCCGGTGGCCGCTTTGCCCCAGGGTATGGGGCAAAGTGGCCAATATGCATAGGTTTAAAGTTTTGTCAATATCTTTCATATGAGAACGCCTTTGGAAATAAAACGCAGTTGAAATAAAAGGCAACTTAATAGGGATCACATTGGTATAGAAAGAATCTTTCCAAGTTTAAAAATCAAGCGTTGGCATCGTGAGAAGCGTTAGGGTGGCCGCTTTGCCCCACTCTCCCCTAATATCACTTGAGTGCCTCCAGCGGTCTACCGGACGACGGGCATCTTACCACGCTTTCCCGTCACGTCCAACGTGAGACACTGAAAGAATAGCCATCTCACTGCGGAAGGCACTGGCAGGACGGCGATCGGCGGGGAGCTCGGCGGTGTCACGGCGCCTGGCGCTCCGGTTTGACGCAGCGGCACGCTCGCCGCTGGGCGTCCCGGTACGACTTGCAGCCGAGCGCCAACGTGCCGGTGTACAGAAGCTTGGAGGCGCCCTTACACGCTGGAACGGGACGGATAGGGCGGTCAGGAACGGCGTGTTCACATCGTCAGAAAATTTATGAAACGATCCTGCCGACATCGCAGATCGGCATGCCGAAGCACCAACAGAGTTCTACAGATACCTGCTTGAAGGCTTACTATGAGACTTACAGAAAAATAAATGACAAAGGTGCATGGAAAGTCACGCCATCCGTGATCAGCGACCACTCCGCTGGACCATGCCCTTTGAATCGATACCTTTTTGTGCCAGCTTGTCGAGTCGTTTCTTCTCGCGGTCGCAGACGGCGTAGAGGCAGCGTTTGAAGGCGAGGTCGCAGAAGTCGCGGTCCGATCCACACGTGTCGTAGCAGAGGTCGTGCGCGTCACAGCAGTCCGAGAGCTGCTCCACGGGCAGACTCTCCGTGTCCCACTGAAACGGGACCGGCGGCCGAGGGTGAAACGGGCAGCTGACGGCTGGTGGCGGGGGTCAAACAGGCAGCTCACAGCCGGCGGGGGGTCAAAGGGGCAGCTCACATCCCCGGGGAGGGTTCAAATGGGCAGCTCAGGCCAGAACAATTCACTGTTCAATGGAGTTTGTGTTTGTCAGCTTACATAAAATGGCATTGTTCAGAGAATTAGTTGCACTTCCGAATCATTACATTCTTACAATCACTGCTGACTTTCAATAGCAGATTCGATTGTTATAAGCTTGTTTCAAAAACATTGTATGTTTTTCTGTTCAAGCATTACAGGTCTACAATTTGAATTTGTAGACCTGTAATGCTTGCACAGAAAAGCATAGAAAATAGCACAGTTCAATGCATTCACATAGCCAGCTCTCCCCACAAACATCTTGTACAGACTGCTCAGTAACCCAACATTGTGTCTCTCCACTAGACTGTTCAAGTGATCCAATACCCTCTCGGCACTAGAGTCACTAGTCAGAGTGCTCTGTAGTCTGTGATTCCATTATCTGCCAAATATCACATAACTGAGAAAAGTTGTGTGATGTGCATTGATAAATTCCTCACACATGGTCAAGAGCAGAAAGCTGTAGTGGAGGATTTATCACTTGTTCATAACTGTGCTCAGATGCATATTAGCTGGAGCTTTAAACTTCTGTGTAGCCTGATACCAAACTGCATCAGTATGTGTATATCTGCTGGACAGTGTGCTCACATACCTTGACCCCCAGGCTCCCACAGCCATCTGATGAGGGGATGTAGTCAGTGTTGTTTACTGGCACATAACCTGTAACCAAAGTAAGAATGCTCCAGCATTTTTGAACATACTAATTGAGTATATTTCATGAACCCATTGCAATTACACATGATTGTGACTTGGACTGGGACTGGGAGTCAACAGCATCCACTAAAAACATTTAAGAAAATTCATTTTGCATTTAAACAACATTCCAGAAACACACATAGATGGCTGAATATCTTGTTATTAACACATGTTACACAAAGCATGTAAATGTAAAAAAATGTAAAAAACGTAAAAAAACGCTTATGTAAATGTAATATAAAATAAAATGTAAATGTAAAAAACTCTTACCCAAATTACACTTGAATTCACAGTCCTCGTCAATTGTTGAATCAACAAATTCTTGAATGAAATTCCATGCATCCATTACTTTGATTGCACCATTTCCAATATCATTTAAAAAGGAGCCTACATCTTGAACTGCCTCTTGTAAAGTATCAAAAAACGTAACCCCATTAGCCCCACCGAAAATAATTGCACAAACCACCATATGTCGCACACAGGACATACTTCAATTTGGCCTCATATAACTGGTTTAGGTTATTGCTGGTTTTGTTTTAGCTCAGCGTGCCACAGTATTTTTCCCCAAACAATATCAATATACCGGGCTTTCCGACAAAATATCCAGGGACAATTCTAACCAGCATATCACATTTGTTGTTATTTTTTTTTTTTTTTTTTTACTCCCTAACCTAAGCACCGCAGTACTTTTTTTTTTTTTTTTTTGCTCGGTCGGCCTAGTGCCATACCCGAGCAGGGGGCAGTTACTCCGGCAATTTTCGCCGGGCAGCAAGTCTTACGTTAAACCGGTTTATGTGAACCCGGTAGCAAAAACAACGTGGGATCCTATCTTAATGTGGAATCAAAGCTAAGGGAGGTACTTACGTGTATAGCCAAAGAGCCGAGATGTCTGGAGTCGCAAACACAACAGTGGGAATGACTTTTATTAACAATACATAATAGACATAAACACTTGTGAGCTGGTGTCAGTGTAATGGAGCCGGGAAGCTTTCATCGCACTGACAGAAGGTATAAGACCTTCTAGGCTCCAGCCCCCCGGCGGGGCCTTGTTGTGGGGTGTAATGGTCGGGAGAAAAAGTCCTAAATAATAAAAAACCCGACGCCTAACGCAAAGGGCAAAAACCTCGCACCTAAGCCAAAACGGCGCGAGGGAAAAAGCCCTGTAACCGCGATTAATTAATGTGTGAGTTTGGGGGTGAGCCGGGAGACGAGGGCTCTGATTAGCGTTTTAGGGGCGGCAGCCGCGGCCCTAACACGCTAAAGGCTCTTGATGATCCGAGCGTCGGCGAGAAAGACGAACAGAAGGTCGTGGATATCCGGATGAGTGTCGCCCAGGAGAGTCGGAAGGTCGAGAGAGAGTCCATGTGTGTTAATGTATTGTACTATATGTCTGCGGTGTTGGTGTAGGTGTGGGCAATGGAGGAGGAAGTGTGAGATGGTGTAGCGTGGGTGGTCGCGGCAGTGGTGACATATGGGTGGAGGTGCTCTGTCCAGGATGTAGTTGTGGGTGAGTTGTGTGTGGCCGAGCCGGAGCCTGGCTAGGACTCTCTCTTTGATCCTTGTGTTTTGATGGGAAGAGTAGAAATGGCAAAGTTTCGGTTTAATGGAGAAGAGATGTGGTGTATGATCATCTATCCAGCATTTTTGGCGGTATCTCTGGAAGGCACGGAAGAGCGAAGACAGAAAATCCGGAAGGGGGAGAGCGAGATGATTTCGAGATGGGAGATGAAGACCTTCTTTGGCTAGCTTGTCCGCTTTTTCATTCCCCTGTATTCCAACGTGGGACGGAATCCACAGGAGAATGACGTGTTTGTTTTCATCGGTAAAGCCAATAATCATCTTTTTTATTTTATAAACGATTTCGTTTTTTTTCCATTTTTCTGTGAGCTATTGCCTTTACCGATGAAGCTGAGTCTGTGCAGATCACAGCCTTTTCTATGTTTTTCGATGAGACATATTTGAGTGCTGAGTGAATGGCTATCAACTCAGCACTAAATATGCTATGGTCGTCGTGTAGCCTACTTGTTTTGTTATGATGGTCAGATGTGACAGCGGCTGCCGTCCTCCCGTCACAAACTGAACCATCTGTATATATGTATGCATAGTCTTTATGTTCTTCTTTATGCTCATAGAAAAGTTGAATGCTTTCTTCTTTTGTGACTTTTGATTTTGCCTCTGCGTACAGGAATGCAATATTCTCTATGGCTGGCAGAAAGAAAGAAGAGATGGGTGGCCGATGAAAAATAGATGGAAAATCCAACTGGAAATCACTGAGTGTCCTTTCTATGCGATAGGCGATTATCGGGTATTTGAGTTGGGCCGTTGTGGGAGGGTCGTCCGTATATCGATTGGAGACAATGCGGTGCGAAGGCGAATAAGGGGACAAGAAAGTGCGCGCATAGAAGCGAAGGAGTTGGAGTTTACGGCGGTGAGAGAGAAGAGCAATATTACATTCTGCGTGGAGAGCCTTGATATTTGTGGTGCATTGGGCTCCTGTAACTATACGCAGGGCCTTATTTTGTATAACTTGAAGTGATTCGATCTGATTAGAAGCTATATCATCAAATAGAAAACTGTTGTAATCCAGGATAGGACGGATTAGGGAAGTGTATAGGTTAAGGAGGGTGCTGCGATCAGCACCCCAATCCTTTCCTGCTATACACTTAAGTATGTTGAGGCGCCTAGTGCAACGCATTTTAACGTCTTCAAAGTGATGTTTAAAGGAGAGTCTACTATCTAGTGTGATGCCGAGGTATTTGAACGTTTTAACGTATTTGATAGTTTGGTTCTTTACTTTAAGTTCGGTATCAAATTTAAAACGGGACTTATGGGAGAATATAAGTGCTACTGTTTTGCTGGGCGACAAGACTAGGCCCCATTTATCGCACCAGCTATGAATATCCTCCATTGCGTTTTGAACGGAGGCAAAAGCCGAGTCAATGTTTCTTCGCGTTACCCAAATGGCCACATCATCGGCAAAAATAGAATGCTTAAGGCTACTAGGTGGGTTTTGAAAAAGGTCGTTAATCATAATAAGGAAGAGGGTTGGGGAGAGGACACTGCCCTGAGGGAGGCCGTGATCCTGATTAAGATTGGGAGAAAATGTGTTACCGCATCGTACGTTAAATGTTCTATCTTTGAGGAAATTAGAGATACCGATTCTACCCATGCCGCTCACATTCAGCTTCAAATCTCGAACTCCCTGGTAACCTGCTATCGCTTGTTGAGATTCATGAAATGCGAGCTTTCGTATCTTCTGGTACTGAACATTTTTCATTTGCTCCATTATTTCTAGTCCTTTTAGGCCGAACGCCGAGCGGAGGTAGGGGGCTTGGGTATTTTCGGTATTTTCTGGGTATTTCCCCGACCCCCGTTCCGGATTCGTTAGATAAACAACATAATTGCATGTTGGATTGCAACATAGACCAGGAACTTCTGTAAGGCTCCTTATTTTTAAAGCATTTGAATTTGAAATTTTACCTTCCTATGTCATCATCATCATCATCATAGTTTATTAGGCACCAAAGTTGGCAAGAAAGTAAGAAAAAAAAGGCACACACAAAACATCACACAAAGCATGACAGTGGGTGAGCAGGGGCCACACATTGATGTCGCAGGCGACACTCACTCCCGCTCCGGGCATGTCAATAGCCGGAGCAGGCGGCGAGATACTTGGTCCCGGCGACTCATCAGGAAGGCAAGCGAGTCAGCTAGGCCATCGGGAGCCCGTTGGGGGTAGATACGGTCGCTGCACGGCCGCCCTGCTGCCACCCCGAGGAGTGCAGAAAGGTTGCAGTCACACATCTCATGAAGCTGTATCAGTAATGAGCCCACTAGCTCAGTCGGGCACATAGCCAGCTTGGTGATTCCTGACAGCAGCGCCTGCTGCAGCCGGTGCTCTGAGCGCATCGCATCTTTCAAAGTGCGGAAACACGCTGCCCGCAGCAGTTCATGTGCTGGTTGGATGTCGGCAGCAGCGAGAAGCGCCGAATGGTGGGCGGAGCGAGGCAGGCCAAGAACCACCTTGATGGAAGTCGCTTGAGCGGAACAGAGGATCGTCATGTCCCTTGCATTGAGCGGGGCGGCCACGCAGCCATATGTGAGCGCCGGTTGAATGATAGTCTTCCACAAGAAGCACTTGTCGGCTGGGCAGAGGCCGGACGTCAGCATACCAGCAGGCGCGAGACCGTACAGGCTGGCACGAGCTCGAGACGCGCGGTGCTGGACGTGTGGCGCCGCAGATAAACTCCCATCCAGTACGACACCGAGGTGCTCGGACTGCTGGCGGGTGGAGAGCTGCTGGCCCGACAGGCTCCATCTTGGCACTTCGGATAGAAGCTCGGCGCCGAAGACCATGCAGTGGCTTTTGGTGCGGACGGGCTCCGGGTGGACGAACTCCAGCCTCCAGGTCTTCGCAAAGTCATCAACCACATCTAGTAGAGTGCTGAGGTTTCTGGCATTGGTGGACAGGAGTAGCAGATCATCGGCATAGCAGACAGCTGGCACGTGGTGACCATATAGGTCAGCACCGAGATCGCTTACGTCCAAGGCGGCTACGAGCGGGTGTAGGTAGGCGTTGGCTAGGATAGGCGAGAGAATAGCACCTTGCCTGGTGCCCCGGCGGATCCTGAATGAGTCGGATATGGCACCGTCAAAGGCAATGTGAGCCTGAAGTCGGCGGTACCAGGCAAGCATGAGCAGCCATGAGTTCGGACGAAGGTGTTGCGCCAGACGGTGGAATAGCCCGTCATGCCAGATCTTATCAAAACACTTCCTGGCGTCCAAGTTTGCCGCGTAAACTGGCAGATCTCGTTGTCGGCACCACTGAATGGTCTCGAGGGCCAATATGGATGCTTCGCTGGTGCCTCGCTGTTTCACGAATCCCAGCTGAAGGTCGTGCGGACAGAAACTGGCCTCAAGTTCATCCAGCAACAGCATCTCCAGCAGCTTCGACGTGCACGATGTCAGGCTAATAGGCCGGTAGTTGTCCAGATTGTTTGGATCAAGCTGGGATTTCTTCAGAAGAGGCACTACCACGCTCTCTGCAAATGTGGCCGGCACATTGCACGAAGACAAACAGGCCGATAGAAGCTGGGCCAGTGCCGATAGCAGGGGAGGAGAACAGCCATAGATGAGGTGTTCCGCCGTCACGCCGTCCGCACCCGGTACCTTGCGCAGAGGGAGGCGGCGCAACAGGTCGGCAACTTGACTCACGGTGACCGTCCGAGTGGTGGCCAGAGTGGAATAGCGTCGCGCCCTTTCTTCGACTGCAGCAGCAATCTGAGCCTGCTCAGAGTCTAGCAGGGAGGGCTCGTCCGCGTGCACCGCCTCGAAATGTCTTCCGAACTCGCTGGCAGTGCGACCACCCCCAGGAGGGAGAGGGCCGCGCCGAGAGCGCTGAACCCGTCGCCAGAAGGCGTTGGTGTTCCCATTGCGCTTGAGTTGGTGCAACAGACGGGCCTCTTGCTGCACGGGGGCTAAGGCTGCTGTGCGGCGAGCTTTCCGGTACTCTCTTCTAGCTGACTGGTAGCAGGAGTAGACCGTCGAATGAAGAGGTCGACCACAGCTGGTCCAGACATGGAGCCAGAAGCGTACTCGGTCACGTGCAGCTGCTGTGGCAGGGGTCCACCATGGTTTTGGCCGGCGCCGCTGTTTAACACAGCCTGCCTCTCTAGCGGCGGCGAGCAGGCAGCGGGATATTGTTGAGTCCAGCGCATCGAGCGAGGTGCCACAACTAGGGAGTTGAGTCACGAGCATGCCGGTAAGAATATGCTTGTAGTCTTCTAATCTGTCGACGCGGTCCCAGCAAAGTAGATCGGAATCAGGCACAGGAGTGGCCCGAGAGATGGCGCGGTGCGTCGTCTCCGTTGGAGCTGCAGTTGCCACCAACAGCCGACAGACGAGCGGCTGGTGCGGGCTGAGGTTTTCTGGATGTGGAGGCAGAATCTGGCAGCCAGCTACGCGCGGTAGCAGGGAAAACGGTACAGCGATATGGTCGATGTGACTCTTGCAGTCGGCGCGTGCGTATGTGAAATTCACCTGCTGGGGGAATAGAAATTCTGCAGCCACAAGTTCGTACTGGTCGAGCAGCTGCTGCATGGCGACACTGTGCCGAGTGAACCCTCGAAGTCGTTGCCACAGAGGCGGACGTGAAGTTGCTGGGAGACGCGGTAGTGCACAGTTGAAGTCACCGGCTACAACCACCGGAGCAGAGGGACGCAGCGCCATGATTAGAGCGTCCAGCTTGGCAATAACACTGTCGTACTCCTCCGAGTTACCGGCTTGCCCGTCCCAGTACGGCATGTAGCAGCCAATGACGGTCAGCACCGGGCGTCCATCCATCAGCACCGTTACACCGCACAGGCGGGGGTCGTCACAGCTGCAGGATTTGAAGGTCAGTCCGGGTCGGCGGCGACATACGAGAGCAAGGCCTCCGCGTCTTCTGCCCTCACCCACGCCGGGAGGCACCTCCATTGCGAATGACTGGAACACCAGTAGTTCACTGTGTCCAGCAGAAGTGAAAATTCTTGGTGCGTAAACCTCCTCCGCTCGAGACAGCCAGCTTTCTGACAATACTAATATATCGCAGAGTGGCAGAACATATTCATCGATATATTTGAACGCTGACAGCAGACCCTCGCAGTTGTAGGCACCGATGGCGATGGTCGCGTTTTCGGGCAGTTCGCGATTAGCGACGCCGCGGCTGGGGTACCGTGCCGCCGAGCCGTGGCCAGCTGTTGTCGTCTCTGGAGTCCCAGGAGGCAGGTGCGCTGCCAACGTTTCGATGCCGCGTTCGGGCATGGCCACGCGCATAGGTCCACTCGCCGTGCTCGTGAGAGTAGCCTGTAGTGGGCGCTGCGTCCCACTGAGTGCGGTTAGCGGCGGGCTGCTCGGTGGGTTGGTGCGGACCTGGATGACTGGACTGGTGCGTCGCGGCTGTGTAGTGGCTGGCTTGGACAGGAGTGGCAGGGACTCGAAATCTCCTTCGTCGCCGTCCGTTGTTATCGGCTTTAGGACGCACGCTGAGTCCCGTCGGCCATCGCGCAGAGTTCATGACGGCATCCGATCGAGACTCGGCGGTCTCGAACATGAAGGCCGCTCCTGGAGCCGACGGGCCGTCTGCAGGCAGACGGCGGAAACTGTATACGTCTCCAGCCACCGACTGTACTAGGCCACGCACGGAGCTATCAGACGCGTCGGGGCGAAAACCCCAAACAATGAACTTTTTCTTTGCCGGCTGCTGGGTCACTCCTGGGGATAAGACCAAGTCAGAGGCCGCCCCAGCGCCCGTCACAGCGGCGAGTTCAGCTGGGCGCTGATTATCCGACCTTGGCGCGTTCAGCTGCCGGCTCGCGGTGGAGCCGTGGGTAACTGTTGGCGGAGGCGGAAGGTGTGCTGGTGGGTACTGCGCCCGTCGTGTATCTGTCGCTGGCAGAACCCCAAAATCCCGTCTGGCAAAGCGCTCGTCCCCGCCCAATTCATCGTCATTTTCAGAATCAGAGTCGCCAGCTCGCCAGTGGATTCTGTCTGCGATGGCTTTACCGAGGGCAACGAGGTCAATGGCAGCGGCGATATCCTGGGCGGCCGGCGGGCTCGCCTGGCTCACCTGGGCGTCCGGTGGGCTCACCTGGGCGGTCGGTGGGCTCACCTGGGCGGTCAGTGGGCTCGCCTGGGTCGCCTGGGCGGCCGGTGGGCTCGCCTGGGTCACCTGGGCGGCCGATGGGCTCGCCTGACTGCTCACCTGGGCGGCCGGCGGGCTCGCATGGGACATCTGGGCGGCCGGCGGGCTCGCCTGGCTCACCTGGGCGGCCGGTGGGCTCGCCTGACTGCTCACCTGGGCGGCCGGCGGGCTCGCATGGGACATCTGGGCGGCCGGCGGGCTCGCCTGGCTCACCTGGGCGGCCGGCGGATTCGCCCGCTTTACGTGTGTATTGGTAACCAGATGGTTATATGTCTCTGACCGGTTCGATGACTGGTGGTCCAGCATATCGCGCAGTAGGTCCTCCAGCTGGTCAATCCTGGCGTCCCGATCAGCACACGCACGCTGCAGGTCGTACAGCTGCTCTTCAAGCCGCTGGACTTGGACTCGCTGGGCATCGGCGGCGGCAGCACGACGACGAAGGTCCTCAAGCTCTCTGTCCATTCGTAACTGCGAATCGATTACAGAACGCAGAGAAGCCTCCACGGCGGCTGCGTTAACCAGACCTGGCGGTGGTTCGGCGGCGGAACCCGGCGGCGGCAGCGGAGGCCGGCCACCGGGCTTCAAGACGGCAGAATCGACGCGGCGAGTGAGAAGGCGCTGCGCTGCAGAGTAACCGAGCTCCCAGCAGTCGTCGGCCAGGGCGGTGACGTTACCCGCCTGGCGGTTACGCAGCGGACGCCCAGCAGTGGCTGGGATCCCTGACGTAAGGGCGCCGTGAAGCTTACCGCGCAGAGCACGCAGATCACACTCTCCCAAGCTGGCTAGAAAACATCGCACTTCCGCAGGACTGAAGCGGCCGGAGAAGATTGTCTCGCTACGGACCAGCAACTCTATCTTCTCGGCGGAAGAGGCGTCAGCTGGAAACAGCTCCTCCAGTTGCATGTGTTGACTCGGAGCGACGGGTGGCTGCTCCCGCTCCGGGCTGCTGACCGCTGCAGCTGCCATCACCAGCTCCGAGCTGCTTACCGTTGTAGCTGCCACTTCCGGCTCCGGGCTGCTGGCCGCTGTAGCTGCCACCTCCGACAAAGTATCTGATGTGTCAGCGGTGTCGTCCATGTTAGCTTCCAGTGGCCTACAATATCTGTATCCGGCCGTGATATGCCCGACTGTAGAGTACCACGCTCAGCTTGCAGAATATTCGTATAATATATTTCAAGCGGTCAGATTGCACTTCGGTATGTTTTTTAAATCTTCAGGCTGAAGGACCGATTTATAATTGTAGTATCCCAATGTCGTGGTTGGCCACGTCACAACGTCACGTTTTTCGCTGAGAACGAAATCTGGGCTCGGAGGATCAGAGCCCTGATCGGCGGCCGGCTAGTACTCTTGCCCGCGCTCACATACGTGCACGTTACCCCGGCAACGGGCTATTGACCAATGAGAAGCGAGAAAAGTGTTACGTCACTGCGATTTTTCATATACCTGTGCCCCCCAGACGTGACGTAGTGTGCTCGCGTGCGTGCAGGGTCTCTGCGATCGAAAAAGAGCGCTAGCAGCGCGCCACTCGACGCCGCAATTGTCAAAAGCGGCGTGTTAGTATGCTTTATTATGAATGATGTGTGTAAAAGTGAGTTTTTATGTTGTTTATTTGGAGGAAATGGTTGGAATAAATTAGGTTATTTTTATTTCTGTTGATTGGAGTTTTTATTCAAAAGATTTCGGTCTATACCATTAATATTTACTGAAAATACCTTCGCTTGAATAAATTGCAGATATTTGGCAACTGAAGAGTTAGGTAAGCCTAAATGATATGTAAAAAGGTAAGAGACACCCTGATTATCATTTGAGAAACGAAAATATATGAATTTTCCTTATAAGACTCGCTCAATATGCTACTCCGCGGTTTATGCCCCGAGGGTGTCCGAGGGTTCCCGTTAGTTTGTCGTTGGCCCTCGGCTCGCGCGCGAGCCGACGTCACCGCCTGTGACGTCGGCTCGCGAAATACGTCATACCCTGCACACAAAATAGCCGGCTGCCGAACAGCGCTCAGTTGTCCTCTGGCAGCGTGGCAAACATGACGCAAATTCAGATCAATCCATGGACTCACCCTCGACTCACCTAGATCAAAAGACGCAATAATCTTGGCGAATTCAGAGAATCAAGTCATGAAATATTTAACCACGTATAGAATAAGACTTGGCGCATCGACTGAGCGATGAAACGTCACGGAACTCGTGAAATGTGAAGAATACAAGATAACTATGCGCGGAGCCGCCGTCAAGCCGACCAAACGGCTCTGCGCCTGCGCAGAGCCATTTGGTCGCCTATGTGTAGAGCCTATGTGCCAGCGTCTTGTTAATTAATATTTTGCCTTTTCACGATATTAGGAATGAGCCAATGGCAAAGCTCTAAATTGAAATGCAAACAGGAGCAGGACTTCTTGGCCATGTTTCATGGCTGCTGCTGGCACGTTGCAAGCAGTATCAGCACACGTTGGTGGCAAATTTGGTTTCCACAGAGACATAGGTACCTAAACAAGCTTGGACGCTCCAACATCAAGTGACTCGATTTTTCTCACAGTCAATGACAATCCAAAATCAAGTGACTCGACCAAGGCTATATGAGACTTGACCACAGACTATGACGTCAGCTTGTGAAATGCGCTGGCAGCATGCCAGCAGAGGGCGTGAAACACTGCCCTTGCTTTCAGTGATGATAAGGGTGGCTGGTAGGTTAGGACAGCCTGAACTAAAAGCAGGTTCTAGCAAAGCTGCTGTCTGCTTTTTCCACTAAACACACCAGTCCCTATAAGGTGTCAGGCCATGGTTTGACAAAATTTTGTCTTAGTCCTTATTGGTCATAATGTCTACTACGGTGTTTGAGAGCAAGATTTTGAGAGGGCCCTTGAAGGCCAAATGCTTTTTTAGAGGGTCTTTATTGCACCAATCCAAAGGGTTCAACTTGTTCAAGCCTGTGAATTGTGAAATATGGCTGTGACACCTGAATGTGCTCACAGCCTCACACCATTCACATTGTGGTAACTTATATTTATTTCAAAAGACTGATAGCCATATTAGCTTGTGAAGATAAGTTGAGAATAAAACTTCACCTGTCATTGATAAAATAGTGTTGACTAATTCTGTTCACAATATCTCTGGTTTTCAGGAAACTGAATAATCAGAAGTTTGACTGAGTGGAAGAAGTGCACAACTTTGCCATTTAAAAATGTCAAAGTACTTTCATGGAAACATGCTGTAAGTACCTACTGAGACATGTCCATGATTTTTTTTCTTGCTTCTTCAGTTTATTTTGCTTTCAAGCGACTGGTTCTCTGTATCTATTCATAGTTAGCTCACAAATTCCTTTTCTTCAGTTGGTGCTAAATGTAAGCATACATTGTGTCACTCTTATTGTGCTCCTTTTTACATTTTCCTAGCTTCACTTTTTTACCATGTTGTTTTTATCACAAACACTGTATTACGCAGCAATGACCAACCACTCCGTCAATCTGACAGTCCTGCTCACCGTATCTCCCCAGGCTGCGGCGGCTGGCTGCCCGCGGCTACCACCAGGGCGGCGCCACCCGCGCCATCGACAAGGTGGTGATCGCCAACCGGGGCGAGATCGCCTGTCGCATCATGCGCACGGCGCGCCGGCTGGGAGTGCGCACCGTGGCGGTGTACTCGGACGCCGACCGGAACGCCCTGCACGTGGCCATGGTACGGGCGAGAGCGGAGAGGGGTGGGGAGGACACTGGGCAGGGCTGAGGAGGACAAGCATGGACATTGGACCGGTGCTGTCTGTGTTTGTTGAAGTAGAACGTTACTCTTTTCCGCGTTCGTGCGTGAGTTTACGACATATCTCTTTATTTGTTTTATGTTGTGAAAGTCGCTGGCTATGAATCGAACGCGATCACTACATATCGATATTGTCGATATTGAGTCGCACTAATTCGCCAGTATCTAACCGCTCCCCAGTCCCCACCGCTCGTTCAGGCCACTAACCGCTTCCCACCTCTCGGTCAGGCCTGTAACCGCTGCCCCCCCCCCCCCTCCCCGTCAGGCTGACAAGGCGTACCATATCGGCACCACTCCCCCTCCTCCCCACCAGGCTGACGAGGCGTACCATATCGGCGCGGCGGCCGCTAACCGCTCCCCTCCTCCCCGTCAGGCTGACGAGGCGTACCATATCGGCGCGGCGGCCTCCCAGGAGTCGTACCTGCGCGCCGACCGGATCCTGGGCGTGGCGCGCCGCAGCGGCGCCCAGGCCGTCCACCCGGGCTACGGATTCCTCTCCGAGAACACAGAGTTCGCCGAGGCGTGCCAGGCGGCCGGCGTGACGTTTGTCGGACCACCGGCCTCCGCCATCAGAGATATGGGCATCAAAAGGTACGAGGTCGGTCAGAGACATGGGCATCAAAAGGTACGGGGGACCATCAGTCCATCAGAGACATGGGCATCAAAAGGTACCGGGGATTATCAGAGACATGGGAATCAAACAGTACGGGGGACCATCAGAGACATGGACATGAAAAGGTACGGGGCCGTCCGACATCAGAGACATGGGCATCAAAAGGTACGGGGGACCATCAGAGACATGGGCATCAAAAGGTACGGGGGACCATCAGAGACATGGGCATCAAAAGGTACGGGACCGTCCGCCATCAGAGACATGGGCATCAAAAGGTACGGGGCAGTCCGACATCGAGACATGGGCATCAAAAGGTACGGGGGACCATCTAGACATGGGCATCAAAAGGTACGGGGGACCATCAGAGACATGGGCATCAAAAGGTACGGGGGACCATCAGAGACATGGGCATGAAAAGGTACGGGGCCGTCCGACATCGAGACATGGGCATCAAAAGGTACGAGGTCGGTCGGAGACATGGGCATCAAAAGGTGCGGGGGACCATCAGAGGCATGGGCGATGGGCATCAAAAGGTACTGAGTGACCATCAGAGACATAGGCATCAAAAGATAGGGGACCGAATTTGACGGGATCTCCAAATAATGGCGGGGAGTGGGTTCTAAGAGGAGATCGTCGGAAGGTAAAATGGCTAGTGAGACAGTTGATGCGGAATCGATGGAGAAATGACTGCTACTCCGGAAGGCCACCGTTGACCGTTCACAAGTGAAAGGAATGTAGGAACATTCACTAGGCGGGCTTATACCCTACACCTTTATACGATACATATGTCGAAAGATGCATTTATAATTACGAAAGTGGGAGGTAATAGAGGGGCTCAGTTTATTACTGGTGTCATGCCGATACTAGTATTCTCTACGGTGTGTTGCTAACGGACATACGAGGATATATTTAATGGAAATGTGTCGACTTCCGAGCAATACCGCTGATTGTCACTTACCGTATACCGTCCGCCCGCTCGCAGCACGTCCAAGAAGATAATGTCGGCGGCCGGTGTGCCCGTGATCGGCGGCTATCACGGCGAGGATCAGAGCGACGAGCGGCTGCTGGCAGAGGCCGACGCCATCGGCTTCCCAGTCATGATCAAAGCGGTCCGCGGCGGCGGCGGCAAGGTACGGTCACGTGCCGAGAGGGTGCAGGGAAGTGTGGTGTGAAGGCCGGGAGAGCAGGAGGGGAGACAGTGGAGAATAGAAAGGGTAAAAATAGGGAGGGCTTGAGTTAAAGTCTGCCTTTCATGGGATAGTAGGTACGTTTGACAATTTGATATTGTATGTCGATATAACAAATGCTGTTCTCGTCGATTTATATTTGAGGAGCGACTGAGGTCAAATTCTCCCTGGGACGAACTCCACCTCTGCGTCAGGGCTCCGTAGGTAATAATGCCTATCTTGCGAGCGATGAAGGGCGCCTGTTATGTTGAATGAAGTTGCACTAATGTGTATCGGGTTATTCAGTTTAGATGTCTGCTCCCATGACGTGCTCTAAGTGACGCTGGCTCCCGCTTTTGGCAGGGTATGCGCATCGCCTCTACCCGTGACGAATTCCACGCCCAGCTCGAGTCGGCCCGGCGAGAGGCTACCAAGGCGTTCGGAGACCAGGTAAGTCCGTCGTGCGGCAGGGCGAGGGCGCTAACCTCCGGTAGTCTGCAAATTCGTGTGATTCAAACGCAAACTGTACTATGCGAAATCATGCTTTCGGTGAGCAAGTCGTGGTGCTTGCCATTATGAAAATGTCGACCTGAATTGTGATGCCCAGCTAACCCGGCGATCAGCATGGCAAGCATTTGCCGGGGTCACACACCGGCTCGATACCGACCCCCGATCCCCCGGTGTCCCGCTGGTCAGCTGACCCCCCCCCCCCCCTCCCCCGCCGACCTCTGTCAGGTGATGCTGGTGGAAAAGTTTGTCGTCGACCCGCGCCACGTTGAGGTGCAGGTGTTTGGCGACCAGCACGGGAACTACGTGTACCTGCACGAGCGAGACTGCAGCGTCCAGCGGCGACACCAGAAGATCATCGAGGAAGCCCCCGCGGTGAGCCAGAGGCTAGAGAACGTATGATCCCTGCACTGTTTAATTGTGTTATAGGCTACGACATGTCTAATGTGCATTCATAATACGCACCTCTTGAACTCGAACTTGAACTAAACTCGAATTAGTACGCACCTTTTGAACATTTAACTCAGCTGCATGATGGTAAATTGTCTCTATTTGCTTGAGTTTTATACCGGTTTTCGGAAATATTTGTCGCGAAACGGCATACTATTTAATGTCCCTTTCACCATGAGTGTCCCCTCCCCGTCCCCATTCTGGCAGCTAGTCTGACCAAGCCCTCCCCTCGGCTAGTCTGACCAAGCCCCCTCTCCCCCCCCCCCCCCAGCCGGGTCTGTCAGCGGAGGTGCGCCGCGAGCTCGGAGAGGCGGCGGTACGCGCCGCCCGTGCCGTCAGCTACGTGGGCGCCGGCACCGTGGAGTTTATCCTGGACGCCGAGCACAAGTTCTACTTTATGGAGATGAACACACGTCTGCAGGTGGAGCATCCCGTGACCGAGATGATCACCGGCACTGACCTGGTCGAGTGGCAGCTGAGGGTCAGTACCAGGGGAGGGAGAGGGTGCTGCGGGGGAGCTGAGGGTCAGTACCAGGGGAGGGGAGGGACGGGGCAGATGATGGTCAGCTGTGTGAGGAGAGGCAGGGTATTGCGAGGAACTGAGGGTCGGGGGGGGGGGGACGGACTAGGACCGCTCAAGATCACACCACAAAGTATTGTACCGTGAGACTGATTTTACTGAAATATGGGGGATTACCTGGTAGTGACAGAATGACGTAGTGGGCTGGGCTTATGTGCTACTAAGCAGCCACTCTCCGGCCTCAGGTGGCGGCCGGTGGGCGGCGGCCGCTGCTGTCTTGTTCCCCTCCTTCTGAGTTTTGACCTCCCGTCTCCTGCGGCTGGTGGCGTCTGCCGCTGCTCCCCTGTTCTCTGACTGACCCTTTACCTCTGCCCTTAGGTGGCGGCCGGCGAGCGTCTGCCGCTGCAGCAGGAGCAGATCCCCCTCCTGGGCCACTCGTTTGAGGCGCGTGTGTACGCCGAGGACCCGCGCGCCGGCTTCATGCCCGGCGCCGGACCGCTGCTGCACCTGAGCGCGCCGCCGGCAGACCAACACGTCAGGGTCGAGACAGGTGCGGCGCCGGGCGGGCAGGGACACGTCCTGGGGTGGCCGTCAGACTGGCTGTGCGTCAGAATAGTCGCTCTTGGAAGCCGAACGCAAGATTTTAAACTTCATAAATGCCTGCCACTCGGTTTGCGAGCATTTTGAGTTGACAGCATGCCTTTCCACCCCCAAAATTTAAAGAACGAAATGCTTCAATTTGAATTTAATGGCGCGTGCGATGTTATCAGCCAACCCGTGTGTGGCCTTTGAAGCGCTCCGGTTACATCTACCCGTCGTTCACTGATCCCCCCCCCCTCCCCTCCTCCCGGACAGGTGTACGTCAGGGCGACGAGGTGTCTGTCCACTATGACCCGATGATCGCCAAACTGGTGGTCTGGGCAGAGGACCGTGACTTGGCACTGCGCAAACTCAAACGCTGCCTCGCCCAGTACGCGGTAAGTGACCATTGGGTGGCTCTTAATGGGACCCACCGTTTTCATAAGGAATGCGGGAACGGCCGCTCCTTTGGGTTGGGTAACGGTGGGGCATGTGTGAGCGACTCGCTGGAATGTCGCGAACCGTTGAGGATATTTTTCAGAGTTGCTCATCATTTTGAATTGATATCACATACATACTCTTGATGCTCGTGCATTTATGGAATTTCGGACAAGGACCGAAATTCTCCGCTTCCTTCTAGAGCATCTGTCGCACTTTTAGCGTCGTGTTTTATGCCTCGCCTGTGGCGTATGCCTAGGAGTGCTTGTCTGAGATATATTCATGGCTAACCCGGCCTCTATGGGGACTTGTGATCCGGATCAGGGGAAATTGAATAGTTGATCCGGTATAATTAAACGGTATATGGAAATACAAGTAAAGGATAAGGTGATTATATGAATAAGCCACTTTAACTTGTAGCTTGTAACGGGGACTGGGGAGTATGAAAAAAATATACGATTAGAATTTGGTACTTCGGATCACGAGTGCCTGTGGAATGAATGTACGTGGTCATATGCTCGCACGCAGCTCCCGGAACACACGTTTACCGAACGCTCGGTATTTGGGTCGGGAAGGCACGCACTATCTGTCACTCACCCACCGGTCGCTGGCAATGTGGGACGGAGTGGCGACGGCCCTGGCAGGTCGGACAATGTCCAGACTCCAGCCAGAGGCATCTACGAGTAAAGCCAGCAGTGAGTGCGCGTAAGCAAGGCCACATAGCCCTGACGATCGGCTCTCAGAGACTGGCGCTTCCATCAGCGATGGAAATACGGCAGTGGTAGGAACGTGTTTGAAAATGTGTTTTATCTTGCGTGATTTATATTTCTGTCATGGGTACCTGTGGCTTGAACGCTCCTTTCCACATTGCAATTGTCACATATTTGGATATATTCTCACAAACAAGGGAATCTGCGAAAAACATGTGAACACTTGTTGCTGAAAGTTACAGTCATGATAAGCTCATCCTAAACGTGAGTTCGAGCCAGGAGTGCCGTAACACACCGGGCCAACGTGAGCCGGGTGCTCCGCCGTCTCTTGGTGTGCTGTGCCGGTCCTGTGTGCTCCCCGGTACTCAGAACAGCGGCTTACGGGGCTCGCAGCGTACAGCCGCCACCGAGCCCTGGCGGCAGTCGCTGATGCCGATGCGGGGCCGCCCGAGGCGCGACACGCACTCCTGTAGAGCGCTCTCGCTGCCGGCACAGTTGAGCGACACCTTCCAGACGCGCTGTCGGCTGACGGCGTCCGCGCGCACCACCTCGCCGCCGCCCCGGTCCAGGCTGCGACACAGCACGCGCGCCTCCTGCGGACCCCAGCTGTCGGCACACACCTGCCACCACTCGAAGTCGTCGCCGCCCCAGTCGGGCCCGACGGCCTGCACGCGGCCCTCGTCGCACGAGGCACCGCCCACCAGTCGGTACCGGTAGCCGCCGGCCACCGAGGGGAAGCAGACGCGCTCGGCGCAGCGGCGCGGCCGGCCGCTGCAGGTCAGGGTGGGGCTGGTGGCCGTGCAGTCGCCGCTCAGCTGGCACGGGTCGCCCTCGGCCGCCGCCGGGCGGCACGTACTGTTGGAGAAGTTCCAGGTACCGGCCGGACACGCGCAGACACCGCCGCTGCAGACGGCGCCGTCCGTGAGCCGGCAGTCGAGGGTGTCGGTGCAGGCGGCGCCGAGCGCGGCCGCCTGTCGCTCGCCCAGTGTCAGTCCGGTGAGCCGGCGCAGCAGGTCGCCCTGGGACCGCTGCAGGGCCGCCAGGTCGGCCACGGCGTCCTCCAGGGCCGAGAGCCGGTCGCCGAGCCGCTCCAGCTGGTCGGCGCCGGCCCGGGAGGCGGCTCCGGCCAGGCAGACTAGTAGCAGCACGGTCAGACGCGACATGGTGGCGGGGGACCCGTACCGCCGACGGACAGAGTCGGAATGAGAGTCTGGCCGCGGCGAACGCCGCTGGAACCGGCTCCAAACGCCACCGGGCGCGCCATTGTATATGTTCGTTGTAGTTTGTATAAAACGTCCTACACAACGCTGATACAGCGGTCCAGATGGCCACATCAGAGGTCAAGGTCAGTCTTCAAATGTGCGTGGATCATCTTAACGACTTCGGAAGCTGATTTGGCTGGTGGATCGATGGCTGTTTTCGAAAGGCGCAACGAATGGTGGGACTGCCCGTTGGTGTGTGTAATATATAGGCGTATATACGTAAGTGTGTGGACTGTGGATATGTGTGGCAGCCAGTGCTTTTGGGCTGTTGTTTGCATTTTTCTAGCTTGTCATATCCTAATATGGTCTCGGCGCCCCAGCCCCGTCTCTAGTAAGTTGAGTAAACAGCTGATTGAAATACGATGAAAACAACACACTTACTTATATGAGCCTTATGTATGCAGGGGCCTACGCAGTGGCTCTTATAAATTGTTTTCTGTAAACCCAGCGCGATTATGCCAATTCTGTTTATGTCATTCACAGGTAAACCCAGGTCGATTTTACCCTGCTGAGTTTGTCCTCTATCACGGAAACCGTAGACGTCTTGGTAATGTTTCAACATTTACGGCAAGATTCGTGTCAACCCTTGTGCAATGTGCTTTGTGCACTGACGTTCGCCGTTCGCATGTTCAGTATCCATGTCCACACTGTTAGGTAAGACCGCCTGTCATGTTTTCAGATAGTGGGCCTGAACACGAACATCAACTTCCTGCTGGACCTGGCGTCCCACCCGGAGTTTGTGGCGGGCAAGGTGGATACCGAGTTCATTCCGCGCCACTACGACCAGCTGTTCCCCACAGAGACGGTCTCGGACGCCACCCTCTGCCAGGTGAGGCACGCGGCGGGAAGGGAGAGGTGGTGATTAACTTCACCAGTGGGGTGTGCTGAAACGGTGCATATGAAAAGCAATAGCGGAGTAAGTGATGGAAATAACTAGCTGACTGCGAGCTGACTAAAGGAACTTGAACTGCTTGTCTGCTTCATTTTCTATGTTATTGGATTGATTTATGTTCAGAAAATTTAGAGTGAACTCAGCGTTCCCCGACACCGCCGTCCCGCACCTCTCTGACGTGGTTCTCCTTTCTGCCGGCAGGCGGCGCTGGCGCTGCTGCTGGACGAGCAGCGGCAGACGCTGCGCGCGGCGCTGCTGTCGCGCGACCCGTTCTCGCCGTACTGCAGCCAGTCGGGGGTGCGGCTCAACCACCGGCTGCGGCGACAGGTGGCGCTGACTGCTGCTGACGGCACAGTGCACACGGTGGCAGTCCGCAGCGACGGCGAGGGCCGGCACACCATGACTGTGGGCGACAGAGAGTACCAGGTACAGTGGGAGACAGGGAGTACCAGGTACAGTACGGGGCGGCACATCATGGCTGTGGGCGACAGGGAGTACCAGGTACGGTACCGGGGAGGGATGGTACGCCATGACTGTGGGCGACAGGAAGTACCAGGTACAGTAGCGGGACTGTGGGGGATAGAGTACCAGGTACAGTACCGGCACTGTGGGCGATAGAGTCCTAGGTACGGTACCGGGACTGTAGGCGATAGAGTACCAGGTACAGTACCGGGACTGTGGGGGATGGAGAGTACCAGGTACAGTACCGGGACTGGGAGACGGAGTACCAGGTACAGTACCGGGACTGTAGGCGATAGAGTACCAGGTACAGTACCGGGACTGTGGGTGTGGGCGATAGAGTACCAGTTACAGTTATACCGGGACTGTGGGTGTGGGCGATAGAGTACCTACTAGGTCATAGCACAGCGGTGCAGTACGGGAAAGTGACGGAATCAGGTGTGCAGTTTGTGAAGTGTGTGCAGAATTCCAGCGTCGTTTGTGGTATATCCGGCATTCGAATGTCGTTTCCCCCTTGGTGGCTGTCTTCAGTGTTAAGTTGTCATCCAGTGGTGCCTACTGGCGTGTTATCAGCAAAGTGTACTGTTAGCTATTAGCTACTGTTTTTAGATATTAAGACGCAAAAGCTGTTCATTATTCACTATCATGACTAGCACTGTATTTGCATATCTTGAAAACGTCTCCCTTCCCTCGCTACAGCTAAGCTGCGACCTCTGATCCCCAGGTATATGACCTCTGAGCCCTGACCTGTGATGAGCCGGTATCTGGTAGTCTGTCGAAGCGGGACGGTGTCCTCACCCTCACCCCTGACCTGTGACCCCTGACCTCTGACCTGTGACCGGCAGGTGTCCGGCAGTCTGACGGAGCAAGACGGCGTCCTCACCCTGACCTCAGATGTGTCGGGAGAGGTGACCCACGTACAGGTGGTGCCACAGGCAGACGCCGTCCACGTCTTCACTGAGGTTAGTGCCGGCTCTAGAGAGAAAACGGCTCTAATGCGCAATGGGAGGAGTTTATTAGGTAATGTTCAGATAAGTGGATGTTTTGACCGAATTCCATTTTTTTTTTTTGCTGAGCTGACGCAAATTGATTTTTTTTTGCACGGATTGTTAGTCATACCACGTAACTATGGCAATTTCCAAGCCAATCCCAATTCCAATCGAATGTGAATCAATGGTGAATTCACGATTGATTTCTCATCCCGTCCGCTGCCCCTGTCTCTCTCCCGTCATCAGGAAGGTGTGTGCAGCCTGTGGCTGTGAGCGCAGTTCTCCGGTGTATAGTCGACTACAGAATGATGTTCCACTTTTCACAGGCAATTATTTGCCTGGAGTGGTAGGCTGTGCCGCATCACACGGGCTGAGTTCACAGATTATAGCTTTGTCCCAATGCTCACAATCGACACGCTTAATTGCGTGATAAACGGCACAGCTTAGCGTTCCGGTCAACTGATAGCTTCTGAGGAGTGAAACATCATTCTGTAGTCGACTATACTGTATTCCCGGCACCGGGTACCCTTTTCAGTTGGGGAAACTACGAGGAGCCAAACAAAAATTGGATTAGCCAATCAGCGGCTGGAGTGGGCGGGGCGATAACCATATATGGTCATAAAATCAGACAACTTCATCTTTTCAATGAATTTTAGCATTCAAATGAAAAAATAAGGCATAAGAATGTTTTTTAACCACACAAGGCCTACACTCACCCGGTGCATAATTAACTGGCGGCTCTAAATCGCAGAGTTACAACGCAAGGTCAAACCGTGATTAGCAAATATGGCGGATTGAAACAGACGCGCCAAAAAATGTAAGCAGTACCGTGGTTTAAAAATGTCATTATTTTTATTATTTTGTTTATGGTTTTTCTAATTGTAGTTAAGTTATTATTTTAGAATGAAATATTTTTGTTCATTGTAATTAAATTAAATCTTTTAACAATTTTATTTCATAAAACCAATCCATTTATGGAATGGCCAGCTGATTGTGACGCCCAGAACCTGCAGAAAAGCCGTTTTCCTATCGCCATTTTCGAGTCAATTCGCCGAATTTAATCAAATCACACTAATTCCTAGTGAAAAATGGAAGCCTTTTCTCTCCAATAAGTGGACGCGATACCGCAAGTACCGGCTTGTTATACCGTTTTTCACCCTTACTAGCGGGGGCTGCATTTATGCCCATATATGGTCATCAAAAGTCCATTTATTGACCAATCCATTTTTTGACTTTCGCCTCGTAGTTTCCCCAACTGTTTTCTTCCCGAGACTGGTGCGCGCTCTGCGGCTGTTACCCCTGTCCCACCCCTTGTCCCCAGGCGGGTGTGCGCAGTCTCCGTCTGCCGGAGCCCAAGTTCCGGGCTGCCGGCGGCGCGGCGGCGGCCGGCGGGGACGCCGTGGCTCCCATGCCCGGTGTGGTGGAGAAGGTGATGGTGACGGACGGCGACACAGTCAAGGCCGGCGACCCGCTGGTCGTCATCATCGCCATGAAAATGGAGGTCAGTCGAGACTAGGGAAATGGGTGGCGGGAAGTAGTGACGTGGATGGCAGAAACTGGGTATGGCAGCTGCTATTGGGAAGTCTAGGTGGTAGAACGTGTGGGAGTGATGAAGCTTCCTTGTTTGCTTGATGGCTTAAAGGTGACAGCATCTTTGCGCTGTCCTATTTGAATGGACTAAATTTTTATTTCAAATGAGAGAGTAGGGTAGCGACTAGCGATGCACTCACATCCTCACCACCGCATCTTGATTAATTTTTATCATGAGTTGTCGCTGGTTCATATTACCACCATGGCAAGTCATAAGTATGTATTTCCCTTCGTTACTTGCAGACATGGACGTTGGAGGTGAATCCCCACTGACTGGCAGACTCATTGAAGTTATATTAGGGATCTTCCCCGCCGCCCATGGCTGCCCCCCGTGGTCCGTCTGCAATGTCTGACACGCCCCCCCCCCCCCGTCCACCGCTCACAGTACGTCATCAAAGCGCCGGCCGCCGGCGTCGTGGAGAAGGTCATGTACCGCGTGGGCGACAACGTGGCCAAGAACGCCCTGCTCGTGCACATGAAGTCGGACGAGGCCGAGGGAGGCGCCGCTGACGCGGAGGAGACGGACTAGAGCCGCCCTTCGTCGTCCGCCGTCCGCTGCCCGCAGTCGGGTCTAACGGTGGGTTAGAGCCGCGGTCCGCCGCTGCAGTGTGCACTCAGTGCAGTCTATTGCCTGGTCTGACGGTGGCTTAGAACGTCTTCCCGCCGCTCGCAGTCTGACAGTGGTTAGAGTCATGGCTGCCCGCTGTTTGCCATCCTCGGTCTGGTCTGATTGTGGGCTCACTGGGACGACCCCCGCGGCTCGGTCCAAGACAGATCACCGCCACTGTTCAGAGGTCGACAGTCTGAGGTCGAAAAAGTCAAGCCTTTTTATAGTATGCTTGCACTCATTTCTGGACGACTGGACGCCGAGAACGTTAGGAACCTTATTAGCAGTCTGGCAGCTCAAAACTCCCAGCTCTCCTCAAAGCCCTGTGCCCTTCTCAGTGAAGTATTCGAACAGACGTGAAGCCACAAGTTTTGGAGAAAAATGTACGCTTGGATGGGCTACTAGAGAGGCGGCTCTGCGGCTGGTCGTCAGCCAGGCGCGACGCTGAGGTCCACCCACAGCCTGGGTTCTCTGTGCTCCTAATCGGGAGGTCTTACTCCCACCGCCCCGACCCGCCGTGTGGCCAGATATGCGACAGAACGTTAGGCGGTGCTGGGTTGTGAAATAAGTGGCCAGAAGACTCGTGTGATTATTAGTGTACCTATATTGTTGTGTAATAATGTGTCTTTAAAGACGTTTGGTACGTGATGGTTTACATAGGGAAAGTGCAATACATGGTCGAGACTGAGAGTTTACGCTTTTCTAAGCTCAATAATTAGGTTACATTTCGGGAGTTTTACGTGGCTGAAATAAGTAAGTCATACTGAATTGTCGTTTCCTCCTGGGTTTATCATTTATTTATCAGAGATTCAGAAGGCACAAAGCGGGAGATTTCATCTGCATTTAATTGTTAATGGCTGGAAGCAGGAATCTACCACGCATGGATTCGGTGACCTCCAGCCAAACTCCAGCTACGCACGATCCGGCTCCGTTAAATACATCACAGCGTAGTACACCACCCGGCGCTAGTTTTCCGTCACGTTCACTCGGCCTTCGAATCCAGATTCAGCCGGTTCACGACCCCCGAATTTCCTCAGTCCCGGATATACCCTGAGTCCCGGCGGGGCCCCCTCGGGCGGCGGGCGGCTGGCACGGTCTGGCGCCGGCTGCCCGACAGGATGTCACGAGTCGCCGGGCCGGGTCGGCAGTCTGCGGGAACTCCCCGGTCCGTGCCGCCGCACCGAGCGGGTCGCCGGCGGGACCCGCTCCCGGCACCGCGCGTGGTAACAGAGAGGCAGCCGGATGGCGCCGCTCGGCTCCCTGTTTGTTGCGTGGATGTTTGGCCCAGTTCATAGCGCCGATAGACCGTCCATGCTTCTGTTCTGTTTTGCGCCCGAGTTCGCAGGAACGCGGATGTCTCGAAGGGTCGGTACATCCTTTCGTGGCCATTTCCGCCTAGCTGTTTTCAACAGCCTAGTTTGTCACTGGTCACCATAGTACTTAGCAGCGCACAGATCGCGGATTCAAGCTCTCTCTCGACACATTTACACGTCAACTGGCTGGTGAATGACCAGTTCAGTTGCTCGCGTCATGACCTTTCCACAGTGAGGTCCGTCTTGTTTCGCGCTTGTGTTGCCCGAGTTCCTTATATTTAGCTGGACGCCTCATATATAGATAAATTCATACATGTTTGTTCACGGGATCCACAGCTATCTACTTGTTGACAGCTGGTAAAGTCAGTCACCGGTCGCACTTTTATGGAACACAGTACAATATCCTCATGCTCAGCATATCGCATTACACCTATATAACCGTATAGACGGCGCATCAATGGTTGTCATTTGCTCATTGATACCGTCTTTGGCTCACTTGGAAACCTCTCTTCGCTTCACACACGTCATGCGCACGACACAATCGTCACCGTCTTCTACAAATGCTTACCTCGCTGCAGAACCGCTCTCTGGCCCACTGGGAACCTGCCCATAGCAGCTCTGTCGTCTAACACACTTCCGCGGCTCGTGGGCTCGTCAGCTGAGTCCTGCCCCTTCTCTCGCCTCTTGGTGGCTCTCGGGCCAGCCTTGCATATCCCCTTGCCTCTCACCACCTTCCCAGCGTCCCTCAGCTCAGTCGTGCCCCCCCCCCCCCCATATATCCAGCGCCCCTCAGCTCAGTCCGGGCACTCCGACGTGTTGTGCGGCGTCCTTGAAGTACTTTCTGCCATAGGAGCGCACGATCTGCGTGAAGTCGAGCCGTTTCAGCGCCGCCTCCAGCTGGCACTGCGCCTCGAACTCGAACACCTTGACGATCGAGTCCTTGCAGCGTTTGATGAAGAGCTCGCTGATGGCAGCCAGCAGTGAGTCGATTGGAAACAGGCCGTCCGCCTCGGCGTCGATGTCTCTGTGGGAAGAGAGGGGGAGGGTCGGGTCAATGTCTCTGGGGAGTGGGCACTGAGCAAAGCCAGCGTAAATGTCTCTGTGATATTGGAAGGACATCCTCAAGATTCGCTCACCCGACATGGACGACCTCGAAGGAGGGAATGACGATCTGCATGGTGCTCGTGTTGATGCGCGCCTTCATCTTCACCGTGACGGCGTCCACGTCCACGGTCAGGTCAAAGTTGGGACCCAGGTCCATGAACTTGGCCGTGCAGTTTGTGTTACACTGGCGGACAAACGAGGCTGTTAAGTGCACGAAGTGGGACGGGCAAAATCCAGCTGGAAATTTTAGAACATAAGATTATTCACCGCAAATGTGACTGTATTTTCAAAATTTCGATCAGCAATAATTATTGTAGGAGCTATGAACGAAAAGTCAAACACCTGGCCCGTAAGTCGCTGACGTGGGCTTTGAGATCATTACTTGACTGAAAATATTAAAATGTGTTCACAGTCGCTCCCGTTATAGTTAGCTAGCACACTTGTTTATCCGCGAAGCTCTAGGTAATCAGGGGTAGATCAGCGAATGTTGGATGTTGCATGAAGCGTAATTATGTTGAAAATGGCTCAGTCTAACGAGGATCAATTCACTGCGAGTGTGCGCACCTCGATTTTGGTGGTGGCGAGCTGGGTCTGCAGTGTGAGCCAGTCGCCGTCCAGCTCCAGGATGGCGTCACCCTTCCGCCGCAGGGTCGACATGCCCTTCAGAGAGGTGGCCAGGAACGTCACTGACGCCGACAAACGGATGAAAAACAGCTGAAACGGGTCCCCGAACACGTCAGAAAAGGGCGACCGAACGTTCAAATACCACCGGGAGAAGGTTGATGGCATGGACAACGGACGCTCAAAAGAGTCACGGCGATTACAATTGTTAGCCTTCGACCCTATCTCCAGTCTCCACGATATACACGTACCGTAAGGTGGGGCTATTTGAGACAGTGGGGCTATTTGAGACAGTATTTAAAATCGTTATAAAATAAAAACCGTTTGAAATGTATGCCTAATTTTTGCTCAGGCGATTTACTGCTCGATTCCACACCTTCCTGAGCAAAAATATCACATAAAAATCAAACGGTCTTCATTTTATAGCGATTTTAATTACTGTCTCAAATAGCCCCACTGTCTCAAATAGCCCCACTTTACGGTATTACTTTTAAAGTTTTCGTTTGGTTCTTTGGAGCTTTATCTATTCCATCCTTTGTCTCGCCTCACGTCGCCAGTCTGGGCCGTAAACCTTTCGCTCTTCAGCAGCGTGCCGCCTACCTTTTCCTCGAACAGTGTCTCGTCGTCGGCCACTTTGAGCGGGTCCAGGCCCTCGCTCTTGATCAGGCTGCGCGCAAACTCCATAGCGTTGTCGACGAACCGGTTGGCGTCCGACGTCTTCGCCCGCCCCTTGTTGCCCTGCACGTGCCGCCTGCAACGGAATAGATGTGTGACATAAGCGCAGATCTGAAAATTCAAGCTGACGGGAGTACTACACTTATAATCACAATGTTTATCCACTTCAGCGTCCACTACCCAGCCAACTGCATTCTCGTTGGGAAGTGTCTAGCTCTCAGCACAGTCGTGCCGCCGTCATTCGCATATACATGTTTTTGTACAGGTGGGCTCGCTTGTGTCAAACTGCCTACTGAAGCATTCTTCAAGCTGTGTAAAACGATGTTGAATCAAGTGTTGCCCACACATGTGTAACACCCTTATGAAATGTGATGTGACCCTTTCAAAATCAATAACTGATTGCGATTCATCCAAGGATTCAGAGTTACACGAGGAACCAGCCTATGCATTGATCATAATGTAACGAAGGATCCGGTGCAATGCACTGGATGTCCGGTATAGACTATAGGATATTCGTTTTCGGCAATCGGCACTGCAACACTGCCTCCAGTGGCGAACTGAAATGGCCGCTCTGAATGGCAGACCCGGGCGTCCGTCCGACTCCAGACTCCAGCCGCACCTGAGGATCCAGGAGAGCCACTTCCTGACGGCCTTCTCCTCCATGTCTTCCACGCCGGTTTTGATGAGCAGCGCGAGCCCGGCGGCCGCTCCGGCCTGCTTCCTCAGCGCCATGACTGGCCGCCTGTCTGCCGTGACACCGCTCTCGGATGGTAGACGGGGGAAGGGAGCGGCTCACCCTACAGAGATCTACTGGAGTGGCCCGGAGTCCCGGACCGACTTGATCGAACCTCTCCTGTCGCAAGTAGGTGAAGAATCACTGCACCCTCGCTGTCCGTTCAGACAACTCAAATCGACGTCCACTCAAACCACGGATTTTGTGTGTTCGCTGATCTCCAACACGGCTACAGATAGCCCTCCAGGGCCAGAGCTCGACAGCCGCCCTCCACTCGCTCACAGGTCTGGGCCGCCGTCCGTGCGCCGCCAGTCTCGACTGCCGCCTCTCCGGACAGAAGGACGAGGAACACTTGTGTCGCGCCGAGCGGTGACGCCGCACCAACACCTGTGTGTGACGACGGAGGCGGAACCGGCACACGAGCCACCCGCCGGCCCCAGGCTGCGCTGCCGAGCTTGCTTATCAATGACAGGGATCAGCACATATGAAAGCAGTTCGCACATGTTTGACGCCAGTCTTTCAAGTTGATACTATAGCGGGGCGTAACCGGGAAATCTGTTAGTCCTGGTCTAAAACTCACACATGGTGAATTTAGCGAGTAGCATCACTGAACTGCGGAGACCCTAACCCCCGCGACCCCCTCACAGTGACGAAGGCGGTGCCCTAAGCCTTCGAATACTTTCACGCCCACGGTAGTCGAGTTTCTCGTTACGGGCTTAGTCAATTACCAACTACCTACTTTCCTACTCCCGAATGTAATTGTTTGGTTGGAAATCCAGCGTCGTTTCCGCTCCTCCCGACCAATGTCCGCTGTGAGAGCCAGACTGTTTCGCGCTGATCGCTGCTGCGGGCTGCATCAGCCGACGGCCAAGCTCCTTTATGAGACCGGCGGCCGCCGTACCCAGGACACCAGACGTTTCGACCGCAAAAGGAACGAAGGCGTATCGTTCACGGAAAGCTGCATATCGGGCAATATGCCTCGGTGATTTGTGTGCGCATTCTGTTTTAAAGGCCAGATAAACGTACTACCCAACTCGTTAGGTGAATACAATATCAAGTGAGCAAAAGTGTCCACTCTGTTGGCACGGCGGTGTTTAGCCCCACCGTCTCACGCGGAGCGTCTGTGAAGTGTCGCAGTCTGCCTCTCCCACCCTTCACTTGTCACGCACATTGTGCGTGCGCTGTGCGCAGTCGGCAGCAGTGCTTCCCCGCGGGTAGTGATTAAAAATGGATCTCGCGAAACG